GGAAAATCACAAACCAGACAGCATAGACCAACTACTAACATAAATTCCCCTTGCTTGGCTTAGCTTGGTGCTTTTTCACCCGTTTTTCATTCTTTTTTTTTTTTTTCCTTCTTGGGAAAATTTAACGCAACCCCTTTACTGTGTAATTCATTGTTTCAACTCTCGGCTTGACCCGATGGTGGATGTCGAACCAACGAAACGATTTCCACTCGCGTTTCGGTGGGCTCCTTTGCTTTGGATCAACGGTCCCATATGGATGGCTTTTTTTCGTCCTCCCAAGAAGCATCCTCCATGCTCCATAATAAATGACAAATAAATCCAGGATGTGACGTGATGACGATGTGATGGGAGTTGTGATGTGATTCCCTGCACCGTGGATCTTTGGTTTAGATTGGATTGCGTGAAAAGCTAACTGGATTGCGTACCGTTTGGATGTGGAATTGCTCAGCAGCGGAATGACGTGACATCCCATGGACCAGGGACCTGGCAGTCGTTTGATGCCATGGGCGTGTCCCATGGAGTCTTTCTTTCTTTCGATTTTATTGTGATTGTCCCGACTCCCTTGTTCTCGGGATGAGCTTGTTGATTTCTAGGGAGGAGAAAAGAAGGCTCCTGTCTGTGGGGGATATCCCCACGTTTCTGGGTCCTATTTGTTATGCGAATACTATTGCAAAACATCCTCTTACTATGCTGGTTGGAATCGAGATCGGCTTGCTCAACTCCCTCCAGCATTGAGAGGAAATTATAAGGCTTCGCCCTCTTGAAAAACCCCTCTCCTTTCTTGGTCTCTTCTGTTCTAGTGTCGTCATCCGAAAGGGGATTGATTCGCGGGCTCTCCCGAGATCAACTCGGCTTTCCCCGGACAGCATATACGTACATCCACGAATCCGTATCAAGCACCTTACAGCTGCAAAGACGATCGATGGCGACGATGATCAACAGTGACATTTCCTCCAAGACCGTCCGGAAACGGAAAAGAATCGTCTGATGGATGAAAAGGGGAACAAAACATTATTTGGTTACAAAATTCTAGTCAAGGTAAACCGAGTAATATGCGCAGTAGAGTGTATTGTTTTTCTCCAGATGCATTAAGCAACTGCGCTGACGCAAGCCTGTGCGGGAACTATCCTCTGAAAAACATTCTGACTCAATTTGATACCCTCATCTATTCTCAATCTTAAGCGGGCGGAATGTATTTCCCCATCCATCAATATAGTTTACTTTGCCAACTCGGCAACCATCATCTCAACCGCCTCGTCACGAGCCTTGCCATTGTCAAAATCGATGATAAAATCCCACCTCGGCAGTAAATCCTGCTTTAGCTTTTCCAAATCCAGCCCTGTCACCTCCCCTTTCCCAACCATCATGAGTCCAGTGCCCCGACTCGATTCCACGATACGTTGGGTGCGTGGACGGCGTACCTGGTCGTATATCTGCAAAGCCACGAGGGATTCGGCGGGAGTCGTTGAGCGGCCGAGCAAGGTGGAGAGGATAAGACTGTCCTCGAAGGACATGCTGCAGCCGGAGCCTTGCCATGGTGTCGTGGCATGGGCGGCGTCTCCCATGATGCATATTGGCCCGGCTACGTACGTACGGGCAGGTGGGTGATCCCATAGATATATGGCGGGCTGCTCGGGCTGATCACACAGTAGCTGAATGCCATCCAGGTTAGTGAACCATATTTGGTAAAAAAAATATTGAAAAAAATAATAATGAATTTCTAGACGGGGGCTGTGGGAATGATCCTATGTAGCTCACTTACTTCATTTACTGCCTTTTTCAAATGCAACGGCCAGCCTTGGTAGAGCTTCGTTATCTCCTCCGCGCTCACCATTCGATGCCACTTATCTGATGCCTCGGCCCCTTTCTCATAGGCGGAAATGAGAACCTGCACCAGCTGCCCCCGGTTCAAGATATTATGCATCAGATACGTGCCATCGCCAACCCACATGTGTTCGCGCGCGTCATCGATATCGACAGGGCCCTCACCAAGACTAGCCCGGGCATCTGCGTACGGCTTCAAGGCCATGACCGCCCACCAACCAGCATTCCTCGGATACGCCGCGGGGTCCCCCTCTCCGAGCACGATCCTACGCACCGTACTATGAATTCCGTCAGCGCCAACAAGGATGTCGCATTCATGCGTAGTCCCGTCCGTGAAATGGAGCATGACAGGCCCATCATCGCCTGCCCTTTCGACTCGGTCTAGCTTCTTGGACGCATGCAGACGCTCTGGAGGAACGCCGTCGAGCAACTCCCGCAATAATGCGGCCCGATGCACAATGCTCACCAGAGCCTTGCCGCTGTCGTCTCTTGCCTCGTCAATGAGCTTGTTCCGTCCCTCGCCTTGAGCAAGCAGGAAGCGAACACCCCGCTGCGAGACTGCGCCGGCACGCTCCAGGCATTGGCTGGCCGAGGCGCCGATGAGGTCCAGCGCGGCAAGACCGTTCCGAGCAACACCGACAGCGGCACCGGCTTCTCTGAACTCGGCGGCTGACTCGAAGATGTGGACGTCCAAATGCGGGTATTTCAGCAGAGCGTGCAAGAGAGAGGCGCCCGCCATGCCACCTCCCGATATAGCGATTCGGATGGACCTGGCCATGTCGTCTATCTAACTCGCAATCACGGACTGAGGTTATCGTTTTTGTTTAGACAAGCAGGGGAAACTATTCTGCCAGATGTTGTGTATGTGCTGTATATATATATATTTGTATCTCTATCGCTATTTATATATCTCCTCAATCCTTTCTGATTAGTGCCATAGTTAGCACTAGCCAAGCAGCAGTGTTGAACCAATGGACCAAATTCGGCCATAAGACGGCTGGCATCCTATCAGCCTCACACGGAACCTTTACTCACATAGTATATACACATCCGATCAGCCTCACACGGAACCTTTACTCACATAGTATACAAAGTGCGCCCGCCCACTCACTCGCAGCTAGGGGCCCCCCTGTTCCAACTGTTCCCCCCGATTATCGGAGCGCCCGTCACCCCTGACCTTGCTAAGGCAGTGGCTAGTCCCTGTCACACACTTACTACTGCTATGAATAGCAGGTTACACGTCGGCTGACCCCTTGGGTGACTGACCTGACCTACGCTAGTGTAGGTCACCTGACCCTATAGAAATGGTGACTAGTCAAAGGGTCAGTTGAGCTCCTTACCAACTTGATCTCTTACAAGCTCTTACCAACTGCCCTGAGCCTCTGCTAGCACCCCCATCATCAATACTAGTCCACTACTAATCACTCAATTTTATATAAGACAGACTCACAGAGTGAAGTAAAGTCTCTAAGAATTATGTAATAATAAATAAATTAAAAAAAGTATTGATTAGTCAGTGACTAGTCATTGATTAATTATAGAGTAGTAATTTAATATATTAAATAATTTAAATAACTATACTCTGTATATTAAATTTATATTGACTAGTATCTGACTAGTAATATATCAGTAATTCACTAGTGCAATATTAATAGTTAATAATGAGTTTATAACTAACTAGTAACTTACTAGTCAGTAACTGATTAAATAATAGTAAAGAACTAGTTTTATATACTATATTTTCATTCATAGTTTATATATACTTCTCAATTTAATAATATTCAAGATTTAATCAATTTCTATTATTCAAAAAAAGAATTATAATATTCATTTTCACTGTGTGTATTATAGATGTATGAGAAGGTAAAAGTTCATTTTTGTTTTATCCTCAACTGACCCATTTTGTGCCAAGAAATTATTTGGGTCAGGTGACTAGCACTAGCGTAGGTCAGGTGAGTCACCCGAGGGGTCAGCCGACGTGTAGTCTCAATGAATAGCCATAGTCAGATAGAGTTAGGCCCATGGCTCCATGCCTGTTACCCTTCCCACACCCCACCAATGCCCACCTAAGTTTGAACCCGCAACTAGCTGGGCACTGGCAGTGTTTAAAAACTAAGTCTAGAGGACCAGAAAGCCAGCTTACTATTGCTTGTGTTGGCTTATTTTTATCATATCACTTGCATACTTCACACTGCTTCTTTTCTCTCGTTGCTCATTCAATTATGGCTAGTAGTACTCGGGAGTCTGCCCTTCACAGAATTATTATCATTCTTCTTCTTCTTCTTCTTCTTCTTCTTCTTATTTAATAGAAGTTGCTTTCTTGCACCCCGGACCAAATATAACGGTGTTGTTGCACGTTCAATCTCCCAAACTCATCGCAGGGCTCCAGATATGGCTGGCTTCAGAGCTGTTCTCCTGAATCGACTACCGGAAACCACCTCTGGAAAGTGGCTGCTAATGCGCCTTATGCTTTCTTGCTTTCGTCCTCATGTTTCCCTCTCGTCCATCAGCGTCACCGGATGAGGGAGGCCATTGGGAAATAGCAGTATGGTTATGAGCATGTTACTCCGTGATAAGTGTTACCCCGTAGGTTGTATCTAGCTGTCGCCATTGAGTACCTACAACGGCTGGCGACTACTGCGAAACGAGTGCTTGGTTTGCTGTCCGACTCAAGCTCCAAACTTAAACAAGCTCTTTTTCCTGTATCGCTCCTCGACCGTTGACTGACTGAGTCCAATTCGAGTTTTTCTACTGCCGTGCGGGGCGCGAGATGATTGAGTGAGTGAAGTACTGTTATATAGCACCCAATCAACGGGTGGCTACATAAATACCCTGGAAGCAGCGCGATATCTCGAGACTGATAGCTATTGTTTTCTGGATCCTGGTCGAAGCAATCAGTTTTGTTATTGTTCCAAGCGTTTGTTTTGTTGATCGTTGGCGGTAACGCGGCCCCGCCAGTTCATGGTACCTTCGGTATGGGCGGATACCTCCCGCGCCACTATGCTGGTCATTTGCCACAATTGCAAAGTCAACTTTCAACGACGAAAACCTGCGAGAAGCGGCTTTTTGCCGACTTTTGTCCACCCCGCCATTGCCAATCTTATTCGTATCTCGACTCTTCCACCCTTTAACGGGGCCACACCCAGTGCTGTCGTTCCTAGAGCCTTCTCAGCATCATTGATTCGTCAATTGCTTCATCCAAGGCTAGTATATATGTGATACTCTCTGTAATCCACCCCGTTCGTCCCACAAAGTGCTTTTAATTTCATCAGCTAAATCTGTGTAGGTTTCCGTCGATTTCGCGCTTCCTGTGTGTGATCTGAGTGTTGTGACCTTAGGCGGGCATAGTACGTCCGCTATCATCTCGTGGGAATGTATGGCTGTTGACTCCTAAGCCGGCGCAATATTCTTTGCGGCTGCACGTAGATCTTCTCATTTGCATCCTTTTGTGAAGAATTCCACGCCTCAGCTTTCACCCGAGCATGACGAATCGACCTTCCAGCCGCTTTCTCAAACCCTTTTTCTATAAAATTGCGGCAGCCGTGACCGGGGGAGGAGGCATTTTATACCTAGCGTATCGCCCACGCAATATCCCTGGCTCGGATCCGGCTCCCATTCCTGTCCCATCATATAGCAGTGGAGGGAATCTAGTTCTCCCACGCTTTCCTCGTGTCAAAACCCGTGAAGAGCAAATCCAGGACCTAAAGCGAAGTTCACAGGCAAAGACGACGAGCTTGCTATCCGGAAGCCGGAGCCCAGGAAAGGATGCATTTGGCCCCGAAAGCACTACAGCGCCGGATGCTGATGTGGCTTACGATTTGCTTGTCATTGGCGGCGGCGCGACTGGTTCTGGCATAGCTCTTGATGCTGCATCTCGCGGTTTGAAGGTAGCTCTAGTTGAGCGTGACGATTTCAGCGCGGGCACAAGCAGCAAGAGCACAAAACTGGTCCACGGCGGTGTACGCTACCTGGAAAAGGCCGTTTGGGAATTGGACTATAATCAGTATGTTGCGGACCACCTGTATTCGTACTGGGAAATGCCCCTACTCATCGGCCCTGTTTTGCAGATTTGCACTCGTTAAAGAAGCCCTTCGGGAACGCAAATGGTTTCTCTACACCGCACCACATCTTTCAATGTGGCTCCCAATTATGGTCCCCGTGCAGAAATGGTGGCAGTTGCCTTATTTCTGGGCCGGTACTAAATTTTATGATTTCCTTGCTGGATCTGAGGGCATTGAGAGTTCGTATTTCCTCACCAAGAGCAAAGCCCTAGACGCCTTTCCAATGCTGAAGAAGGATAATCTCTTTGGTGCTCTTGTCTACTATGGTAAGGCCTGACTGCCTACCTCCGAAAACAAAAACAAAACAGAAAAAAACCTGAATTTATTTCTGCAAAGCTAACCCTTATGGAGATGGTGCCCACAACGACTCTCGAATGAATGTATCTTTGGCATTGACCGCTGCTTTATATGGCTCTACAGTTGTAAATCATATGGAAGTTGTCGGTTTAACCAAAGACGAGTCAGGGAGACTCAATGGAGCCCGTTTGAAAGATTTGATTCCAGGCAAAAACGGCAAAAAGGCAGAAGAAATTACTATTAGGGCCAGGGGTATTATAAATGCCACAGGTCCATTTACAGATTCCATCAGAAAGATGGATGATCAAAGCGCCAGCGAAATAGTTGCACCAAGCGCTGGTGTACATGTTGTTCTTCCTGGCTACTATAGCCCAACAAAGATGGGACTGATTGACCCTGCAACTTCAGATGGACGTGTCATATTTTTCCTTCCGTGGCAGGGGAACACAATTGCAGGAACAACTGATGTCCCCACTACTATTACTGCCCAGCCTATCCCATCTGAAAGGGATATAAACTGGATCCTAAATGAAATCCGCGGATATCTTGCCCCGGGCATCAATGTGAGGCGCGGTGATGTCCTTGCCGCCTGGGCCGGGATTCGACCTCTCGTACGAGATCCCACAGCTAAAAACACAGAATCCCTAGTCCGTAGTCACCTCATTACAGTATCTGAATCCGGTCTCTTAACTTGTGCTGGTGGAAAATGGACAACTTACCGGCAAATGGCCGAGGATGCTGTTGACGAAGCTATCAAACAGTACAATCTACAGCCTCGCCCTAACAGACGCGTTCTTGACATCAGCGGAATGGGACTTTTCGACGATGGTGCGGTTCTGGATGGGTCGTGCCAGACTCATCAAATCCGCTTGGTAGGTGCCCATGGCTATTCGAAAACGCTATTCATTAGGCTCATCCAACACTTCGGGATCGCAACAGACGTTGCTCAACATCTCGCAGAGTCTTACGGAGATCGTGCATGGGATGTGGCCGCTATGTCAGCTCCCACGAAAACGCGATTCCCAGTCCGTGGATTGCGCATTTCTCCTCTATATCCGTTTATCGATGGTGAGGTCCGCTATGGCACGCGTGTTGAATATGCACAGACAGCGGTGGATATTTTGGCACGGAGGACTAGATTAGCATTCTTGAACGCCCAAGCCGCCCTCGAAGCTCTCCCAACAATCATTGATATCATGGCGGAGGAACTAAATTGGGATGTTAGGCGGAAAAATGTTGAATGGAATGACACAGTGACTTTCTTATTGTCGATGGGACTCCCTATTTCTCGACTTGGCGTCACACGTGAGGATGTTGAAAGTGGCCAAGCAAAGTTTGACGAAGTGGAACGGAAGCTATACACAAGACATGGTAAATAAATATCGACGTGCCACTTTCTTGATATTCCCCTTTTCTTCCGCTTCATTTACTGACAATTTTGAAAAAGAGGGTCCCGTGGATTTTTCCCAGGTTGACGCAAACACTGCTCAAACAGCTGAGAAAGGGTTCGGGTCCCCGTCGCGGAAATGACCTCAACCCCTTGATGATATGTCCGTTCATTTGTTCCTAAAATTCGCCTTTCCTTACTAGTTGACAGTGAAAATTTGGGCTAAAGAAAGTATATTCATAAAGGCTCTGTCATCAAAACAATACCTCTGCTCAGGACATATCCTAGATTCCCTGCAGATTCCGTGCACTACGTTGGCAGCTGGAGCGATAAGTCTGTGGTATTTGTTCTACCAGCATCCAACTTCCACGAAATCCACCTACCATTTGTTAGGTGCCGCCTTTTCGCGGGATCCATTGGGCTACAATTCTGTGCTAAGAAAGTGAGCTATATCCATACCATATCGTCTGACTCAATACCAAATATACCAAGCGGATTTTCAAACTTCCCAGAAAGTATCGCATCAGATATTGCACCAACACCTACATCTATTCAACCGTCTAGCCCAAAAGACATCTCTCTGTATTCTGGTCGCTTTCCTACCAGAAATATACCTAATATCTCATAGTACTACCGTCATGGCCGATTCCAATGCTCTGAAACTTTGGCTATCAAAAACCATGGCCTATAGGAAGGAACTTTCGTTCCACTTAAAAATATTCCTCGGGATTCTTCCTCTTTGCACATAATCAGGAGCGCCGCCTTAGAAGCCGAATAACCTCTTCTAGGATAGCTAAGGATAAAGGATGAATCGAACGGGAGATGTAAATGAGCAAGATATTCCATAGCATTGATCTAGCAAGCGGCTGCCCGTTCAATTACGCCCTTGGCGAAGCTTTCAAGACACCCGTGCGCTTTGAGGAATGGGCTAGGAAGGGACTCATAAGCATTGAAGAACCGAAGGTTAAAAATAATAATTTTAATCCCAGCTAATCTTCGAAGTAAACGTCCGACATGTACAGTACAATACCATAGAGAAGCAGATGCGATAAACGAAGTAATAAAAAGCTTCTTCTTGGAAATATAAAATCTTGACCACTGCTGGAAATTCGAGGGAAGATATGCTGCTCAATGCCCCCTGGGAAGCTCAAAAGGGGGAAGTATCTATTCAACCAACCGAGAATGAATTTTACTCCATTATGGTTCATACTAACGAGTAATGTTCTCGAGTTTTGTCTCGTTGGTTTGATGAGGACTCTCGCGTTGCCGATGTAGATTTCATCCGTCTAATCGAGCGGGCCTGCTCATTTTATAACCCCTGCAAATGAAGATATCTTAACGGAGCCACCAGGGGACCCCGGTCATGTGCGGTTATGTCCGTGTCCACGGACAATTTTTGGTTTTTATACTTCTAAGCAATCTAGAGCTCAATCTAGATAAACCAACCCCTATAACTTCGTCCTCCAAGATGTCTTACATTACCTTCAAACTCAATTTGATGCGAACTTGGGCTTTGAAACGTCCATGAATGAATGAATGCTTAGGCCCCCTCATGCAGCTTACGCATCATGTGGCAACAATAACTAGTTAACCATTCTTGTGAAGTTGACTTTAGATTTATTACTTGATGTGCGATTATTCATTCGTCGCCTCGTCCCAACGCCGCATGTATTGTACAGTTGAAGGCGCGAGAAATACTACACAGAGTAAAACTACGTATCGTATACTCGACTCCTGGTATAGCTCATGTGCTAAAATGTGATGAGCGACAAATGTCAATCCTGTGGAAGTCGCCGAAATCATGATGATTTATTTTCCGCAGTTAAACGAGATGTACGCAGTATGGCGTGTGTAAAACAAAGGTCCTTCCTTGCACACAACTTTTAGTAACTTTTCCTGCGAACATGAAAAACCTGTGACATACCGGTTTCGCAAGCCCCAGAAGATTCGTACTTGAGGTGCCTGATAAAGCTCCGCTGCCAAATTACGTGCCAAGCACCAATAACTTCCGCCATGACAATCTGAATGATTGGAGGCCTCGTATTATGATGCTTCCATTTACTTTTCTAGTGTGGGGCAACGGCTTTTGTTCCACGCTTTCGCCCAAAGAGAGTTAAATAACGATGATGACAGAGCAAAGCTTCCCCACAATGTGGGGAAGAGATCAAATTGGTGATCCGATGAGAACTTATTGAGCCGATCTAACGAAACCATGACAGATTGCTCTCTCGGTGGAGCGGGATTACGCCAAATCAGGTCTCCCTGTTGTAGTGTTAGTTACATCCGGAGAGTTGAATAATATGCCGGCACTTTGTGATGGACAGGGTTAAGAGACGTAAGCCTGATTCCGGCGCGAGATGAAAACCTGACAAGCGATGAGAGTGCCGCAACTTTCTGCGGGGCAATTTAGCAATAGCAAGGGGCATAGCAAACTCAAAGTAGCAGATACATCACCGATCCAAAAAATAAAAAGGGCAACGGATCAGAAAATGCACTGGACAAAGCAATAAGCTAGAACACGCATGGAAATGATAATCGGTGTTGGGTCGTTTGATCTGACCATCATCCTGCACGTGGCGGCGTCCAAGCAAGGCTAGCAAACGGAACAACAAACGATGGAACAAAAATCTGGCAGGCCGCCAACTAGCTAGCATGCGGGTGGCTGTTAGGCTTTCTGACGGCTGGCTTAGAGCCTGACCGGGGAGATGCATCCAGCCGTTTCAGGAAACATGATGCGAGTCATGGGCCTCGGCCAGAGATAATGTTCGGAGTTGAATGACAACCATTGAAGGTCTCGGCATCAAATCAAAGCTAAAAACGGCGAAGGACCAAGGGTTAAGTTGTGAACAAGGAAAGGTAGCGCGGTGTTGCTTAGATATAGTTTCGAAATCTGACGTTCCCAGTATTGAAAGGGTTGTTGTTTCACCAACTTTGTTCCTTTTTGCCTGTCGGTAGCTATAGAGCAGCCTCAAAGAAACGGGACCAGTCATAATGGTGTTGTGACTCCTCCATGCGTTGCTGCATCCATGTAAGCCAGTAGCCATTATGTAGGACAACTTGCGTCGGGAAAACCCACTTTGACGATCCAGAAATGCGGGTTCCCGGTTTTCGAAGAGTTAAAGTCCGCAAAGAAACGTGACAGAAGGAAAAGGCACCGGGCCATATCTAAATCAATTTCAAACTCGAACTGATCAATGGCTAATTTGTACTGTACATTGCAAATGCCGCTCTGGTTAGCTGGCCTTTCCACGGGTTGTTTTGTAGGACAGGGAGGGAAATCCTGTTCATGGTGTGGCTAATGATCGACGAGCAGAGAAAATCAACTGCAGCTAACTTTCCCCCTATGTCGAAATGTATCTGATGGCTCCAAAGGAACTAATGGGGTAATGCTCTGGACAACGAATGACAACATAAGGATCCACATGACGTTAGAGCCCAAAATTCAGCAAGATGTAATTATAGAAACTATCCAAAATATCATAATCGAAGGTGGGGTGTGGATCTCTATATGAATCTCATAACTAATAATTGACGGAGAGCAAAAAAAATTTTCGTGGCCATATTAGCTTCTAGAGTACGATGGACCCGCAGCCGCTAAAAGCTTCAGTGGATGGTGACAAAAAAAACCGAGAAGATCCAGAAATTACAAAAAATAGGGAGCCCCGAAAAATAGCAGAACCCGTCATGAACGCTAATCCAAAGCGTGTATGTTGTATATTTAGATAGCCCGTGTTTTCGTTATAACATTTTGATAATCGATCAAAGGCCTGGTAGTTTGGTATCTTGACTGTATCCCAAACATGTCATTATATGGGAATTTTCTATCAGCTCATGTTTCGAAAGAAAGAAAAAGGCGTTCGAAAGGCGTAGAAGAAAAGCAACCCGGCATGTCGGAACGTCAACCGGTTCGTGCAACGGAGCGAAAGAATTAAGGTGATAAGTGGATTTGTTAAGGGACATGGAAACCCTTTAGCTTTCGAAATGTTCGAACGGTTCGAATAGCGCTCATAGGCACACACTGATTCGAATTTTCTGGAGGCGGTATACCCCGACTAGCTTACAACGCCCATGAGCGCTATTGAAGCTGACAGAGCCAGTCAAAAGCCTAGGTTCCTTAGCATGGTATATTTGTAAGCCCAAAAGCATGGCCGTATTATTCGAATGTGACGCCCAAGCCAAGGACTCCAGCATGTTTGATGGGAACATCGTCAGGAAATTAAACTCATTCGTGAATGAAATAGCTTGTTGTGGCTTGTGTCACCGGAACCGTTTGGTATAGGAGATATTCTGATTTCATGTCGTAGGTGGAGAGAAGACGGTAGTATTCCGCAGGTTTCGCTGCAGATTATGCCAGAAGAGTTGGTTTAAAGGGCGTTAGATGGCTATGGGGAGGAAGAGTGGAGGTTGTCTGAAAAGAGCTATAAAAGCACATTCGGCAGAAAAACGAAACAAAACAAAAGAAACAGAAATCAAGGAGAAGAAAAGAATGGAACGTAAAAATTACAGGAATAAAGCTAATTGTTTGGAGATGCGCACAATAGACCGTTGCACATGAAAGGGTCATAAGAAGCAAATCTAGCTGGGTGGAATCGTTTGAAAAAATTCTAAGGCGTCGCGGAATCGTGAAACCAGTGTGGACAACAAGAGGCAAGACCAAGTTGGATAGAGAAGGGCGGCTTTTGAACTACATGATTCCGGAGCCGTAAGTTGGTTGAAGCGTAGTGTAGTGTTGCAGGTTCTGGACGGTTGTTTGCGGATGTTATACTGAGATGGAAAATATTTCGTGCAACGCAATGTATTAATTTCGACAAACGTTCTCGGAAGGGTGTCTGTTGCAGTTGTTCCAATATCGCTCCACAGCTCGCTGGGCAACTGGGCCACGAAATCGGTCGAGGAAGTAGTTGAAGAGTGCAAATTCGTCACGGGTCAAGATATATGTGTCAGGATCCGCCTGAACCTTGCGCCAGACTTCGCCAATAGCGGTTTCAAGAATGGAGGTCATTCTGGGGTCGATACTGCCATCTTCGCTATTCCTGGCTTCTTCCAAAGCCACTCGTATTGTTTCGGGATCTGGAATGGACGCATTATTCGCCATCGTCGATGCCGGGAGACTCTAAACGGTGAAGGGTGGAGAAAAGAAAGGTAGTGCTTGGGAGGGGAAAGGTACGCTTTTAAGCCTAATGAAAAAAGAAAAAAGAGCAGAGCTCACTGGAGTGGTTTGACTGCAGCAACTAGAAAGCAAATAAGGCATCTGGGGGATCCTTGTAGTATTTCAGCTTCGAATTCACACAGCCGTTAAACTTATGCAAGATGTTGAATGCGGAGCTTCATGAAGGGCCAAAGAGCCCCTCTTACGAGAAAGGCTGTTCCTTTGGTATCAGCGACTGGGAGACGGGAACCAAACCAATCCCTGAACGGCTCCTCCCTTATTTTTAATCTAGAATTTCGGCCCATTAGTGCCATTTCTCCGCCTTATTTTGCTCTAAGTCGTCTCCCGTTTTTAGGATATTAAACCACTTCCCACCGAAGATCATGAGACCAGAGATAATCTGGGAATTGTAATGGCACCCAAAATGTGACATGTGGAGGGTGGGGCTCTAGCAATATTTAACCACTATATCAGAAGTTGCTGGTCCAGAGCTAGTGTGAGTGACGATTTGCCGTTCTCAGCCAGAGAAAAAGTCCCCAAGGTCAAGACGGTCGTCTGCTGCCTATTGAAGACGATCATCTCAATGCCTCATACCTTTGCTATGGCAGAATACCTGTCTAGCAGTGGGGAGGATGGGCAACATCTTTCAACAGCTTCTCCTCACATGCGGCTGCATGGCGGCAACTGAGGCAAAACGAGCCTGCCTCCTTCCGCCTGTGCTGTGCATTAGTGATATTGATACCCGTCAAGCATGGCCGCACGCATGCAAGACCAAGGGCCCTGGCAATCATTACGGCGCTCTTTGCGGTTGCTGCTGGTAGCCTCTCCAAACGTCAGCTCGCGTACCAACACACCGAATCAAGGAAACAAGTTGAGGAAAATCTCACCCGAAGTGGCGACTCCAGAGTAATCGGGGTGTAATTTTTTTTTGTTTTTTTTTAGAAAGGCACCAGTGTTTCGCAACATAGTATATATTGTAAAATGGCCCAAGTAACTGAAAATTTTGTTCCAGATATCCATCGTATCTGGTTCTGTTTTGTTCCTTGTGCTGGCTGGATTCTTGCACTTCTTTGTCCTCTACTTCGTTGCCAAAGACTGGCATCCCCTTTCATCTAGCCTTGTCAGGAAAGTTTGTTCTTATTTTCTGAACCCCATAACCCTCCGTGATGGTGTTTTATGCCGGAATTCTGGTATGACCTGGTGAATTGCGCTCCAAATGTGGAGGACAAAAGAGTGGAGACAAGTCGGATTTTTACGCGTCGAAATTTTAACTAGGCTTCGTGCTTGGAATACAACCCAGCAAAGCAAGGCAAACAACACATTTGACTTCCCAGCTAATATTTGCAGGTCGTCTTTGCTTCTGCGAGATGTCTGTCATTGTGCGGTGACCTAGGGCACAGCACGGATCAGCCTTACCGCCTGATATAGATATGAGAACACGCTTGAGCCATCTGGAGCCAATTATGGGGAAGGCCAGAAATACCAGCAGACGGAGCGTGTGAGGTTACGCAACATATCCATCAAGCCGGGGCTCTATAAGAACTATGAGAATTTGAAGTGGTTTGAGGGTAGCTGTTGTTGGACATTCTGTTGAGTGGCCACTATTGCCAGGTTGATCTGCGGGTTGAGGTTGCATGAGCCGCAGGGAACACCGAAAGACAACCAGCAACGCTTTAATCGGATGGGCTCGCAGAACATTTCCAGCTGAAAGGAAGGAATAACTGGACAATGAAACAACCGGCTCTGCCATTCGCCAACCAATGTGAAAGGGAAAGGGCTGGCAGCTCCCCATCATCAGATGGCCAGTTTTGGGGTTGAAGGAGGTTTGCCTTGTCCGAGGTATGTATTAAATCTTGGTAACCAGTATTTATTTCAGCATGGCAGCAAACTCTAACTGTCGGCAGCGTTAGCTAACAGCCACCCGCTTAATTTGCCATTCCTTGAAGAATTCTATGTCCCATGCTGCTCAGCTAAAAGCAAATGGTACATTATCCCCACTGGCCATGTTGCAACCTGAAGGGAAAAGTGGATTTACCAGCTTGCGGCTGCATGAACTACGGTGTTTGACAGGGTCAAAATAGCCGCCTTCTGGTTTGGATGATAATTGCTGGCGGTATAATAGATTCTTTGATATCCGGGGAATCTGCACCAAATACGGAGAAAAATGATTGGAGACAAGGAGTTCCTCAGGCCCTTGTCAGGCTTAACAAATTTTAGCACTATTCGGATGGCACCCTTTAACACGCCTGGACCCACGCACCGAGACGGGAACATTGTATTCGCGCCTAGTTTTTTGGAAACTTACAACACCGCGCAACCGTTTATGCCGCGCCGCAAAACTTATTGCGATCTTCTCATGTTGGTATGGGAGAAATGAAGCTGGTATATCAGTGGCTTGTTCCACGAAATCCGGACATGGGATGGCGCATTGTTTCTGAAGAGAGCCGTTTCTACATTTCCTCGGTACCAAGGGGCATTTATGCATAGGTGTCAAGCTCCAATGTAAACCTTGAAAAAAGTTTGGCTCTGGGGCGTTTCTCATGCGCTGCAACCTTTTGATTTTATTCATCCTGCCAGGATTCAGCGTTTGCCACGCAAATATTTGCTAACTCCCATGGCTTGATGTGCAAATCAAGGATCGCGAGTCGAGGTTGGGAATAAATTCCTTTCATTCCCAGTTTCCCAGATCGGGATCAGGGATAATTATTGGTAGATATTAAGAAACATGGGATCTTTGAGGGAGGTTTTACCACTACGCTAAAAGGATAAATCCTTAAGCTAGCCACCTATTCCTCAAGATATTATTTGTATGTATATGCATGTTTCACGGATATGATAGGGCTGTCCTGTTGAATCACCTAAATTTGGGCTATCGCCTTGCAGAGAAGTCTTTTGGTGCATCCTTAAAACCTTGGGGAAAGCCCTTGCAGATGTGGCAAGGGGAGGCATTTTGATGTTAGGCTATTGTGTCTGCTTGAAAAGGAGAGAACTGGCAGAGAGAATGCTGGTTGTCGAGGGAAGACGAACCCAATAAGCAGCAATATCACGTGCACTTCATCGACATGTACGGAACAACATAATTCCGTACAACGCTTGTCGTGGAAGTTGGTAAGGCCCCTCAGCTAAGAGTGTTGCAGTGTGCGCTCAGGAAGAGAGCCGTTATCATCTCAAGCTACGAACCTCGGAGTGTGTACCCCCAGATATAAAGAAAGCGAAATGGTGTATTTCTTTACATCCAACGTCGTTTCTCCCCCCGCATTCATCTATGTCGGCAAGGACAAGACGGAAAGTAGGGATGCCATCTTTCCAATGGCTCATATGTGGATTGGTATACGGCTATACTAATATGGAGTAGATGAGGATCTCATAAAACATGGTCTGGAATGCGACGTCTGGTAGCTATAATTATTACCAACGAGAATTTTGTTTACTTGAAACCCGGCTTCGGAACAAAGCTGATTTGAGCTTGTCTGTAGGGTGCGTTAGGAAGGCTATTTCCCTGGAACAAAGAACTGGCGCTTAAGAACTGTCTTGTAACAATGTTGTTTACATAGTTCCATGTCGACAATCTATCCAGTGCCCACGTTTATCTCCGCCTCAGAGATGGCGAGTCTTGGGACAAGATTCCTGAGGACCTACTCATTGATTGCGCGCAACTGACAAAAGCAAACTCCATTGAAGGTTCGCTTCCTTTTCTTTCTCGACGTTGTTGTATACGCATAACTAAAGGATATCCGAGCATAGGAAATAAGAAAGACAATGTAACTATAATATACACACCGTGGTCAAACCTACACAAAACCGCCGGCATGGCGATTGGCCAAGTGGGCTTCCATAACCCAAAACTCACTCGTAAAATCCATATCGCCGCCCGGCAAAACCCCATTGTCAATCGCCTAAACAAAACACGAGTTGAGAAATTCCCGGACCTGCGGCTGGAGAAGGAAGAGTACTTGAAAAATATCAGGCGGGAGGAGCGGAAACTGCGCGAGGAGAAGTGGGCGGCTGAGAAGCTAGAGAGGAAGAAGAGGGAGGAGCTTAAGTGGCAGAAAGAGCATGCGTATGATGACTTTTTGAATGAGGAGAATATTCAGCAGAGCAGCAATCAGGATCGAGATTCGGATTTTTTGGATGATTTTATGTGACAAGATGGAGCCCATTTCTTCCCATGAGTTAGTTAAGGCTTTTTTTAAAAAAAAAAAAAACCTCAACTCCATACGCCAAGTCACACGATAGCGGCTCTCTAGTTGTTCCGCCCGAGAATTTTATCCCCTTGACTGGTGCAAGCGTCCATTGCGGAAACTAGGAAAGAAGAGGATTTGGCTACATCATCAGGCAGAATTGTTTTTGGACCTTGGCATGGCATGGTGAGTGGTTAACCTAGGCCAATGAGACAGGTACTGAAGACTGAATTGAGCATAGTGACTTTATTGAAAAATATAGCATTCTGCCTTATTCCTACCTGTGACCCTTAAATGCACATACTGTGAAACTTCAAGGCATATCGCTTTTGTATGGTAGCATGTCCCAGTTGTACCACCACCCAAACTAGAAATGGATTGATGATCATAAGTTTGATTCCTGCCTATGCAAAGCGTATTTTGGCGGTGGGCACCAATATAATATTAGTGCAGAAGAGCAAGAACTAGGAAGATCTGTAAAACTAGTTAACTCTGAAGGGTATGTGGAACTTCAATGCATAAATTGATAAATTGTGAACTTTAAGATTATGGTAATTAGGGGAATTCTCCTTTTAACCTAGTGGCAAAAGTTCACTTTTATACATACTATATCATCATATCTATAGAGATTTCAGTTAATCGTGCAATTGAGTTTCATGAAGATCAATAGTTTTTTGTCAATCTTCAGTTAATTAGTATATTACTTACTAGTCACTATTTAAGCTAGTTGTGCCGTACCCCGTAGAATTATCTCGATCGAAGGATTATAAGGTGGCTAACTTCCTGCCAGCCATGTCTGATATCTGCTGATAGTGATGATCATCTGATACCTATACTCTTAGACGGTGCTCATTCAAGTCTACTGGAATGAGAAACAGACTAATAGGTAGTGTGAAGAACAAAAACGTCATTGTAATACTGTGGAGAGCATTATACTATTATTGGAAGGAATAGTAGATGATCATGGAAGATGACGAGAAGGGAGTTGTAAAGTAGAATCCATATTCAGTATATCAATACATAGGGCATTCATAGATTATGCCCAGACGATGTTAATTCTTCTTTGCTGATACAATGGAATCCTCAACTCTGTGGCTCCAGGCAATTACATATCATCTTCCGTTCGTAGGGCCATTTCAGGGCTTATGCAGAAGAAGATGAGCAGATTCTTCAGAGATGTTGTTCTCTTTCAGTGTTCCAGGATCCTAGGGGATAACCCTCGAACTATGGACTGTTACACATTGGGTCACTTCTACTCCTGTCTCCTGACATTTAAGTCCCAAAACAGCGCATGGCTTGGGTCTTCATAGAGCTTTCATGGGTGTTTCATGAAAATGGTTCTGCAATGGTAAGGCAAACAGCGAAACCACGGCATGAGAAATTAACCCAAACACACATAACTGCTAGAGGTCCTACAACTGGAGGTCATCCAAGGCCACCTGAAACGTAGCAGAAGCTGAGACCGTCAACAATTGCTACCACTTTCTTTGCCTTCGTTCCTGCGGGTGGAATGTGGATCCATCGTGAGCCGCACACGGCTGCGGGATTACGTATTGCAACCCGCCCACGCTAACTAACGACACATCTACAATTCTGCATCTGCAACCCAAACCCCTGCAAATTCGACAGCAAAACGTGCAACTCGACATCTATTATATCAAGAGTGTTGAGATCGCGCGCTAGAGGAGGGTCTATTCGATTGGTGTTCCTGCGGCGCCTCTCACGAGGTCCCATTGTCCCTTGAACGATGCCCTCAGATACAACTTCTGCGCCGGCACCAGGTACGTAACGCCTTCATCTTTATTTACTAAATAAGTAGGCCTGCGCGTAGTCTATTCAAGGAGAGACCTAACTGCGCCATGTAAATTGCTTAGGGGCAGGAGGGAAATCAAAGAAAAACAGCAGGAAGAAAGCAAATGCGAAAGCAAAGGCAAATGGCGGGACCGTTCCCATCACGACTTCTTCCGACCAACTACAGCCGCCCACACAATCCGACGGGCAACAGGAGAGATCAGGCCAGGGTCAACAGGAGAAGCCAATTGCACCGCCGGTATTTCTCTCACCTTGTCCCCGCTGGAGGCGGGAGGCATCAGGTATGCTAAGGAGACACATTGTCTAATCTTGAAGTTTTATCTAGGCTAGCAAAGAAAGCGTCGCGAACGGCTCCCAGGCAGCGGATTTGGAGGATAACAATGGAGGACGGGATAAGGAAACGGAGTCGATAACGGAGAGCGACACTGATGTACCGCCTCCCAACTCAACAACCACTTCTTTTGATTCCGACCCCAGGTTCGAAGCACTGGTGCGGGATCGCGACTCCCTGCGTGCGGAAGTAGCTGAGATGCGCATATCTCTGGAAAAGATACAGTCCAAACACGATGAGGAGATGGGGGCTCTACAGAACGAGCTGAAACAGTCACAAAATGACAAAGAGCATGCCGAGACCCAGTTTCGGAATTTGTTGGGCAAGGTCAATACGATCAAGTCGCAGCTGGGGGAGAGGTTGAAGGCTGATGCTGTACGTCTCTTTGAATTCTTTGGTGTGCTATTTTTTACATATACGGTTTTTGAGATGGGTTTCCCTTTTTCGGCCCGTTTGTTAACAAATGAGTCTACAGGAAGAATTGGAGCAGAAGAGGAGCCGGATTGAGGAGCTTGAGGGCCAAAATGCTGTGCTACAAACGGAGGTGGAGTCGAAATCGGCTGCTCTCAAATCACTGGAGAAGGAAAGGGAACAGCAATCTAAGGAGCTGTCTAGCTTGCGAAATCGGACGAATTTATCGCAACAAAATTGGCTGAAGGAGAGAGAGGAATTGGTAGAACGAGAGGCATATGTGCGTTCGGAATTCGAGGAGGCAAAGCAAGCTATGCACAATTGGGAAATTCTCGCCATGGAGGAGCGATCCATTCGAGAAAGTCTGGAAGAGAAAGTGACAGACCTGGAGGAGCAGCTTGTCACCTTGAAAAGCGACTATGAGAAAGCCTCTTCCGAACGCGATGCACAATCAGTGACGGTGGACGGGCTTCAGAGGGCGCTTCAAGATATCCAAACCGGTAACGGATCTTCTCAAAGTTTTTATAATTTCACGTGGTTAATACGGCTAATACGATTTCTTTTTCTATAGCCCGAAAACAGGAGCTACGAGAGATAGTAGAAAGCTCAGATGCACAGCTGGAAGAGCACCGGAAGAAGCTCCAGGAGGCTGAGAAGAACGCCACAGAAGCCATTGCCAAACTAGAAGAGGCAGAGGCGGAGTTGAAACGAGCTCTGCCATTTGAAAAAGAAGTCAAGGAGAAGAATCTGCTTATTGGCAAGCTACGCCATGAAGCAGTGACACTGAATGAGCATCTTACCAAAGCTCTAAGGTTCCTGAAGAAGGGAAAACCAGAAGATAATGTAGATAGGTATGTTTTGCCTCTGTTCTTCATTATACTAAAGTGCAATGGTGGCCAACTAGAATAATCAGACACCTCGTCACCAACCATTTCCTCCATTTCCTAGCGCTGGATCGATCAGACCCGAAGAAATTCCAGGTCCTGCAGCTCATATCAGCGTTACTAGGATGGACAGATGGTATGTCACACCCAGAGCCCTTTATTTTCCAATGCATATTCTTGGGACAAGGGATGGGCCTTGTCTAACGCCACTCCTTTGGGTTATCTAGAACAACGAGAGCAAGCTGGTCTTGCCCGCCCCGGAACCTCAAGCGGATTTGGCGTTAGTCTACGCATTCCCAGCACTTCATCCCTCCTATCGAGGACACCAAGCTCGCCGTCCCTTGGGTCCGAGTTTTTGATGGACAATGTAAGTACACGCAAAGAATCACTGGCGGAACTCTGGTCAAATTTCCTGGAACAGGAGGCGGCGCAAAAAAAGGAATCGAAGTCACGAAGTCAATCGGATGCACAGCCAGCCTCTCCCACTCCATAAACTATGTATACGAGGCCACTTAGGCGACGGTTAACTAGACTCATGTTCCTTTTACCATCAAATTTTTAGCAGCCTAGAGCATTAGTTTTCGTATAATTTTTCATCCTCGCAGGGCCGCCAATTCTATTCATGTGTCAAGCGAATGTGATCCTCCGGGGACCGCCAAAACAGCCGCTCATGGTACAATCTCATTAATTTGCAGGAGTAGACCAACAACTATATGTAAGCCAGTGCGGTTCAACTATCCTAGCCCGTAGTATAATCATACCCACAAGGGAGGTAGAAATGAAAGAATGATATTGTTAGATAAACTCTCCCCCAGTCTCGTGCCAAGAACCTAGAAACCCAATCCCCAAAATTGGCGACAACACGATAGTAGTTATTCTCATAATTTTTGGTCTGCCTTTCCTCTCTTTCTTTCCCCTATCCAATCTCCTCATTTCTTCATACATTCCAATGGCCGCTGCTGGTAGGTCTCCCACCTGTTTCCCATCTCCAAGCTCGACTAGCCCTGTTCTAACAACGAAGTGCAAAAATAGCCATCCGCAAATTCCGCCCTGTAGTGATATCCGGCCCTTCAGGCGCTGGGAAATCAACATTGATAAAAAGACTCTTTGCCGATTACCCAGATACCTTTGCGCTTTCAGTTTCTCGTCAGTTCCACCAGCTTGCTATCCACTCACCTTTCCCCTTTCTCAAACCGCCGCTCGCTATTAACCCCCGCTTTGAATGGCAGATACAACCCGACCCCCCCGCGCCGGCGAACAACACGGACGTGAATACTACTTCACAACACGCGATGGCTTCCAATCCCTCATCGACGAAGGCGGCTTTATAGAGTGGGCCCAATTCAGCGGGAATTACTATGGCACTAGCACCAAGGCGGTGAGGGACGTGGCGGAGAAGAAGCGCATTTGCATTCTCGATATTGAGATGGAGGTATGCAAGAGTCTAATTATATATATACCCTCTCCCACCATCATACGCCTGCTTTGCTGCCAACCCGACTAAACCCACCTAAATGGAAAATAATAATAATAATAATTTTTACAGGGCGTCAAACAAGTCAAACGCACATCCCTAAATGCGCGTTTCATTTTCATCGCCCCGCCCTCCCTCGAAGTGCTCGAGCAGCGCCTGCGGGGCCGCGGCTCGGAGACGGAGGAGAGTCTCCGCAGCCGTCTGGCGCAGGCGAAGAATGAGCTGGAGTATGCCAAGCAGCCTGGCGCGCATGATATGGTGCTTGTCAATGACGAGTTGGAGGCTACGTATAAGGCGTTGAGGGAGTGGGTGGTTGATGAGGGGCGGTTTGGGGCGCTGGAGTGAGAGGTTGTATGGGACTTCTTTTTTGGCTGTTTTTGCGAGGCGAATGGGGTATTTGATAAATGAGGCGGGAGAGGCTGAGGGTGAAAAATTGCATTGCGTTGTCCTTATATATATTTATATATCGCCGCACTCTTTCTTTCCCTCTGTGTCTTTCTCTTATTTCCCTCCCCTTAATATCCAAGACGTTACACGTTGCACTATATATACACGCCTACATGGCGCAGAGTCGGGTTGATTTATTTATTTATGATGATTTTCTGTTTGAAGCACCGGGTTAACCGTTAAACGTTGTGATCTGCTATTTAGATTCCAGACATAGAGAGAATAGAAAAAGGGGACAAAATAGATACCGTTCACTATGAATCTACCTACCTGGCATAATCAATACCTAAACGGTGCATTTGCATTTGTATTTTCAATATAAAGGTCCTTCTTTCTCATTATTCCTTCTAGTTTGTTTGTCTCAATTAATTTTAAACCCAGCAGAAAAACCAATCAAATTAAAAAAGACTAAAAAGAGAGCTAGAGAGACATACAAAAAGGGAAAAAAAGCAGCTATATTGATTGCGGAAGGTGAGAAAAGCAAAAGAGGAACAATTGGAAGGGGTTTCTTTAATGGTGCAAGGCGAGGAAAGGAAAGCTGTGCTAAAAAGGAGAAAGAAAGAAAAATCAGATAAATAATTAAGGATATAATTAGGAAGACTTGCTGTAGTACATTACGGGGAAAAACAAGACAACACAAAAAATGGGAAGATTTGCTCGCGTATCTTTTAGTCACTAGGCTTTGATGCCTTTTTCTTTCCATCTTTCAAAAAACGGCAAGGAAAAATGGCTCGAAGCCAAAGCACAGTATCGCCGGGGCCGGGGAAAAGGAGAATGGTGGCATAGTTCCAGCAAATGAAAATAAGGGGGGGGGGGGGGGATTGGAGGAAATCGAGAAAAAAGGTAGAGTCGGAAAAAATTGAGAGAATGAATACACACACAATAGAAGAGTTACAAAGGGATATTTTGTAAAAGAGGCTCACGGTGAACTTTAGTTGGCAGATGGAAGAAAAAGAAGTGAGCGTCTGGGTTCTAGAAAGCCCCCAGTTGATCTGTTGCTCAAGTGCAGGCCAATGGGTGCTTGCATCCAACGACGAATGCGATACAGAGAGTAGAAAATAAAAACGCTTCCGACGAACGACTGAGATAACTAGCTAGAATCACCATAGGAAAACCTCTAGTTATAGCCGTTCATTGCCACCCTTTGAGAGCCCTTGCTCAATTCCCGGTCTGCGGAGGGGCTAATGGGTCGGCTGCCAGAGTGAGCTGTAGCGCTGCTCTCCTTCAAGGCCAGCAGCTGTTTCGCGCGGAAGGTCTCGTAGTGGATCTGGCTGGTGGTCTCGATCAGATCCTGGAGGTGGGTGCGCGTGAGGAAGTTGCGGAGGTAGACGAATTCGCAATGGTTCTCGTCTTCGACGTTTATCACGCCCCAACGGTTCTGGCGGCCACGGACTTGCTTACCACCAACGATGATGGATTTCTCGCTTCCAACAACTGCGAAGGGAATGATGTCCTACAAGGTTGCTTGTTAGACTGGGAATTTATTCAGACAAGGTGAAAAGGGTTTTTTTCCTACCTTGATTTGAGCGTTAACGGCACGCTCTTCATCGTCCAATTCATCGTTATCATAAGGGTACATCTTCAGGTTATGGAAGGCGAATTCCTCCTTGATTCTCTCCTTGAACGCTAGTCGCTCTTCTAGCGTCAAAGAATCGGATTTGGCAATGACAGGCACAACATTGACAACATCAGATAGCTTCTTCAGGACGACAATATCAATTGGTTTCAGACTAATTTCATTATTAGTAATTTTTTTGCCACGATCCTTTCAAAACCGTGGGCAAATAGAGACGTACGCATGTCCAGAAGGCTGGATAAAGAACAAGCAGCAATGGATACGTGTATCCTGGATGTAGCGTTCCCGCTGAGCAGTAAGTTCCTTCCTGAGATAGGCGGAGTGCTGATCCTTGATATACTTGACAATTGGGTCCCAGCTGCAGAGATACGAATCAGCAAACAGTTCCAACAATATTCATACTTCTTATCGCATTTACCATCTATCATTGTTAACCTGGTCACCATAACCGGGGGTGTCGACAATGTTCAACCGAAGGCGTACGCCGTTCTCTTCGATGACTGTCAAGTAGGAGATATCATAAGTATCTATATGTATATATTTGCAAATTGGAGAGGAGGGAACGTACTATGGGAGACAGCTTGAATTTCGGTGGTTGAACGCACAGGCTCATCTGGTCTCAAACGGCCCTTCGAATCGATCAGGTGGGAGGCGAAGATGGTATTGATCAAGGTCGATTTGCCCAGTCCAGTTTGACCTAAAAGAAGCCACCGGTATTTAGTATCATATGTCCATTTATAAGGGTTGGAATTGGGCTTTGTAGCCGTTGTTAGGGTGAAATCCAAAAATCATGGAAGGAGGCTGAGAAGTCGAATAACAAAGCAACGCAAAGCAAAGCATAATGCAGCACGTACCCACGCAGATAACGTTGAATTGAAAGCCACGCTTCAGCAATTTTCGCTCGATCTGCGAGGTGATGCTATCAAAACCGACATGGCTTCTGGGGTAGACGGTGCTCTGTGGAGTAACTGGGGATTGTGGTGAAGCCATAGCAATGACGGGCAGACGGAGTATGACAACACGAGCAGCGCAGAATACAACAGAGAATAGGGGCAAAGAAGGATACGAAGTGGAAATGACAACAGCACTGGAGATGAGCAGGAGCAGCAGCTGGAAGAATTCGACGCGGGAGGAAGAAACAAGCAGAGCACAGAGCGGACGACGGACTCCAGGAACTCGCCCCTTATTGAAATCTGCGGTGGTTCAATTGTTTGGGCGCCGGTCAGGGGCAGCCGCACTAGTCCGCTTTGGAGATAGTGTGTTTCCGCTGGTCCCTTCCGTCGGAGCTTCATTTTTATTCGATGATTTTGATGATTTTGATGATTTTGATATCCAGCGATTCTGCACCAGGAGGAACGAAACGTTCACAAACCACTTTAGCTCTACATTGCTATATACGCCACTTCTATACCCGCTAATTCCTGCTTCCTATCTGCGAACTCTATATACCACTCCTCCGCCGGCCAATTTGGCCATACACACCCAATCACCACCACCTCCGCACCATGTCGTCCCTAGCTTTCTCCTCCGCCTCCATGCTCTCCCGCCTCTTTCCACGACTCTCCCTTCAATTCCCTCACACAACAAGCCAATTGCTACGATATAACCATGCACCGAACTCCCTTTTGACTGTCGCCGCAGCTGCAGCCGCTCCCGCTTCCATCGTCATCGAAATCCCATCCCTCCTCTCCGATATCTGGGATTCCGTCCTGCGCGCCGTACCCAAGAAGAAGACCTCACATATGAAGAAGAGACACAGGCAGATGGCTGGAAAGGCATTGAAAGACCACCTGGATCTGAATACCTGCTCGAGCTGTGGGCAGCCGAAAAGAGCCCACTTACTGTGTCCAACTTGTGTTAGCGGTGAGTCTTCCCCTTGATGTATCTCATATTCATCCTCACAAGGCTTTGACTGACAGGCTGGTGGCTCTGAAGAAATAAAGCAAGAATGGAGAGAGGCGGAGAAGAAGGCGGATAAAAGCTCGTGAATTTATTTTATTTCCACTCTCTCAGTGTATTATCATTTTTCTCTCGGAGGGAAGGTATAGATAAATAGCACCTGTGTTGAAACGCCTGAAAAAGGACTATCGTGTGTGTATGTGTGTGATGGGCATAGCATTTGGCGTTTTGGTTTTTTGATATCACGATTCAATTGAATTTTTAAAGTGTACTGTACAAACCAGCTGGTCTTTCTGGATGGTTATCGATGCCACCAATGGGCTCTCAGAGGATAGAGAATCTAGATATTTAGTTGTAAATAATTTATAGATATTATTGCTTTTAAATTTAATGGATCTCTAACATTAATAGTGATCTGATCGGATGTGTCATATCTTGTACTTGAATGATGTGTGGCCATTGTTGGTGATTCACAGCACTTTTAGGAACGTCAACTTGATATAGATCAATTTCGTACGTAGCCCAAGCATATTTAAACCATATCACACCACACACACCACCATGACAAAATAGTCCCAAGGACGTAAACATGGTAAGCAATCTTCTAAAAACCCATGTATAAATCTGGCCAAACATAAATCCGTTCTAATACACATGACGGTAACAATAGTCAAAGCAATATTTGACCCTTCATACAATCGATAAGGGTAAACCCTATCCCATCCTGCCTCCTGTCTGCTATACCCAAAACCTCAAAATACATACATATATATCTATAATCTCCAAGCTAACTAAAAAACATTATCAGCGCACCCCATTGAAATCTTCTCCTTAGCCTTAACTTCGAGCCAACTGATATCCTGCTCAGGAGCATCGTCGCTCAAAGTCCACTCAACCACAGAGCCAGATTTCCCCTTAGTCCAATCCATCGACGGCGCGCACAAGATCGGCTGCCACCACCTGGTTGCAAGCAGGGATGGTACAAGGCTTGTGAGTGTTGGATTTGGTGGGGAGGTTAGGGTGTGGTCTTCTCTTGCTGGTGGGGTGTGGGTGGCTGATGAGGGGATAGGCGATGCCGTGGGTGGTGGGAAGGGTGGTATGTTATAAATCAACCAAGTTTTTACAGCTGATTTTCATACTATATCATTTCCTTTCTTTTTGGATATGTATAGACGGATACGTCGGTTTGTGATGACATGATTGAGCTAATATTATATACACAATGCAGAAAGTAAGTTGAAAGTCAGCGGGGTATGGGCCGCCGCGCTCTCTGTGGATGGCGAGTATCTTGCTGGCACGACGTTGGATGGGCATATCAAAGTCTGGCACATCGATGGGGCCGGGAAGGGCAATAACGTGTCCCAGATCCGCGATCTGGAGACGAAGGGTAGCTTTGGGATGTGTATTGATCTGGTACGTGCACAGGCAAGCGAGTCCAGTATGCCTTGAGTTCAGATAATGGAGCGTATTCCTTTCGCATTATCACTTTCTCACCCGAAAGCTCGACACTGACCACCTTCAATAAATTCTTTTCGTTCTGTCATTTTCATACATATTCTTGCTTCGGAGGGTCTATGGCTTACATGTTAAATGCTCCATATTATTCCCACACCTAGTCCGCAGACGGCAGCCTGACAGCATCTGGCCACGCGAATGGGAACATCTTTATGTTCCGCAATGAGACAGGGCGGATGATACATTCCCTGTCGGGTACGTAGAATGGAATCCGTACCTCCACCTACTAGGTTCAATAACTACAAATTCCTAGACAAAGTACTAACGAGATTTCCAATAAAACAGGTCTAGCCTCCCCCGTTCGAGCTGTATCATTCTCCCCTGGGGGTAAACTTCTCGCAGCAGCAGGTGACTCTCGAGTAATCCAGCTGTATGAGACATCTTCCGGTGAGCAGGTAGCCATGTTAACAGGGCATGGGTCCTGGATTACTTCTCTGGACTGGAGTCATTCTGGTGAATTCCTTTTGAGCTCGTAAGCCTTTTTATTTCTCTTTTCTCTCTCCTCCCCCCTCTCTCCCTTTCCTCTCTTGTGTGTTTCTCTCGCCCACTATCTTCATTTTTCATCTATCAGATTTCCATCCGATTCCAAACCTAGTCTGTTTTCATCATTAACTTTTTGTTTTTTCGAATCCTGGCAGAGCCCTTGATGGAAAGGTTAAAGTGTGGTCGATTGAACGGAGGGTGTGCGTGGCCACGCACTCTGAGTCCGATGCGGCCATATGGAGTGCGAAGTGGTTGCCAAAAGTTGGAGGGTCGGCAGAGAAGTTTGTTACAGCGAATGCTAAGGGGGGCATTACTTTTTATCGTGAGGCTACGGGGGGATGAGCATGAATAAGTAACTGAACGGGCGGGATGATGAGTATTTTGCAAGATATTCATCGAAAACAAGGGAAGAGGGTATGAAAAATACTACTCTTCGTTGGAGGCGATATGAAAAAATAGAATTAATAGGAGGAATTCAAAAGGGCGAAACCAAATAAATATATGAAAGGAAAAACTAACGCCCCCTGCCCCTTGTCGTCAATAATGAATAAAATATAGTCATCAACTCATTCCCTCCGAATAGAACACCAATCTCATAATAATCATAGACAAAGAAGAGGAAAAATGGACAGAATATGCTGAATCCCCTCACTTCATAGCCGCCACAAACAACCTCCTCATCCTCTTCAAAAAGGCCCCAAAATCCCTATCATCATTCACAACCATTAACTCCTGCTCCACCGCCGCCCTCTCCAGCTTCGGCCGACAGTGGAAAACTTCATAATCTCTACTCGCCGTCCCCAGCTCAAACCACGCCTCGCGCTCCCAATCCTTCTCCACTAAGTGTGTGTAGACAATCCGAAGCCGGTCCTCACGCCCTGCTCCTTCAATCCGCAGGCACAGGTAATCCTGCCAGAACTCCAGCTCGGGTGTATTCAGGCGCGCCTGGGCGTCGAGTTGCCTGGAATGTGCCTTCTGCGCCTCCAAGCGCTGGTTGATGGTCCTCTGGGTCTCGTCGATTTGCTGCTTGAACCGGTCGCGGGTGGCAAGTCGCGCATCGCGCTGGGCTGTGATGGCGGCAATCGCCTCGTGCATTTCGGCGGCTTCAGCGGCTTCCTTTTGTAATGTTTGGGCGTGGGTTTGGGATTTGAGGTCGAGGATTTCGATGTCTTTTTGTTTTAGGCGACGGTCCTCTGTGGATATAAATGATGGATCCTGTTACCAGGATTCTTATATTGCGACAAGAGAATCGCGTTGATGAAAAGTAATTTTCGGATGGCGCGCATTTTAAAAAGACCGTGGTCAAACACACCTTGTAGCTCAGCTAGGTTCACGCGGAACTGATTTCTCTCTTCAAGAACTTGTTTCCTCCCTCTTTCTATGAAGCTGTCGAACTTGGCTGTGAATTGGGCCATCCGGGAGCGTAGATCTTCGAATCCGAAGTTGATGCTGGGCAATTGATCCGCCATTGACGGCGCGTCCGCTGACGATAGCGGCGGGCGCATGCCACTTGTAGATAATGAGGGTTCAAAGGACATCGACATTTTTGCAGATAACGATTTACGACTTTGCGGCGTATGATACTGGAAGACAGTCTCCGGCTTGAAATGCGTGTTCGCATTTGAGGTCATGATGATTTGCCGAAGTCAGGTTGCGACAGCAACGGCAGATCCGCGCTAACTATATCGGGTAGTCAGCTTAACTAAAATCTTGCGAAGTCCCAGATTTTTTATCTCTGACTTCAACCATTGATCTTCACACTTGTGGGATTCTTTTTGGTGCCCCGATGCATATGACATTGACGAGCTTGCCAAAAAGCTTTATTGTGGACTGACCCATTTGGCCCGAAATGATGTCCCACATTCCAGAAACCAATGTCAAGCGCAAATGGGTGACTATCGAACAAACATTCTACAATACGGGCACTTGGGCACTGCAACTTATCTACCTGATCTACAAGTATGGGAATTTTCGCGCAAGATCGATAGAGGTAAATTCGACCTTTTGAATTTATTTATTCTATTCCCTATCGCTAATATGTTAAAATGAATAGTGCCTTCACTCGTCCTTTACGGCCATGTCAATTGTGCCTTTGCTGGTACAGAGCCGTCCGGCGCTTGGAGTCTGATCCACAATAGCAGCGGGTTGTTAACCAACAAAGACGAGGATGACTTGTTGAAAATTAGGCCGGAACTGGCTCCGGCATTGGACCTTTTCCGTCGACATGAAGCATCATCTCGTGCTATCACTGCTGCTGTGACCAAGTTCGACCCTCAAGTTTCCAACCTCCTAGCAGTCGGAAATGCGATCAACTTTGACCGCCGTGGCGGCTACGATTCCACGGTTCCAATAGCAGCTCTCATCAGTAGTGATTCAACTGTGTCCATTCAGCTTGTGGAATTGGAAGATGAGGAAATCGCGTGGCCCCCAGATAGTGATCGCCTGGCTAAAATCCCTTCTTTCCAGACCCGTGGGAGGGGGCGGTGGATGGGGACTGCTGGCCCTGTACAGCAAATATGCTTTGCGGAAACTGTGGATGAAAAAAGTACATGGTTGGCTGTGCGGTTTATACAGTCCACGATTGTATTTCGTCCCCAACGGAACAAGCTTTCGCTTTCTGCCCATTATGATGATATGGATTTCATGCGTGAAAATCTGGCGGATACCCGTTTGGATGCTAATCCGATCCTTAGCATCTCCGTTTCCGCAACTGGCGGTGTCCCACACGCTGGTATTACGTTCAACCCTTGGTATCAACAACAGATAGCGATTGTCGATCGCTTAGGAAATTGGGCGGTTTGGGATATTGGAAAGCAGCGCCATAGTACATATTGGTGTGCAGACCGCGGTCAATCGGGCAGGCTGTACCCAGAGGAAACTCCACATTCTGATGAATTTTTCCAACGAGATCATTATGATGGATGGGCTGCTATTTTGTGGGTGGGAAATGTCCATAAGTTGTTGGTTTGCGACAGACGGAATATTGCCTTGTATCGAATAGACACTGATCCCGTGCAGCGCCATACGATTGACGTTGATATTCAGCGGGAGTCTGAGTGGATTTTGGACATTAAAAGGAGCCAGTCCAACCTCTCGAATATATTTGTTCTTACAACAACGCAGGTACTTTGGCTGCATGTCAATTCCGATGATTCCTTATCACGCAATCAGGGAGGAGATAGTCGGGAATTTACCATTTTACTCTCTTGGCGCCATTTCAGGGATCCTGAAGATACCAGTCTTCAATTGGCCCCAATGCTGGTGCAAAAATGTACTGTCTTTCAACCCCTTTAGACTTGGGTACGTTTCCCTGTAAGGATTTTGCTAACATAAATGTAGCTTTCTCCCTCATTTTGTTCTCGCGACTCAACAGTTTAGCACAAGTCTTTTGTTTTGCCTTTTCTCCAGAGGACTCATCTATTCCAGTATCAGTCGCTGATCCGTTCTTCCTTCCGCTACCTACGGGCAGCAGCGATGACGGGAAATTTTTGGAGTCCTTGCCCGAAGACTCTTACTTTTCGTCTTTGATATTTCAGCCAATCCTAGACTCCAGCATCGCCGATCCCACAAATGACGGCAAAGTCCTTAATCTCGTCAAATTTATCGGTCAGCGCTCCAACTTGGAAGTCATTGAGGCTTTATATGTCGCGAGGGCGGATGGTGGGGACGAAACTTACGAGCCATTTAGTTCCACTCCACCACTGTTGAAAACCGAGAAGAGTGCAAAACGTGTTGTTGATGATGATGATGATGATTTCATAGTGGATGATATGAATGAAGTAGTCCTGCCACTATCCGCTGGGCGGAGGAATTGGAATGCAAATATTGAAAATACCTGGGGGCAACCAATACGTGCATTTCCATATGTTGAGAACTGGGTTGATATCTATGGGTTGGCTTCTGCGGCTGTTACTGAGCAAATAGGAAGCAGAGGGAAGTCAACTATTTCCGACAGGAAAACCCAAACGTTCTACCATTGGCTGGATGATCTGAATAGCAACTTTGGGGAATTGGTTCTGGGCGATTCACCACTATCATCAAACTGCAGGACAATGTTTGTGTACTCCTTCCTCTTTGTATTGAGCGATGGCAATTCTAACTACGGTTACACATAGGCTTGATATTGTCCCGGCCCCTCCGTTTTTGGATGACATTGATCGAAATACTAGCGATTTTGACCAATTTTTGGCACGACTAGCGGATCCTATGCAAAATATGCTACCCACTGGATACGAAATCACTCATATACCTATATCATATTCCCCATCCTCAAATGTAGCAATACCTGATCATGTTTCCAGCCGCACAACACCCGCAAACATCACTAGTCTCTACGACTCCCTTGTCCGCGACTGGCTCTTCCCGCTCCCAGGTGACTTCCCAAATAAGATCCGAATGGCCAAAGAAAAGATCATACGAAACATCGTTATGCAATTGGTACTCTCAAGAATGGTTCTAATTAGACGTTTGAGTTCCGAAATCGACGACCCTAAATCTGGCCGCAATCCCGAGACCGCAGAAGGAGACCTTTCCCGTTTCCATCTACACTCCTCGATCCTATGGTCCAACCAGGAACCAATTATACATTCACAAAACCCCACAATCACCATCACTCCATCTGCCGGACAAACCGAACTGGACACAGCGAGTTTCTTCCTACCATCTTCGCAACCCACGGCCACATCCACAGCCACAACCACGACACCATACGCAACCCTTCGTCTCTACACCTCCCTTAAACAACCCAACCAACCTCACATCCCCCGCCGCATCGCGGAAATTCTCTCGCATTGGAAACCCGGCACAGACCCATCGGCCTACAACTGGCAAGCCGCTGTCCGCACACTTCATGACGAAAAGCAACTACAGACCGAAAACCAAGCAGCCAGCCGGCGACGGAGGAGGCATGAGGCAAGGAAATTGCGGAGGCATCAACAGCAACTATCACAACAGCCATATCTACAGTCTCTGTCTGTCTCCACCCCTTCCGTTCCTACCCCTTCGGCGTCGCAGGTTCCCGTTCCGCGGATGGGGCATAGCCAGCAACAGCAGCCGCAGTCCAGCCGGGTAAAGGGGCAAGGGTCGTTTTTGGGAACGGGAACGGGTACTAGTGCCGTCCCACAGATGATGGTGCAGAGCAGCCAAGTTACGGAGGAAGGGGATGTGCCGATGACGCAAGTTGAGAGGGGACTGTTTGGCGGCAGGAATGCGGCTAGTAAGAAGGCTGTGAAGGAGAGGAAGAAGAAGAGAGCGGCAGGGTTTTAAACAGGATTGGGGTGTTTTGCGGGTTTATTAGATATTGTGAAAGATTCTTTTCGTTTCGGAGAGGGAGGAACGCGGATTCGTAGGGGGATTGCTAATATTGGGAAATGGTGATTTTCGCCTTATTGCTCACTCTGTTGACATCCGAAGTATCCATGTTGTATAATAATTAATGGCTATGTTGAATGCGCTCTATATAAAATTAAAATAGCAAAATACACCAGTGCATCTTATCTATAAAATATATATATATATAAACGAGACGTTTGAACGCATCCTAGAGTATATATAACAAGGTTGCTACTGAATGTATATTCGCTTCTGCATATACATATCTGCCCATCAACCCGGAGCTAACTAATAGTATGAAAAGGGGGAAAAATAACAAGTGATGTAAACTAATATAGCCAATTAGAGGATGATATCAAGAAGTGAAACATATGGATGTAAATACATTTTGAAAGCCCACGACGGGGTGTTCCCACCAGGGGATCGCACCCGATCCGCCCCACTCGTTCCTTTCCAGATAAGATAGTTTTCGAAAAAAAATCAGCTCAGGCCTCGAGATAATAGGGGAGGACGGTGTATACAAGGAGACAAAAGCAGCGTCTAGGTATATATAGGTGTGTGTGTATTGGATATCTGTTTCTCCAGCATATGATTTGATCTTATAGAGGCCTTTTGGAACGATGGGTAGGCCATCGAGAACTCTTCGACGTAGAAAGACGAGCGTGCGTCTCGTTTTCAGTGGCTGGAGGGAGGGAGGACTCCTTTACGTGATTCGTAAGGGATGATAGTGATAATACTGTAGTAATAGTAATCGTGATGATAATGATTCGACAATAATGGTCGTGAGAAATGCAGGCCCGTTGCTGTATATATCCAACGCTAGAAATATGGCAAATGTACGTATGTTTGTGCGGATATTGCATATATACATGTGGCTAATGACGTATTTGGATTTTCGTTGGCTCGAGAGGGAAAACACCAGCTCATGAACTGGAGTTATATATATCAGTTAGCCAATCCCGATGCGACTATGGCCGATCGACGCAGTTATGTGCCAGGGTCCGAGAAAGCGTTTTGGTATCCCGAGGAAGTAGAGTGCCGCATATGTCACCAGAGCCAGATTTGTCGAACGCTCTCCAACTCTTTTGCATGCAAATGCCCTATCATTCTTTTTCATCGTCGTAAACGTTAGTTCCGGATAGGAGAACTTTCCAGTCCAACTGCGGAATTCGGTTTGCTTTGATTTTCTTCGGTTTAATTATTTAATGCCATTTTTGGCGATTTCCCGGCTCGCATTGGTTCACCGATGCCCGAATATGTCAATTTCATCAATATCGTCTTCATCCTCCTCTTCTGTATCTTCCTGGTGTTCATCATTGCTAGAATAATCAGAGCCATCAGTGTTCTCGCTTTCGTCTTCGAACAATACTGTTTCATCATCATCCTTTCCATCGCCAAATATCCCAAATGTAGGCCTGGAAGCTTTGCTACCCCAAAAGTCGATGTCTTCGTTATCATTATTGTTTGATCTGTTCTTATCCTCATCACTGGCGGGGGCCGAGGAAGACCAAAACGAATCACTCTGTCGACGAAGGCCAAAATAATTTCCTATCACTGCAGGGACAGTTCGTAGAGGTATGGTGGAGAAGGATCGACGATAACTTGTTGTTTGGTCCGTAGACTGAAGGGTTCCAAGGATGATATTGGAATCATGTGCTGGGACTGACCTTGACATAGTTGAAAGAAATGTAGTTTCAGTTGGTGTGTGGTTCTCGTCGGAGTTTGGTGGCAATCTGGTCATCCGAGTTGGTACGGTTATGTTACGGGATATGTTGCGGATTTCATTAGCTTCACGATGGTGGGTATTCTCATCATTGTTACCATTGGCAGTGAGGAGTTGTATTTGCGTTGTGTTGTAAGAGTAACATCTGCAACAATAGTCAGTAAATAATGCATAGCATAGGAAATGAGATTGACTTACATTTCGCATTTCAACCCCAGCCAGTGGTACTGGACGGCGGACTTCGCAGAACAGTCGTTGCATGATATTAGTGCTCTTGTATCCATAAAATCTGGAGGCATTGGCTGGTCATTGATTGTACGATCTAGGCTTCTAAAGTGGGCTTCCATATTTGCAATGGTTTTGCTGCAAATGGGACATCGATATGATGTTGTTGAATATTGGGAAAAGCACTTCTGGTGGATACTATGGCCGCACTTCATGAATATGACCGTCTCGGGAGAGGTGAACATATAGTCACCACAGATTGGACAGTCACATTGGGTTGAACGTTCGATACATCTGTGGGTCTGCTGGATAGAGATTGGTATACAGACAGAGCAGGTCTGATTGGCCGTTAGCTGAAACTCGAAATTACCAAAATGGGAACAAGATATACCTTGCAGTGATAATAATCCTTACCGATCCCTTGACCGATACGACAAATCCCGCAATCGTTACAGTGGTAAATGCTTTTCTGGCTGTCGTTATCCCAGAGTTTGCACACCGAGCAGTAGTAGCAGGCGGCTTGGATGCCGCACGATTTGCACCATTGCCCGGCCGCTTGCGGAGTGCGACAAACCATGCAGAGCATGTTTTGGGTCGCTCTTCGAATTAAAACGTGATCTTCTTCTTGGTCGTGACAAAATCTGCAAGGGTACCAGGCCTTGCATGTATAACATTGAAGTTTCACTTTCCTCTTATAATGTTGACATCCTAATTGGAGATTCTCCTCTTCCACCGCGTCATCATTTGCGGATTCTTTTGGGAACGAGATGATGCTCTCGCCAGATAGATCTGATGATGAGTCATGTCGAGGCGCGTAACTTGGTCGTAGATCATCATCAGTGAGATGATAGGAAAACCCGAGTGAAGAAGCAGACGTGGGCGAAGTAGGGGACATGGAAAAAGGACCCGAAGATCGTTTACTATGTGACACCGGTGTGCACGGCCGCTCTTGATCATGACAGCTAGTAGGTGAACGTGACTTGCTATACTTCTTGTGTAGAGATGAATTGTAATTCTCTGTCATAAGGGCATGTATCAACCTGGCCTTTTCCGCATTAGAAATTTTTGCATCCCGAATATTGTGAATCTTTTCCCTCAGCGTCCTCATTCCATCATCCTCCGGCAGCGCTGATCCGCTTTTCACTTCCAAATGAAAATCAGCAGCATGATATAGCTCACTATGACCACTGCTTCTTCCATCAGGCTCTCTAACTTGGACTATTCCTCCTATTCTGACATTCGAGCCAATAGTCCTGGAAGAAGAATCCACCGGCACAGGTCCCGATAGTGGAGTTTGAGGTTGACTCATTCCATTAATTGAGTCCAAGGAAGGCCGCTCAACGGTGCCGTCCGTTTCTTCTAGCACCGCTACGTGGGTCCGTGCCGAGAAATGGTGCAATGGAAGGGATGGATCCCTGGCATCAATGTCGGAATGACGATATGTATTGTCGTCTTCATAATGAGGGGTGGAGGAATGCGATACCTCCTCCGGGATAGCAAAGGAAACCTCACCCCCGCTAGGCATGTGGCGCACATCAATCGAACGATTAGAATTGGCCATGCTAGTGACGCCTACCTCACCTCGAGATTCGCCATTTCCTGGGCGAGTCCGTTGCGTTTCAGGCCCAGTATCTGATTGATCTGAGAGCGACCCGTGCAGTTGGCGGGCTCTCCGAAGTAGTGGTTCGGACAAGTAAGACGAAATATACCTGCTCATTGAGCAGAAAAAGGGACAGCGCCAGGCAGAGAGGTGAAGTTATTTATATAAGTATTAGTATATATCTCTCCTCCAAATCCCAGCTGTGGGTGTCGCGTTGAGGCAGGTTGAAGCGTGTAGGACATGTGACGTCTGACATCAGCACATGACATGGCATCGTCCAGGCCTAAATGTCCAACGAGGGCCAACAGCAAACAACATGGACTGATTCCGTGGCACAGAATATAGGAATATGCTGTAATTTGTAGGATCTAGGCGTGTAAGGGATTGTTTCCTTTTTTTGTGTTTATATTTATGTTAATTTACAGATTGTTTGGTTCATCTACTGGGTTGGTTGGTAGATATTATATACTAGATGGTAACCCTATCAATTCCCTTGCTAGCATTTTTATGTGGTTAGGTCTCAAAGCTCTTCGAGATCCAATTGCGGCTAACCCACGGTTGATTTGAGAGTCTTAATTCTTATCCTGACATATTTGAAGCGTAGTTGGTTTGCCAGAATCTTCCGATATGGCAATGGGATGTCCTGATGAAGATAAATGCACAAGCTATTTCCTCATCTAAGACAGAGACCAAGGCTTTCATTAAGCATCTTCAGAGTCATCTCGAATGGCCTGTATGCTGCACTCCTCATCTGGGAACGTACTCCGGTTTGGGCATCAAAACTGGTGGGACTATTAGATACGGAGAAGGAGAAAAATTGTACAATCCCTGGATGAAATTCATCTTACAATTTGGTATCTCCCAACGCAAGCTTTTGGGGTTGCTGCCAGAATCTGACGTGCAAAAGATTCTTGATGATCTTGTGCTCAGTGCTGGTGGAGCTAGACGCCAGTCGAAGAAATTCGAGTGTATTCACAATTCTCTGGGGATTGAACTCTTTTGGCGTGCCGTTTCGAAACGATTTCCGGAGGGTCCAGAGGAGGACATAACGTGCAGGGCTGGAATACCGTATGGTTTGCAAGCCGGTTCTATATAGATGTCTGTAAGCATGGAGGACGGCAATTTTACGGGATTGGGCTTCGAGCGCAGCGACAGTAAGCAACATCTATGACAAAGAATGAGCATAAGATATAAAATAATGATTTTTCTTTCTTTCAAAAGAATGACAAGAGAGGAGAGTACCGTGCTCACTGCAGGATTGGTAAGGCAATCGCAGGTGCCTAGGGTAGTACAAACATTGCTGGAAGAAACGGAAGCGATGGGATGGAGTTAGGCTGAAAGTACTAGTAGCCTCAACGGCACAACTAAAACGTCAATGAACTCAGGTATCATTCAACGCAATCCACCTGGCTAGGGCCTCCTCTATTTGATAGGGTTATGAGTAACTACAAAGTAATTTCACACCTTCGAAATTGCCCGCAGCGGAATTTGACAAGCCAAGAAGTTTAGATACCACGCTTATCCCCATTGGTGCTAAGGTCAGTGGAGTTGAATATCCACCTAGTTTGTATCCTGGCTGCTGTGGTTTCGCTATGTTAATAATTATGCTAGCTATTACTTCAATGAGAGATGGTCATTTCGTGCTTATCTCTCAAGCCAATTCCCTTTAACTAACCCTCACCCTAACCGGAGCTTCGAGCGTACTGTTAGCAGTGGTTAAATACGAGCAACTAGGAGCTTAGTTAGTGTTAGTAATATAGCTTCCCACTTTTTAGATGCTGATTGTGGCGCTTCCATTTTAAGACTAGCGTTTGCCCAGCCTTCCCACTTCCAATCTTCCCTTTTGGAACCCAACTCTTCTTCCTTTCTCAACACGACATCTGTCGTCGTTTCTCCCAACGACAGTGTCTTCCTGGGCTCAGGAAATAGAATCTCCGCATATCTATGATTATGCTGGAACTTCATATCATTATCTGGATTTGTTGAGTCCCAGCGTGCGTTCATGTACAGTGCACACTGATGATATAGGTTTTCCAAGTTTTTGTTTCTCTCCCGACACCTTCTTGTGCCTTTGATCTGCACATCTGTCGTCAGGAGTATGTACTAGACTACGGATTATAAACTGGTATCGTGTGAACCCTTTCCCTCCGATAAATATGACGCGGGTGATTGCTCGAGCCACGTCGGCGCAAGCCGCCCTGCGCGCTCGAAGCAGGGTCCCAAAACCCAAGATCCGAAAACATAAAATTATAATGGAGACCGTTACCCAAGAGAAAAAGAAACTTCGCAGTGTTGTATGTGACTTAACTGAGCCATATCGGAACTTTGGATCAGAACTTTTTAACATAAGGCCCACAGATCTCGTTCGAAGCCAAGGCTCCTCCGGGCTACACCTTTATACCTGCGGGCAACCCCAAGTTTACTAATGCATGCAAGGAGATGTGTCGACAAGATGGGCTCCAGGTCTTTGCTGTTTCGGTCTGTTGGCTGTCCTCCAACTTTCACTTGCGAGTTTGAATTTTGTATTCTTGTCACTGACATCTCTAGACAACGCCTCATCAACGAATGCACGACCTTTCGCAACAGGTGCATAGGATTGGTTATCACTTCCCTAGTGTTGTTGTGGCAACAATCTGTATGGAACGGGGTCTATTTCTTTCGTCGACAGGGAAAGTCGTTCCATACCAAGCAGCATCTTCCTCTCGGCGTCTGACCAAGAACCTTGGTAGGGAAAAACGGGCTGCTTCGGATGTATCCCAAAATACAATCAACGTGGAAGCGAAGGATGCAATCAAGGATTTATTCCCCAATATCCCGACAAAAGACTTGAACCGGATAATCAAAACGGCGTTCCAAAAGGTGTGTTGATTGCCACGTTGGGGTTCGTTGCTGACTCAATTTTAGGGCAAAAGAAAAGTCGGGACTGCCGTCGAACTACCGCTTGCGCGCCGCGTGCAATTAGCTGTTGTAGCTCATATTCGTCACGTCTATACTGACTATGATCGGCTACTCAGAATCACTTCTTTTCAGGATGCCAGAGCTGCGGTTGAAGAGCCCACTCTTGCTAAGCTAGTTCAATGGCGAGGCGACGATGAAAATGGCAAGACCGTTTTGGAAGATGTATTCCGCGAGGTTATTGTTATTTCTGATGACGAAGATGACGAGGAAGACGAGAGTGACCTTGCTGACGAGAGCTTCTCCAGAGAGGGTCGACAATCGAGCGTTGAGGTTGTATCGAATAAAGCCCTAACAGGAGAACTCCAAACAAGGCCTATGAACTATGGAAACCTTCCCGTTGGTGACCATGGAGCTGTCCAGGATTTCTCTGAGGATGAAGCTCCATCTGGGTTCAGATTTGTACCACAGCCTTCGCGAAAGAGAAAGGTTGTAGACAAGAAAAGGCCGGATCGTAGGGGCTTTAGTCGATACCAAGCCTGGGATCGAGCCCGCAACCGATACAAAGCTGGTGAATATTTACCTGATATAGTTAGGCCTGATAACTATGTGGTTGATCGCTATTCCGTTCCTCCTACCATGCAGGATCCCTTGCAGGAAACGGGAAGACTGAATGGCCACCCCACACGCCCTCTTGTCTCTGAATCGATTACCGGCGTATGGCGCCCTCCACGGCTCTATGATTCTACTAATGAAACACTCGTTAACCAACCTCTGAACACGATCGATCCCCTGCCATTAGATAGCAGCCCATATTTTCTCGAACCGAATGTAAGTTAACTCGCATAAGCCAATAATATGACCGGTCCCTACTTGTACTTGCCCTTACTCTAGCATTGGTACTGACAACAACCAACCAACTTACCCGAAAATTAGAAATCTCGAGCAGGGCCGCCTGATCGAATCCAATTAGCTGATGGTGCTATATTTGAAAGAGCCAACATCTCCACATGGCCCGAACGGGAGATAATAGTTCAAAAACCCAAGCAGTTGTCTCCTACTCTTATCTCCCCAAATGTACTAGAAAATTACCCCGATGAAAGGAGATACCGTATACCTTCTGGAGATTTGCATTTTCCCTCCCACCGTGGAGGGGATATCAGTGAGTATCAGGAACATTGCGTGCTCCCATCAATTGAAGGACCAGAGCCGCCTAGCCATTTCAGAAACCAAACAGTGGAACAGCCGGACCTGTTACCCCGCAAAAGAGTTCCAGATGAATTTCCACCATACCAGATGAAGCCTGCCAACCCTCGTATTGAGGAGGTCTCAGGCAAGATGAACTTAATTGACATTAACAAAGACAGCCACACCTTCTCACAAAAAAGACAACGAGTAGAATATAATACTATCCGTGGAAGATCTCCCGTGGATAGAGATCGAGACAGCGCATATATATCCTTGCCGTTGGGGCCATACGATCCCCCAGCTTATCGTAAACCAGGTTCCTCGGATGTTTCGTTTTTTCACACGGAGCAGAAACCACTCTCATCAAATGAACGCCCTGAAGTTCTGGGCCACCATCTTGAGCGACTTCCAATTGGTGCTAAAAGGCCTCTTGATCCTATTCCCTCAAGTTCACATTTCTCCAGTGGCTTCTCTGATCATCCCGAACATGGACGTCGATATGAAGCTCCTATTTCCCATGGTGCTCGTCACGGTCTTTCCAGTCAGAATATTTTAGAATCTCCTCGCTTTGTCTCTGCATCTGATAAACCTAGTTTTGATATGGTCAGGGATGACGGGCGACCCGTCAGACCTAACCATTTTCCCAATTTCAATCGTCCTCAACGTCAGGTTTTTGACTATGAAGACTTTGTAGACCCAAGAGGTCCAAATTCATTTAGGGATGCAAGCCGTCCAGTTTTTGTTGCACAAGAAACCTCCATTAGGCGAAAAATTTTTCCTGATGAAAATACTCGAATTTCTAGTCTTCACTCTCACGACTTTGTGCGTCCTGTTAATTTGCAGGATGCGGATGGGTCTTTCAGGCATGAGCCACAAAGGAGGCCAGCAGCCCCAGCTAGCCCTCGCCAAACAAGACATGTACCCCGTGGTGCGTTCAGGGCATACGACCGAGTCCGAGCTGAATCACAGTCGGATCTTTCTCATTCGGCACAAACATTTTCCTCTCGAGTAGCCCCCGTTCCTGAGCCCAATAGTCCATTCTATGTTGGTTCAGATTTCCCTCCCCGAAATGGCCGCCCAATGTTGAATCCTTCCCAGCCTTCTTCGGCTTTTTATGATTCGCGAACTGGTCGGCTCTCTATTGATGACGATGGACGGTATGCAATGAAGCGACAGATTTGATTTTCTCACAAATGATCTGTTTCAGCGCCCAATCGACTAACATCGATGTTCTTTCCGTTTACTTCCTTCGTCTCTTTTTATACTGTTTCGATCTTGATTCACTAACTAAATAATTCGGTAGAAGGTACCACAATGGCGATGGCATGCAGCACCACTTAATCCGAGACGGCAGCCTGCGAAAGCGACCTCGCAGCCCACCCTTATACTATGAACGAATCCCGCCCGAACGCGCAAGCATCGTTCTGGGTGATTAAGAGGGATTATTTTTCACAAACAGCGCTTTCTCCTGGATTTCTAGAATATTTCCCTCTCCCTCAAAAGAAAGAGTTTAAAGTTTAAATCTATGCGTTTATAGAGCCGGTGTTGGAATGCATTATAATTATAGCAGGGACAAGCGGTGACATGTCTACGAAGTCAATAAACGGGCGGTGGAAACTCGCATTGAGTGGTTTGGTGTATTGTGGAGAAATTGTCGATCTTCGCGGATTACACTATTCCCCGGGACTATCATGGCTACTCTACATATTTCTTATTTGGTATTTACATTTTACCATTTGTGTCATTCTCTCTCCCGGTACGGCAATACTGTACAGTAGTTACTCGATACCCCAATTTGCCCGGGAAGAGAATTGAAGTAATGTCTGTACATAATATCTTGAAACTCCAATGGAGCCAATTGATATGGGTTTATTAATCTCCTAGAGAAGAGTTCTATTTTGGCCGCCGATTTCCTGTATACAGTGTATGCTACATGACAGGAATGGTCTATCTAGAATGGCAGGGCAAGCCAATGTTAGAGCAGCGGATCATCAGAACAAATATTTCTAAAAACTTGTTTCTGACAGATACTTCGTAATGGTTACTGACACGATTGCAATCCGTAAGAGGTCCCGGAAAATTAATGAATGAGATGATCTCGCTCTGTATTCCCACCCTCCTTACCCAAAGCCCTTCGTGCATAAAAGAAAAAGGAATCGGAGAAATCAAGAGAGCTGGTCGTACGTAGGGAATCCATCCATGCAAAAGGTGAACGTCAAAGAAAAACGTTAAGGGAAAAAAAAATACAGCGTTTTCTTCCTCTCTTCCTCTCCAGCTATGGTCCGTCCCTCCCGTCAACTGAAATAGGAATGTAAGCCCTTAACGATGGGCGCCGTGCGCGATCAGGCCCGCCAACTCGCTCAATCCGACATCATGCCCTAATATACGCATCAGGCCACTGAATATGTATATGTATATATATATAGCCATTACACGTCCCTCTGCACACCATCCGCCACGCCACTATTCACGGTCTTGCCCGTCTTCTTGATAGTGCTGAGCACGGTGTCGTATTCGAGCGAAGGTTCTGCGAGGACAGTTGCAGTTTGAGACTCGAGGCTGACGGTGTAGGATTTGACGCCTGTTTAGGGTGTTGGGGGAGAGAGGTTAGTTTCGAGTGGTGTCTTGAAGGGGTTGTTATTATTTTGGTGGGGAGGAAATGAGAAGCTGGGGACGGAGTGGAAGGGTTGTATAGATTTCTGTGATGATTTTGGGTCTTTTTCCTTTTTCCTTTTTCTGTTTCTGTTTCTTTCCTTTCCTTTCCTTTCCTTTCTATCTTTTTTCTTTTTCTTTTTCTTTTTTTTTTGGAGGGGCGATTATCATTGAGACCAAGGTTACCCCGCAAAGATAACCAGCAGCTTACCATCAAGTTTCTTGAGGACACGCTCCACGGCGCCGGAGCAGCCGCCACAGCTCATGGTGACATTGAATTTGTATTCATGTTGTGTGTCGGCCATGGTTATTTTCGATGCCGTCTTGTATTTCTTGATTCTTGGGCTTGAGAGTTGGTGCGTCGGTACAGGCGGCGAGTTCGTTCGAGTGGAGGGGAAGGGACAATGAAAGGACGAAGTCAAAGGGGAAGATTATCTGTATTTATACACACAGCTCGGGGGCGGGACGCAACACCCGTGGGCTGATTTATTTAATCCCTTTCATACAAGCAAGGCTGGTGATGCTTGCCCGTCCTTTGTTCTGGGTTAATCCATGCTTTGAAGACTCGAGGTTCCAACGATTCCAATTCGCTTAGTTAACTATCTTGCCTGGCAATTGGTAAGCAGAATCGCGAATATATCTCACTGGCGCATTAGTATCTCAGAAACACGCAATCACATCGCAGCCGGACCGAAGTCTGGAGGTTACAGATCGGCTTCTGGCTTCTTCAGGGCCGAATACTGGTGGCGTTGGCTAACCTGCGGACAACTCGCGATGGAACATGGTCGGTTGGTTCAAACCATCCACGTTTTGTTGAGCTGGTTGATGAATACTCACTCGTACATGATCCTTTGGCTGTATTTATTTGTCCCTCATCACAGTGGGCACAGTCTCGGTTTCTGGCGAACATTCAATTGCCAACTCGTGGATTCCGTAAATAAATCGAAGATCCATTTGGAAGATGGTCTGTTAACCGTTTACTGGTTGTAGAGATCCTCCCCATATCCCGCATTCAAGAGACCTACCTACCTTCATGCTCCAGAGTCATCTCGGGCCATATACTGTCGCACGCTCTCAAACACGAACGAGTGCACTATGGCAAATGTATGTACCGCCGTCACCTTCGACTCAAGCTAGCTGTCAAAATCCTCGGAGCAAGCAGATGATTAAACTACCTATCCCTCGTACCAAGGAAGTTAAAATAGGAACCGGAGCGTAGGAGCCCCAACCTTCTTGCTCTCCTCCCACGACAAAATTAGCGATTTTCTACCGAGGAGGCTACGAATCTCAGCTTCTGGTAAACGCAACGGGCTACGGCACAGATAAGAAATGGAAGCTATTCGAGAAACAGATGCGATTCGGACTAGCACAGAGGGGTTATACTGCGGATAAATTCCACTTTTTGGAATTTCAAGTGTCAGCTCCTGTCCGTCTAGTTCGGACTATTTAGATCTTGTCTAACAGTGATGGGAATGCAGGCTTGGGACCCCGGCTGCCAATCCGTCCAGTCAATTTCAGAGCACAACATATTGTCGTGTATTCGTGCAGGCCGGGGATGCAAACACCGTCATGGCGGTACCGATGGTCATGGGCGAGTTTGCCATGCAGCACTTCTCAGGTAACTGCACAACGAACACAACTGCCGCAAATTGACCTAACCCATAAGTTAATGCTGATCTCCTCTTAGGTTTCCATCTCTCCCTAGATCGACGAACGGCCCTGCCACGCCCTTACCTCGCGTTCTGCCCAGCTCTCTACCAACAACATTCCCTCAAGGAAACTGTAAACATTCTCAGCCCCTCACGCCCCGGTATGGGTGATGGTGGCCAAGAATTCACAGCCACCTCATCACCAATCCCCGCCGGCCACCCGCCGACCTTCGAACCCCTCGAGGCGCGGAAAAACTATGATACTATCTCCCCAATAGACCTGAGCACGCTCGGCCCGACAACGCGCATGCGCCTCGGCGACATCGCCCTCGCGCGATCAGGGGATAAGGGAGCCAACATCAACTTGGGCATCTTCGTGCGGTCAGCGGGCCAGTGGGATTGGTTCCGCAGCTTCATGACACGAGAGAGGATGCGGGCGCTATTGGGCAAAGACGATGATGGATACTTTATCGAGCGGGTTGAGTTCCCGAAATTGTGGGCGGTGCATTTTGTGATATACGGAATTTTGGGGCGCGGGGTGAGTAGTTCGACCAAGCTAGATTGTCTGGGGAAGGGTTTTGCGGATTACGTGCGGGATAAGGTTGTTCAGGTTCCTGTGAGTGTTTTGGAGGTGGGGAGGTTGTGATTGTGCCTTTTTGGCTCTTATTTTTTTTTTTTTTTTTAAGGAAGTTGAATAATTACAGCTATTATCGAGTTTTTTCTGGCGGTACTGGTACTCCGTAGATGGATCCGTTTTGGGTATTTTGAGGCATTGTAGCTCGCCTCCTCCAATTTGTGACGTGCCCCACCCCAGCCATATTGTTACTGCGTATGATCTTGTGTCTGCATCGGGAGTAAACTTGAATCGCCTCGTTTCCAGCGGTAAGCTGTATCTCCTATCTTAGCGCCGGTTCCAAGATTCCTCCACCAGAACTGGAACCAACCAGCAGCCGGATATCCCGCCAAGGTAAGCCGCCCAATCGTCATCAAATATCCAAGACTGTTCCTTGATCTGGGAACGAGTTTTGCCAGGATTGTTTCAGATCCGGCCCCAAAGGAAATTTTGAAAAGTACTCGGGAGGTACCTCCAGTTTTGCTGTAGAATGTATTGAATCTTTAGGTACCAAAAAAGTACCTGTGCCTCCCACATGACCTGACCTCATCCAGCTTCTTCCTCCCAGTTGCGGCTTCTTCTTCTTCTTCTTCTTCTTCCTCCACTTCCTCTTCTTCTTTCTTTTTCTCTTCTGCTCACTCCTTAGCATTCGGCAGTCTATCTGCCCTGTCCTGTTGGTTCGACGAATAACCTCTTCCTCGACCAGCTACCGATACCTTCATTCTTGCTTTTCCGCGTCCAGTGGTTCGCCACCCTGGTCTTCGGGTCTTTGTTTTTGGCCATTGGCGGATTCTCGTTTCACCATCCCGCTCCATCCCAGCCTCTCTGAAACCGCTTACGGATGACTGTATCTCCCGTTTATTACCCAGAACCAAGACTCATTAGCTGAAGCAGTGTCGTCTTGGGAGAACTTGTTGTTCAGGCTGCCCGAAACGGCAACAGTTTTGTCAACTCTGGCCGTTGGAGCCTTGGAAACAAACCTCCTCTACCATTTTTACATTGTCGATTTTGTTCGTTTTGGCAGCTTCCTATCTTTACCTGAGAATCGCTATCCTACGAAACTTTTAAAATTTCTGGTTTACCCGTCCCTCCCCCACCCCCAAACATTATCGTTAAAACCATGATCGTCCGCCGGAATTCCGACCTGGAAATGCATCTCCCTGATGCGGCCCAGGCCGCCCCGTCCACCGCTGCCAACGAAGCCGACGTAGATATGTCATCAGACGACCTGAACACTGTCAGCGCCTTACCAGCTAAACTTGCGGCTCGTTTCTACCAAAAATCAAACGGCCGTAGACGCGCTTCTGCTACTTCCTCCCGCCGCAGCTCGATATCCTCATTGCACTCAAATATATCTGCCCACGGGGGACCCCACAGTGATCATGTTGCGCAACACCTACGCCGTGCATCCATCATCGAATCCCGTAAAGCGCGCCTTGCTGACCGCGCAGCACATGCGGAAAAGGTGCGACTTCGTGCTGCACTTGCGAAGAATGAGTCCAAACACATCTTGCGGGAGGAAAGGGCACTGGCTGCGCAGCAGGCGCGTGAGAAGTTGCTGGCCGAAATTACCGCCAAGTGCGAGGAGGAGGTTCGAAGAGCAAAGAAGAAAGCTGAGGATATGAAGGAGAGGAAGGCGGCGGAACATGCTAGGCAGCGATTGGAGATGGCGGAGAAATTTGCAGAGGCAGAGAAAAGAAGGCTGCTTTATCAGCAAAATACACGGCGACCACGAACTACGAGTCTTGCAGCAGCTGAGGAGAAGAAGCTCGCGAAGGTGGCCGTCAAGCAGCTGAGCCGGACTAGTGCTACGCGGATTATCCAGCGGGCATGGCGCAATCACTATGCCCGCACCGTTGTCAGGGAATTTCGAGAGGTTGATCTTTCATTGGAGCGGATCCGCGCTTTGAGTTTTGAGGAAGTTGGGGCGTTGCTCTCTGAGGAGAAACTCTTGACTGTGACGGCCAAGGTTCTCCGGCTGTGCGGTTTACAGGATACAGAAGGCGGTGCCATGGGTGAACGTGGCGCTGTCCGTACATTCCTTAGCAGTTATTTGATCTTGGCCCATCCAGCACAAGTTCTAAGCAGCAATGGGGAACAGGAGCAGGATCTTATTGCCAAGGGTCGGGATTTGCTAGTTATTTTTGAGCAAGTTATTTCTCAATTATCGGCTATTGGGGTATGGCCTGCCTCGCTTACCACCGATCTTCAGGCATTGTCGGAGTCCTATAATACTTTCTTTTCCGCATTCCACGCCTGGAAGACCCACGACTCCTCAGTCTTGATCGAAATCATGCTAGCACAATTCATTGAGCTAGAGCTCATCTGGCAGACGGTCAAGGATGACCGTGAAGGGGGTGCTGCGGATGACTATCAGAAAGGCATTCGCCAGAATCAAATTTTGTTGCTTGCACGTCTTAAGAGACTGGCAGGTGCCGAGAAGGCGATGTCAATGGTGAAACAGGCTTTGAGGAAATCTAAACGAGACAAGTTGAAAAACGGAGCTTCGCAGCAGTCTATCCCCCGCGCCACGAGTGTGCCTCCGTCTGCAGAGTTGCTCCCAGAGCCTGCAAAGTCACCTATCTGCGAATCGTTCTCCACCGCAGATCACTTGGCTCTCGCCCAGCTGGATCAGCAGGAAATGACCCCCCGCGATCGTTTTGCGAAGGCCTTGACCGCTCTTCCGGATAATAGGGCGCTTGTGCACGAGCTTTTGATAAACAGGGAGTACAAAATTGATCAAGGGCCATATACAGCCATACGACTCCAGATCATGAATCTTATGTGTGAGATGATGAGGAAAGATATCGCTAAAGGGCTGGGGACTACTTGGACGGTAGCGATGGCCAGCGTCATTCAGGACAGACTGCTTCGTTCCCTAAGACCTGGAAATTCGTTACATGTTTTGATCAGCGAGGTCCTCGACCCGAAATATGTTGAAAACCAGTGTAATGCAGGCACTTTTTCGTACGATGCATTTTTCGAGTTCATGAGCAATATTCTACCAAAGCTTTGTGCCCCATACCGCGATCCTGAAGTCAAGGCCTTTGCCTCTGACACTTCGGGCGATGCAATTGACCGCCTTGCGAGATTGATGGGCATCATCGATCTTTTATCCTTAGATCATACCAATTTTCTGCTCCATGTTGCGGCTCCGCAGCTCATCCAGGAAGGACCAGGATACGAGCAGCGTGTGTTTTCACGACTTTTGCAGGAAGGGGTTATCACTCTTGAGAGGACCCGGGAATTCTGGCGTGTGAACCGTAACACAATCATCGAGGACATGAAGAAACGTGACCCGGACAATATGAATCTGGATTATAAACCACCCGCAGCCAAGATCTACGCACAGGGCATCGTTGACTTGGTCTTAAGCAACAGACGTCTATCTCCTGAACTCATTCCTGAAACCTTAGATATGGATCGCGGACACCTTGAGCAAATACGTTCACGTGCCTTCATGATTGCAGCTACGGCCTCGATCCTGCTCAGCGCCAAGAATCTCCTTAAACGCGACGTCCGCTCACAATGGAAGAGCGAAGCAGAACGAATCATGACCCTTGATTTCAACGACATAAAACCGGAGCGCGTCCAGTCAATCCTGGAATCTTCTCACGCCATGCCCGCATCAACACGGGCGCAGCTATTTTCCACTATTAAACGCGTTCTCAGCCCTGCGACTGCAGCGTCTATCACGGCCACAGCCACAGCTGCAGCCACGAACTCGTCGGCCATCTCTATTTCACCTGATACAGTCGCATTACTTTCTTCCTCTCACTCCTCCCCCTCTTCGTCCTCATCACCATTTTCAGGCTCAGACACGGGCAACAACACCAACGCCACAAACGTAGACTGCTTCACCGACCCGGTGACAAAACTGATGCTCTCACGACTGCGAGCACACGTTCTCGCGCGCCTCAGTGCGTCGAGCGCTAGTGAGCGGGTGCGGACGACAGCGACGGCGAGCCAAAGTCTGGCTGCGGCGGGGATGCCGGAGTTTGTGAATGAGGTTGGGAAGATTGTGGAGAGCTTAGGGAAGGTTAGGGAGGTGGATTGGTTGTGTCATGGGATGGTTTACGAGGAGGTTTGGGGCGAGAGGGAGGAGGATCGTGAGAGCAGGCAAGGGTGAAGGATGGGGGGTGAGGGGGTTGGTTTCGTTGGCCTTACTTTGCTCATGCGTGGTAGATGCGTGGTTGGTTTTTTGTACGATCATACCCGATCTTTTTCGTTTTGAGAGATGCTGTGTCCCCTACCTTATTTTTATCTTTTATCCCAGCTTTCTATCTTTCTTCCTATTTTTATTTCCCTTGCTGTATCTCGTTTTCAGTTTTTCTGTCGATTCAGACCTTCGCGCTTTTTGCATACCGCTCATATTTTTATATTTTGTATTTTCTTTTCTGTCATACGCATGGGAATGAGAACTGGAAGAGATTGAACTAATCAGGGCGAGAGACGATTTTTTTTGGCATTTCATCATTTTCTTTTTTGTTCCTTATTGTTTTCTTTCTTTTTCTTGGTCTTTTTTTGAAATAGTTTTGGTTAGGATTCGAGAGTGTTGGTTCGGAAAGTGGCGAATTGCCCTACCTCAACCTCACGGGAGACGATGAACAGGTTTGTATCTTCCTATTTTCACTGTCACAGTACAATAGATAATTGTTACGCATTCCGGAATGGACGGGAAGTAATGAGATTGATTTCTCTCTCTATCTTCCTCCTCTTCATTTTCTCTCTCTCTCTCTCTTTCGCAATCTGATTTCTTGGAATAATATGTTTTCTTAGTATTTCAATATGATATTTATATAGCTGTATGGTGATATTTCTTGCGTTTTGAGCCAATGTTTTTATTCAAAGACCAAAATAGATTGTTGACAGTGACATCATCGTTTATGCTTATCTAATAAAGTTAAAAAACTCAATCAATCCAGCCGCATCGGGAAATTCCAAACCTCCGCCCTCGGGAAGAAATAGAAAATATCGACAATTAATCAAGCTTGACTGATTGTCACTCATATCATTTAGGGATTTGCGGATATCCATCGGGATATCGAACTATAAGCTAAATTACCATTCTTTACATGGCAGGTGAGTTGAACTACCCGGGTGATATGGGCAGAGAGGGGAAGTGTTTTGTGAGGGGTACTTGAAGAAGGGGGCAATCCCTGCTTGGTTGCTTTTATATACCATGCTAATACTGTGTAATGCAGACTAGCTATGTGGCTTAAATTGATCTAAGTTATATAATAAACAGAGGGATTAACCGCACCAAGACGATTACAAGCCTCTGTGCGGATAACATTCGCTTTCCGCCCGCCGCACCCACCGCCGTCTTAGCACCTCCCGCTTCCCCCTCACCACTAGCGCAAACACACATTTAAAAAATGCCCACAAGCCCCTCTGGAACCATCACCCTCCTATCCCCACTTACACCTCCCTCTCTCGAGCGCACCTGGCTCACAGCCCCGCACCCACGCCTCCCCTTCGTCGCAACCTGCAGCGCCGACAAAACCGTGCGCATCTACTCACTTCAGAATTTCACCTTACTCTCAACGATATCAGGCGGGCACAAACGCAGCGTGCGCAGCTGTGCATGGAAGCCGCTCGTAAAAGGCGAAAGCGTGTTGGCGACGGCGAGTTTTGACGCGACAGTCGGGGTATGGAGGAGGTGGGATGGATACGGGCGCGGGGCCGATGACGGCGATCGCCTCGCTACAAGCGGTGGGCCTGGTGGCTATGACGGCGACGGCGACTCCTACTCGAACAACGAGGAAGAAGACGATGAGGAGTGGCGCTTCGCTGTCCTTCTGGACGGGCACGACAGTGAGGTAAAATCCCTTTCGTGGTCCCCGGCCGGCACCTTGCTGGCAACCTGCTCGCGCGACAAGTCCATCTGGATCTGGGAGGATTTGGACGATGGCGATAACAACTTTGAAACGGTCGCGGTTATGCAGGAGCATACTGGCGATGTGAAGTGGGTGAGCTGGCATCCAACTGAAGAGTGTTTGGTGAGCGCGAGTTACGATGATACGATACGATTGTGGAGGGAGGATATCGATGATTGGGGTCAGGTGGCATGTCTAAGAGGCCATGGAGGTACGGTGTGGTGCGTTGAATGGGAGTCTGGCGAGGTGGAGCGTACTGTGCCTGTTACCATGAGTGGCGCTGGTGATGGGAATGGTGCAGAAGAGGCGCTCCGGAAGGAATGGATTGAACAGCGTACACTTTCCGGTCCCCGGCTAGTTTCCTGCTCCGACGACCGCACGATTCGCATATGGGCTAAACAAGCTCGCCATCCTGCAACCGCCAAATCCGGCCCTGCGTCGATGCCCAGCATTATCCGCCCAGCCGATATTGACGAAAAGTGGCTTGAGCAGTCCCAATTACCACGCCGGCACGATCTGTCCATCTACTCCGTTGCATGGAGTAAACGGACCGGGCTGATCGCGTCGACAGGCGCGGATGGGAGGATTGTAGTATACCAGGAGCGATTTGTTGAAGCACAGGGGCCAGAAGAGGCTTCTCCAACTACGAACGCAAATGGTAATATGAACTTGGATACGGATGCTCCCTCACCACCGGCAGATGTAGGTAGTATCGAGAAGAATGGTGATAATGCACGAGCAGAAGAACAAGCGCGGACGCGACCAGGGCCCACGGCTACCCCTCAAACAGAATGGCACGTCCTCGCTATGATCGATGCTGCGCACGGCATCTACGAGGTTAATCATGTGTGCTGGGCACTGCGGGCTGATAAAGGGCGTAAGGAGGGAGAAGAGGAGGAGGTCCTGATAAGTACGGGTGATGGTGGAGATGTGAAGGTTTGGAGGCTGGAGAGATGATCAGGATGATGATGATGGTGGTGGTGGTGGTGGTCTATAATGTAAACTTCGTTCATCGTTTCGCATTTTCAGAACAGAGTTGGATCAATTTAGATTACTTATAAAATAATATGCTCTGAAGGTACATCTCCCGTTTTCATCACGGTAACTATATGTTATTCTCCGAGAATCTAGTCCACGAATAATCCCCCCGGGAACTAGCAATGGAGAACAATAATATATTAATTAACCGCTCAGATGCGAATTTACCGGACAATAAACACTTCCAAATGTTATTGAACGGTCCTTTGTTTCTGAAGGAAGGGCCCTGTATAGCCCTAGATACCCTGCACAGAAACACCTTGCTTGCGTAATAGAATGTCAACAAGTAAGAAAACCGCGGGAAGACATGATAACGAAATGGGACAAATATATCTGACTTGTAAATATCTAGAAATGAAGCCTAACAAGCCTTATGGCATTAGTTATGAAATAAAAAGGGGGAAGAAACAAGCCAAAATGACAAATTGAATAAAGTAAAAATGAAAATGAAAATAAAAGTAGAAATGGCGAAGAAAGATCCCTGAACACCATAAATTTAAAGAATAATAATAATAAAAAAAAAGAAGGATATCAAGGATGTATAAAAGGGCCGTGAATATATTATATAAACAGAACAAAATAATTTGCGATATATGAAAAAGAAAGGGATAGTTCATGGATTAAAGTATATAAAAAGTAGAAAGGACAAGGAGAGAATAGAAGATGGAGAATAGCTGAGCTGAGGTGGTGGGAAGGTAGGAGATAGATAAGTAAGCAGCTAGATGGTTGTGTTCTGTGGAATATGAAGTCCGTTCGGTTGTTGGGCCAGTGAGCCAGATATAAGGCTGTACTGAGGCAAAACCCTGAGAGAAATTCCCAGGAGCATGATGTGTTCCAGGTAAACCACGCTCCTCCTTTTCCCCTTCCCCTTTGCTTTAGGGTTTATCAACGAGCCCTTTCCGTTCGTCAGACGTATCATCATCCACATCACTCCCGTCCTCATCTCCAACAACATAAGGCTCCTGCTCTCTACTCGACCTCGCCGAAACAACCCGACTTGGCCGCTCATCCAACTCCGCCTCGTAGATATTTACCGCCTCAACATCATGCCCACGTCTACCCCGTTTATTCGAATATCTAGGAAGGGATCCCGAGCTACTCGACCCCAGCATCGGGTAGATGCCCCGGAACTCGTATCCTCTGTCCTGGTCCTTCTGACGCGATCGCCAGATGAAAACGCCCCATATGATAGCGGCGATGGCGACGACAATAAGCGCCACTTCCCCGGATTTGTAATATGCCTTCCACATGGCGGACTTCACCTTCTCCTTCTCGCGCTCGGCGGCTGCTGTACTGTTTGGATGCGCGCCGACGGAGGTTGCGGGGCCCTTTTCGCCGTCGATTCGAGAGTCGGCAGGGTTGCCGCCAATGTCCGCAATATCAACTCCCATGAATCTGTCGAGCATCTCGCGCGAGCGGCGTGGGTAGTTGAACGGCACCATGTGGCTTGCGTTGTAGAATAAGACGTATGTCAGATTTCGGGCCTTTTGATAGAATCCTGCCGATTCACCTTCGAAGGTCCAATCTTGTCGTGGCGCCCAGATACCGGGCGAGAGTTCGAATCCTGTCCCTCCAGACCATTTCATGTCCTTGATCAGGTCTTCAGTGCCGATGTGATTGCATATCAGGTCCTTCTGTCCACTGAATAGAAGAATCGGAAGGCCCTCCTCGAGAAGTCCAGGTAGCAGCTCGACGGATGGCTTGGATTTCAGGGCCCTGAAATGGCCACCTACTGCACCAGAGCATTCAGACCAGCCAGTTTGTTTGTCGCTATTAATATGTAACGCTTCGGTGACATTCTTAAACCGGAGATACGGTTCAATATTCTCCAAGTCAGGAGGCCAATTCATCCCACATGCGCTGTACTCATCTGTAAGACGGATATCATACTGCAATACTGTGAATAGCATTCATAAAAATTCAAATATCTATAAGTATTTCATTTTAGGCGGAAATCTGCACAGTCCCCGTGCTGTCTTCGACGTTCAATTTCTTCAAGCATTTTGATAATTTCGCCTCAACGCGGCTTGATGCATCGGTGCCACCTTGGATTATTCCTTCCTGATAAGCGTAGGGTAGGTAAGATAGATACTGGTGACGAGGTGATATCCAGCCATTGCCAATGAGGAGCCCTTTGAGTTTCCATCGTGTCAGCGATTCTCCCTTCTTATTCCGATCGAGAATTGCGCGGGCGATATAAGGAATGTATTGTCCTGCATATGATTCTCCGGCGAAATAAAGCTAAAAAAAAAAAAAAAAAAAAAGAATACATTAATAAAACTATTTGACATGCCGAAACAATGGATAATGGGGGTAGGGGAAAGACTTACATCATTTTTCTCGTAATGGGGGAACAGCTCAAACCATTTTTCTAAGAAAGTTACGAACTGCGAGGCCATCTCACCGAGCTCACTGACATAGGCCCCCGTGCTAACATAACTAAAACCTGTGCCCACCGGCTGATCTACAAATAGCAAATTGGCAAATTCGTCCCAAGAGCCATCGGTATAATTTAGCATATGATCATTCGTAACCCTGTAGGGACCAATTTCCATCAGCGCTCCGTCTTCGGAACTGCAGCCAGGTCCACCGTTCAGCCATATTACGGTTCGCGGTTTATCAGCAATGTGCTGGTTGGCAACATGCCAGAAGAAGAGGTTTGCGCTAGTTTTATGGTTTATTTCGATGTGGCTATGGATCAAAAATGTAAGTGTTAAGAATGATTGCGCAAACGCCCCCTTTATTTCAGGGATATAGCACTCACCCAGCATGCATTTGCACCTGTGGGCTATCAGGCCGGCCTGGAAGTGAATCAACAAAATAATCAGCCGCACATTTCGCGCTGACAGCGAGTGAGTTCGCCAGCGCGAGGAAGACTGTGAGCCACGTCGACCGGGCACCAAATGCCCGGTAGGCTCGAGCTTCAGAGAAACCCATGCCGGTATGGCCTCAACAAGAGGTGATCCCAAGGTGGAAATAGGTCCCACGCCGCCCTCACCTCACCGAGCGCATCAAAACCTCATGTACTGAACTTTATGGAGTCAGGAGGCTGTTCGGGAACGCCAATAGAATCGAAATAGTAGTGGAGGGCACGCTTGGGAAATTGGACAGTTGGTAATATTAGCAAACGCCGCTATCTAAATAAGCAATGTACAATTCACGAGCGGCGGGCACGGAAAAAACTAGAAGTTGAAGCAAATAGTATCTACGCCACAGGAGAGGAGAGTGATATACTCAATCTCCAGAAATGTCACATGATCACAACTCCTTCAGCTTTGAAGTGCGCTAAGCTATACTAGGAACGGGGAAGTATGACAAGTATTTTAAATTCTTATATTCTCAATCCTCTGTAAAATCATCTCCATCCATTCTGACCTAGAGAAGGTCGTCAAGTCCCTTATCCGAATCGCTTTTAATCAGCTCGATCATTCCCTATCAGCACTGTCAGTGTTTACAATCAAAGCCGGCCGCAGACGTTGAGCAACCACCCTAACGAACCTCAGGCATGATTGGCTTCCCATCTTCCCCTTTCACATAGCGAAATGGCATCTCTGTACTCTCGTGCTCATTGAGACGTAGCTCCGGGAAGTCCACGTACGGAATCTCCTCCAACGGTACTGTAAGGAGAAGGAGGAGGGGTTATGATTAGCATGCATATTCAGAACGATGAGCTTACATTCGCATTGCTCACCTCTGCTTAGAGTTACCAGCCTGGTCACTCTAACTGCGGTATCAGTCGTCATTTGTTTGGGTCCTAACCTGCGACCCGTGTAGCCTTTCTGACGTAGCTCCGAGGTGCGATCTGGAGGGTGGCGCGGAGTAAATCTTCGTTAGCCCCAGCTGTGATTTAGTTACACATTTCATTCAGGGTATACTATTTGCATTCTTCAAAAATACTCACCTCGAGGGGGGTCATCGCCTGGAAAGCAAAGGAGAAAAGAATAGAGAGAGAAAAAAATAAATTAGTTTCGTCCTTTAATTTTTTCTTGCTTTCCTCACCAAAGTGATCGATTATATGTCGGGACTGATACATATGTCATATGCTCTCAGATTCCTTCATAATATATTCCGCATCACCAGGACATCACCGTAGCTCAACCGTACCAAGTATCCCACCAAACAAGAAAACCTCAAACTCATCCCCATCCTGCGGACGCAGCTCCGCTTTCGCCGATGGATCCAATAAACATATTTTCTCTTTCCTATCTGCAAAAATTTCCTCGACCGCTCTATGCTCCACCTCTAAGCTATCCAGGGCAGCAAGCTCATCGGGAATCTTTAATGACTCTGGTACCGATGTAAGGAGAAACCTCACGCCCGCGGCGCTGGATTCTTGAGCGATGCAACCATACTCCAGAGCGGACCAGGAGCCCAATTCTGGGTCTAGATGCTCGACTACAAAGGTCGCTGTCGATGGCAGCGTTTGAGATTCGTTGCTCATAGTTTTTCGGATTTTCTCACCTTCTAGAGGAAGGGGAAAATAGGGAACAGGGAATAATAACTGGATGCTGGATCTTGAGTGTGGCAGTTTCAACCGTGTAGCGAATACCGCTGAGGGGGAAATAAATATATAGGTTTAACAGCTCGTTCTGTGATTAAATTGCCATTATCCTTCCACTTGATCTTGCTGTTTTTCCGTGCAGAAGTGCAAACTAATCCCTAGAGAAGAGCACTGAAGAGCTTGAAAAAAGCGGAATAAAGTTAACTAAGTCATGTTAGACAGCTGCTGACAACCAATGAGGGACGGGGAAGACCAACGTGGTATTTAGATAAAGAAATAAATATAATAAAATAAAAGACCACAATGTGTGTTTTCTTCGATCCTCTAGATTCGAAGTTGCCGGCGATGTGTCAGGTGACACAGGCCGAACTGGCGCAGGCCCAGACCTTGGAGGGGTCTGCATCGTCAGTTTGAGCAGTTTGAGCAGTGAGTGAGGGGGGGGGGAATTGGACTGCATCAGACGGCACGGGTGGTATATTATATTATATTGTATCCTTCTCATGTCTGAAGGGCCATGTAGTATGTATATTGTAATTGCGGTACCGATGCTGGTACTGTCAAATGACCGCCTCCGTGTTAAGTTTCGACTGGCCGTAACTAACCTACGCGGCCAGGGTTGGTCACGTATCCGGGAATCCTCCCAACTCCAACCTTCTCTTCTGCCACCGATCGATTCGAACTATTCGAACTCCGCATTTGCATTTCCTGTTCTCGTAACCTCAGGCTCGTTGACATCTTCCATCCCCCCTCGTATTCCTCGTATCCCGCGTTCTCCTCCTCGCCAGTGTCTGGGCCAGCTACGGGTAACTTTGGCGTGGCGTGTCGACAACATCCACCACCTCCTCAGCTAGACGGGGAACATCGACACAACCGTTGACACTGTTTTAGCCACCATCGTCAACTCTCGTCGTCGTTCTCCTTGTTCCACCATACATCCCATTGTTATACCTTGAATTGCGAATTCTCTGACTCTCGTTCGCCGTGGAATTATACAAGTGATACCTCTTCCCTTAGCCAATTTTAGCTCTGGGTTAGATCAACATCGTCTCCCGCAGAGGAGTGGCAGCTTGAAACAAGAACGGTTTACAGCCAAGAAGAAGCACCCAACGTCTGCTTTCTCGTTCCAAGTAAAAAAAGCACAAATAAACCTGGAAAGATGAACCCTCATCAGCAAAACAAAATTGATATCAACGTGAGCCCCACCTTGACCCTCATCTGCGCTGGCTGTATTCCAACTGACCCCGCTTCAATATGCAGTCGCTGAGCCCGGACGAGCAACGACTATTCCGGCTCTATGGCAAAATGCCTACCAAGAAGGATCTGCTGCAGAACAAGCTGAAAGTATGTCAAATACCGGTTATGCGTTTCTTCTCCTCCATGCCGTAATGCCACAACCTCAATTGCTCTTGCTCTTGCTCCTGCTCTTTATCAATGAACGTGCCTAACCAATTATCTCTCCCATTACCACCAAACCAGGAACGAAAATACTTCGACTCAGGAGACTATGCACTCAGCAAAGCCGGAAAAGCCTCAGACGTTGGCGTCACCAGCATCGGATCCCGCCATCCCCTCCCAGAAAACATTCCCCACCTGACCGCCGCCTCCCCGCCGCAGAACAGCAACATCCCCAGCCCCTTCGGCAATGGCCAACACTCCAGTCTCCAGCCTCATGGAGTCTCAAATAATAGTTTTCACACCAGCGTCAGCCGCAGTCCCATCAAAGAGAGCAGCTTCCTGAACCGCGAAACTAGCTTCGACGACGAACCGGAGCAACAGAAAACGGGGGCGGCGTCCACATCGCCGGATGCGAAGAAGGGTACAACTGTTTCTACAACTACTAAAGGACAAGAGGGGAGTGCGGAGACTAGTCCGCCACGGCATAAAGAGGGACTTCCGATACGACGATGAATTATGACAAGGAGTTCGACTTGATGAAGTCAAATGAGAGAGGAAGAGAAGGTAGTGAAGCGTGTGTCAAAATGGAGGATGGGCTCTCACGAGAAAGGGAACGGACCAATGAACAAGTAGGGGCAGGCTATCACCTATTTCTGCCGGAAGGGTAGAAGTCTACGACTCAAAGACCGCGAGCTAATTGTTTCTCTTTCAGTTGTATGGGACCCATTCAGCTTTTGGAAGTGTTATCTTCATTGTTGATTTTCTTTTGGACAGTTTGAACTCGCACCCGTCTTCGGAAGAAATTTTCAACTAAATTGCATGCACAACCTGGAATATACGCCGGATCGAAGCAAAAAAGGCATCCAATTAATCCTTCCATCCTCGTCTATTAAACTCAAAGTGCACTGCACTTTCATCATGTTGTGTTTCCAGAAGATTCCCTGACACTTCCCCGTCCTCCTTGCAACGCATCTTTCACGGTTCAACTTCCTCACAGTCACTTCACTTTATGCTCTGGCTGTCCTCTCTCCCAATTGCCTTTAAAGCAACAAATGTTTTATGTTTGTCTGTGTTTTTGCGCTTCTTTGCTCTTCTCTTGATTTTCATCATTTCCTTACTTCATCTGATTTTCATTTGCTTTTTTTCTTTCTCCCTTCAACCATTATGTCAGAAACGCACACGGACTCATTACTTTCTTCTTCGTCCTCTCTCCAACTTCCCCCGCTTTTCCCCTTTACATTTCCCCGCAGTCTCGAGTTTTTATATTGCATTTTTAATTCCCATTAACCATTGGCGTTGAACTTATCTGCGTCTATGTCTCTCTATCGATGTCATGATGTATGTAACCACACTCTCACACAAGGTGCATTTCTCGTTTCTCGTTTCTTTGCTTTTTCCTTTTTATACTTGTCTTCAAATTTTTAAATCTCAAGTCCACCTCTTTTCTCCTTTTATCCCTGCTATGTTGAAATTTCCTCGCGCGCGTATGTCTACATTGTCGAGCTGTCAACATTCATTCCTAGTTAGTTGACGGGAAAAAACTGTCTTATTTTTGCGTCGCTCCAAACCCGCACAATGTTGATTTTTCTTTTTCTTTTTTTTTCTTTTTTTCATTTTTCCCTTTTCTTTAATCATCTTCCAACTGTCGATTGCGTCACTCCAACAAACCCCTCAGATTGATCGTTTTCTATCGTCTTTTTTTGCTTCAGAATCGCGAGAATTACGAGAATTGCGAGAATAGCTTAAGACAAGAGAGGTAACAATGAAAATGGAATATTTCGTTAAGAGAAAAAAAAAAAAAAAAAAAAAGCCAAATATTCAACGATCAAATCAAAACTCACCTTACATACCTCCTCTCTAGATAGGTACATACATAAGCTAGGTTGGGAAGGTCAAGCTCCGTTTCGTCACGACCAGCCGACCAGCGAAGCCGATTCTCTGTCAACTTGATTGACCTTGTTCTCTTTTCTTTTTCTTTCTTTTCTTTTCTTTTCTTTTCTTTCTTTTTTTTTTTCCAGAAGTCAATGACGTTAATGCATCGAAATTAGGGTCCCCCGTCCATCTAATCGACCTACCTATCTATGTATCCCTCCTGGTCGAGTTTCGTTGTTATATGGGGTGGGGAGTGGAGAATGAGAACGAAGGGGATGAATCAGTAGTGTGTGTGGGGCCTGAGGGAATGGAACCGGAGCTCATATGCCCATACGCAAATAAATCGTAGAAGAAGAAGAAGAAGAAGAAGAAGAAGAGATTGGAAACGCCCCCTCGTGCTTTGGATGATGATATCAAAAGTAAAACTAACGGAAACCCCCTCATTTCTTTGGTCGTAGACTCTCACTATTATTATTTTTTGAGATGCAGGGGAGAGAGAAGGATTTACTACCCCCTAGTTATTATCTATCCGTCTTTTTGTTTTCTATTTTACATCTTCTTTTCTTCTTTTGCAAAACGTCTGTTGTGTTGAAAAACAGGACTTCCCATATCTTCCTGTCGGTCCTTCATATTTTGCACACACCTGCGTTTCCAACTTTGCCTTTTACTTAAGAGTAAATGGGAACAGTTAACTAACCCGAGTGATTATGTTCTCTTTTTGCTCAAATATATGTAAGTAAGTATATATGTTTGTATGTATGTATGTACATGTCCATGTGCGGTACATTCGGAAATCTGAAAATATAATGACGCCCAAAAGAGCAAACAAACAAGCAAACAGACAAACAAACAAACAAAAAAAAGATGTTGTTAGCTTAGAGACAAACAGCAGCGTTCTCATCATCTCATCTCTCCGATCTGGCTGGATGGCTGGCTGTTCATCTATCTGCCATGCCGGCCCTCATGAATGATAATTCACCCTCGATTGAATCTGATTTATATCCGATTCTAAAAAAAAAAAAAAAAAAAAAAAAAAAAAAAATCACATGTGCTCTGCTCTCTGCTCTCTGCTCCCTTTCGCAACCAAACTCTGTGTGCACTGCCACTCTCCTCTCTTGCCTGTTATATACATTACATTATATATATATATGAAAATCCATATCTTGCTAGAGTATAGCCATGGGAAGTGGTAAGCGATAATGATAGAGATATATCGAATGAGACATTGAAAAAAAAAAAAAAAATGGACACAAAAATGGACACAAAAATGGGGCAACGAGATAGAAATGTGTGAGATGACAAGTAAAAATAAAAGGAAAAGTTTGAAGTAAAACGGGCCACGTGAGTACATAATATAATAGACTTATGGGATGTGCATAAACAAGAGAAAAGGAAAAGATCATAGAGCCAAGCGAGGGAATGTGGAGAGGAAAAAATCCCGCGCAACTTCTTCATTGGCCCCTTTTCTCCTTTACCGTGGCCTCGCCGGTGTCCACCACTCCTCTTTGGGTGGGGTTCTTTTTCTTTATCTTTTTTTTGGGAGGTTGGATTTTGGTAGCCGCTAGTAGCTTGTCTTTAAAAGCCTCCTGTAGAGAGGGATTGCAGGTAGGCAGATCATGGTCTGGGGTTGTAGAGGTGCTAGTCACGGTGTGGCATGGCGGGTATGGTTAAGGGACGTGAGTGTAGATGGAACAGAGAGCGGTAGGCGGATGGGTGGATGTGCAGTGGATGGACGGGGTAAGATAACGTGGGTTCAGTACATTTATTGGAAGAGTAAGCTTGAGACTTAGCCGTATCCGTGTCTCTGCGGATAACTAAAGCGAAGACACCGTTTCGTCTCCCTCTTTCTCCTCACGCTTTCACTTGTTCCTTCTCTGATACTGGACGACTGGACGACCTGAGGGCGATGATGCAGATGAGGGCCGGGTAGGGTTGGGTAAGGTAAAAGGGAGCAAGCGGAAGGAGCAATTGGGGGAGACATTGTGGAGTCAAAATCAATAGATTGTTTGATGTATCGTTGCGTGGGAGGATTAGGTAAAGATGTTATAGTAAAGCGATGAAAAATGGGAGAGATAGTGAGGACGGAAATAGATGACCGGAGGGCGAAGAAATGAGTGTCAGCGTGATAGATGATGGGTTGCGTGGGTAGGTTGATTAGATGGACCTGAAACCGTAAAATAAAACCTTCATGGACAATCTGCAAAAGGAAGGTGATTTTTTAATTCCAACGGCGGCAAATCTACCGTGACAGGCTTTTCTTTGTATGCAGTTATTTTGTGTATGGTGGCATAGCTCGTAGTAGAATAAGCGCAAGTGAAGGTATGAGAGCCTCTCGCGGCAGAAACACAACCGAATTCATTCCTCGAAATGCGTCTCCTCATCACACGTGTAGTTGACTTGGGACTTCCTTTCCTCGAGGTTAAAATTTTGTGGTAGCCCAATTCATCCTTATATCATAGACTTGCATCTCCTTTCTGAACATGATACCACAGGCAAAATCGCCTTTGTTAGCACTCACCCCCCCTTCAATGCTGCCAAAGGAGGTCGTGAGCAAAGCAACAAAAAAGAAAATCTAAGGCGATGCCCAGATCTTCCTCTAATCGCTTTCGCAAGCATGAGGACGAAATAAAACGGTGGAAAGGGAGCCTTTCAATCCGTTTTCCAGTGTCCCGCAAGTCCAGAGTCAATATCATCATGTTTCCCTATCCATAGCTCGACCGCGTACAATGCCATGGTACAACCAAGATTGATCCATCTCCAGAAATTCCCGGCCCCATCGCCGCGGTTGCTCCACCATTCACCATTCCCATTCCCCCCCATTGCTTGGGAGGTGGATGCAAAGTGCTGCATCAACAGACTTGTATACACGGCAATGAGGATGGAAGGGGAAAACCAACTCAGAAGGCCTAGGAATTGGCCAGCGACATCCGAATCCTCCAGGGAGGCCTCCTGGGAAAGGGCGCGGGCTCCGGCCTCGCGAACAGCTGGGATGATTCTTGTGGATGCGTAGAAGACGAATAGTCGATAGGTGAGGGAAATCAGGACCGACGGCGTTACGGCACTGAAGGCCGCGCTTACGACGTTGAAGGCTGCATGGATGATGGAAGGAAGTGTGGAGAGAGCGTGCATGAGAGTGGTATAGGAAGCCATGATGATAGGAGGTAGAGGAGGGAATTCGGCTGTTTGGGAGGCGGATGCGGAGAGAGGCTCGGTGGCGGACGTGGAGGATGAGGACTTATAGTCCGTGAAGATCTGGTAGATACACAAGACGACGTAGGCGAAGAGCAGTGAGCTCTCCACCGGGTTTCCTCGTCCACTGCCAATACCCCAGGCGCAAAGGAACACAGCACAGGTAATGGAGACGCCGATCAGGGCTGAATCGACGTTGCTGATTTCGGGGAACTGTAAGACGCGCCAGAGAAAGTAAACGGAACTTGAGATTACGGATGCGGACAGGACTAGAAGGCCAATCTTCACGACACGGAAGAAGTCAGCATTATAATAACGTAACGCTATATGGATTAAAAAGGAGACCAGAATACACATACCATCCAACTATCGCTTCTCCCGCCTCGATTGACCAACCACCTCGTGATCTGTCCAGCGGCCTGGATGACAAGCAAACTGCAAAACCCCTCCGCCAGTTGGAAAAACGGAGTTGACCAGCTCAACAGCGTATCCCACCCACCCACAGTAGCATTCTCTACAAGGCCATTTGCCCCAAACAACCATCGAACAATCGAAGTATTTTGCGCCCTCTTCCCGCCAAAGGTGCGCTCAACCCATCCAACCCGGATACCGCCGGTGGAGCTACCACCACTATCGTTCGCATCGACGGAGAAGCGGTTCAACGACCAAATGAGTAAAGCCGGAACAATAAGCCATTGTGTAGACCTGAGAATGAGGATCACGGAGTTTCGGGTCCACGAGCGATCCGGGGTGGTGAGTCTGAGCAGGGAGAAGAAGAAATAGAAGGCAGCCAGGCACAGGGAGAAACCTAGGCCACAGGTCCTGCCACCAACATCGAAGGCAAGAGGAATCGAGAGGACGATGGACGTGAGGAAGACGGCCGACGAGAAGATTCGGAAGATCCACATCGACGGGGACGGCTGGCGCAAAGAGGCGCTGCGATATGGGTTTGGGTCGAGAGATAGATATGGGTTAAAGCAGCACAGGAAGTGCGAGCTTTTGCGGGCGTCTTCGAGGGAGGGGTTTTCTTCAAGGGTTAGTCCTCGTGTCCTGTTCCAGATATGTTGCACGGCCCGGTTTGTTGGCCGGATGGAAGGCAGGCTGCAGGAGGGAGCTATGAAGCACGAGGGTGAAGAGCGGTGGGCGGTGTGTGGAGTGAGGGTGTGCTGCGGGGAGCTCACGAGGAGCTGGAGCACGCGAGGATTAGCTGTTGAAGCAAGGGATAGGACAAGCACGGGGGGGCAATATCTCTCAGGAGGGCGTGAAGCACGTAGAACAAGGGCAAAAGGGGGAGGGCAAAGGTGAAAAACGAAGATGGGGATGGAGAGGGAGGCCGAGAGGAAAAGTTGCGAGGCGTGGAGTGGGTTGGTCGAAAACGCGCAAACCCAATAGGAAGCCGAAAGTATAAAGTCGAAAACCAAATCCAGCAGATAACCTATATAGTTAAATACTACTGCTAGTACATTCCGCAAGTGGTAATGGTGAAATGTACTCTGCAAGCCAACAATTGTATCCAAGTTGGAGCAATGGATGTTTTTCTGTCGGAATGAACGAATGAATATTTATTCCCGGCGTCTTTGGCTTGTGATCACGGTGGAAATCGGCTGGGAATGAACGGGAATGAACAGGCTAGACACAGACGGCACTGACCTGTGCGTATCAACTACGAGTACCGGTTCAGAGGAATAGAGCTTTTCTCTATAATAAATATATCAAGCAAGCATAAATAAATAGTGGCTAGAACGCTTTACGTGATGTGATGTAAATATCCTAGCTGGGGGAGACGTTCAATACCATGTCGACGGGAAAGAATCGAGATCAATCGAGATCAATCCTGATCAATCCTTCAGCCCACATCCGCATTCTCTATATCGTCATCTGGTTCCTCTGCTCTTGCGGACATCGGGACCACAAAAGAACCCATCAAATGCCCAAATAAATACATTCCTTGATTCTGGTCACTACAAGGTGCTGCTTACGAGCAGTGAACGCTGGCCAGTTTTGTCTCGAATCGTTATATCCTATCCTTGAGAGGACGATGGGCGCGAGGCAGAGTAAATCAAAGTATCGAATGGCACGGCGGATTTAGCAGTTTACAGATGTCTTTTGAGCCTATTGTACTACTAGCAGTAGTATTCATTATTTACTCCTCCTCTGGAGTGATATTGCCGTTGCTCACGGGAGGAAAGTAAAACATCGCGCAGGAGAACATATCCCATCCATAATATCTCAAGAGCGGGGAGCAAGTCAACGCGATGGATGGTGGATGGGACCCATAAGGCGATTTATATGGTGATCTTATTATCTTGTTCCCTATCTGATACGGGTCGACTGCGAGCGAAGATATCGTTCAAGTCAAACTGAGCGAGGATGTAGCAACCAACTGCCCACTGTGTCAGAGGGATCATCCCTCAAATTGCGTACACCCATCTTCGAATGTCACTTGGTGATATGCAGATGCAATCGGTAGATTTCTTGAGAGTGTTCACCAGATTGAGTTCTGCTGTCCTATCTAGAGCCACGGAGCCCTAAGCCCTAAGCTGGCCCAATCCGGCCAAACTCCCCTCCATCGAGAATAGCAAAAAGCTGTATCCATCCCAGACAACAATAACCATCATCCCGGCCTCTGTCGTATGCTCCGTCTATGTTCCTTACTCAGAATGGCCGAAGATACCGCTGCAAAGAGGCTCAAGACCTCCCCTCCCACAATTGGGACTCACAAGTAATGTCCAACGACTCGAGCTCGGCCCTAACCCCCAAGCATATAACTAACCCTCCGTTACAGTGGCCACTTCCATGCCGATGAAGCTCTAGCAGTCTACCTTCTCCGTCTCCTACCCACATACACCTCCTCCCCCCTCGTCCGCACTCGCGACCCATCCCTCCTCGCCACCTGCCACACCGTCGTCGACGTCGGCGGCGAATACGACCCTTCCCGCAACCGCTACGACCACCACCAACGAACATTCACAGCCACGTTCCCCCAGCATTCCACAAAGCTCTCCTCCGCCGGCCTTATCTACCTCCACTTTGGCAAAGCCATCATCGCCCAACACACCTCCCTCCCGCCCGACCACCCGGACGTAGCCACCTTGTACGAAAAGCTCTACTCAGATTTCATCGAAGCGCTGGACGCAAACGACAACGGCATCTCCGTCTACGACAACGCCGCTCTCAATGCGGCCGGGGTACGGAAGCGTTTCCGCGACAGCGGCATCAGCCTCGGCGCCCTCGTGGGTGACCTAAATCATCCAGACCCAACCGCCACGGGACCGCAGGACGAAGACGCGCTATTCGAGAACGCTAGTACATTCATTGGCGACGCATTCCTGCGCAAGCTGCGCGTTGCGAGTGCTTCGTGGCTCCCTGCGCGCGCGACGGTGAGCGAGGCGTACAAGGCGCGGTTTGACACGCATGCGTCGGGGCGAATATTAGTGTTGCCCAAGGCGGGGATCCCGTGGAAAGAACATCTGTTCGTGCTGGAGGAGGAGGAGGCGGCGGCGGCGGCGGCGGGGGCAGAAGCGGAGGCTGGCAAGATCGGTGGTGCGCATGTGGATAGGAGACAGGTGTATTACGTGCTGTATCCTGAGTCGACAGCGCCGGAGGCTAAGTGGCGGGTGCAGTGTGTACCCGTTACAGATACAAGTTTTGAGTCGAGGAGGCCGTTACCGGAGGCGTGGTGTGGGATCAGGGATGAGGATCTGGATAAATTGTTGGCGAGCGAGGAGACGAGTGTGGTGGTGCCTCCAGGTGCGGTCTTCGTGCATGCGACTGGGTTTATCGGGGGGCATGCAACGAGGGAGGGGGCGTTTGCGATGGCGGTCAGGAGTTTAGGGTAGAGTTCCCAGGCGTGAGTACGTGTTTGCGTTAGGATCTTTCCTTTTGCTATTTATTGCCGATACGGAGAATCATATAGGTCTTGGGCAGCCCGTGGTGGGTAAAATGGCATTTCTCAAATCTTGCTCTCGGAGTTAAACGCGGAAAGGGATGTCTGTTATGTTTGAAACTGCTGCAATAATACAAATTTTCTCTCATGGGCCGGAATAAGATATCATAGACTTCTTAGTATTTCTCTCCCGAGTTGTTACGCCCAAGACCATAGATAACCATCCCGAATGCGACCCCTTTGGAGACGCTTTGTACAAGAACGAACTAACACATCAATTCCCTTCCGCTACACAACAACGGTAGGCATACCGCCAGGTCCGACAAAAAGCAGGAGCCGATATGTCGGGTGACATGTCTCGCTTCAGGCTCAAGGACCAGAATAAGGCAGAGCAGTCCAGGAGATCCTCCCCTGTGCTCTTTGTACGCCTGCGGCATCCTAGCCTCCGTTTTTCAGGCCTATCCCGATGTACGCATGCAGAAGCCAATTTTCGCTGGCATCGGAACCGATTTCATATACCGAGGTGCCACCTCCGCTAACGGCTTTTCCCTTCAGACATACAGAAAAAGGAGCAGCAATCTAGATTCTAAACCCCAGCTACACCTTCAATCCTTAACCTGCTGCATCCTCGCCGGCAACGTCCCGAAATCTTCAATGTTATCTCCGTCGGCAGGGCGATTTCCTTCCCGAGCATTCTTGTTGTCAACGGATGAGCCGTCGAAGGCATCCTGCTCGCCCAGTATCCTCTCAATCAATTTAACCTTCACTATCGCTTTTTTCAGCCGATTGTCAAAGCCCTCGACGGCGTCTTCCGAGTTTTCCAAGGAGAGGCTCAGCGGGTCGACGAGAGAGAGGAGGCTGGCGATGTGCTTCTCGAGGCGGGAGTTGCGGGGTAGTGGGGCCAAGGCGGGCAATTGGGAGATGCGTGCGTTTGTGATGCCGGAATCGGGGATATCTACTTCCTTATTTTCCTGACCAGGGCCCTGTGCTTCGCTGGAGAAGGAAAAGATTCTGCTGATGGTGTTTGGTGGAGGAGATGTTGCCGACGAAGTTGCTGGCGGTTGTAGGAGGAGACCATGGTTTCCCGGCAATCTTTTGGTCCAGACGATAGCTTTGCCGTATATCCTGCCTATTTCCTGGAACTTCTCGAAGCCTTTCTCCACGGCGAATACGCTGCCCTCACTGTAGCCAGACCGTATCCCGTCCGTGGCTCCCAGCTCGTAGCCCTCTTTGTAGAACCGCTCCTCCAGGTCCAGGAGGCTGTCGAGCAGGTCATGATCCATAGCCCAAGTTATATAGGAGGGAGCAATGGCAAGACAGCAGTTATGTGTATACGTTAGACTCGTCACACAGGCGTCTCGAAACCGTAGGAGGCGTGGGCTTGCTGTGGCTAAACGGAAGGGCGTAGATGTAAGTGAACGCAGCTGCGGATTGTGCCCAAAGTTGGCGAGGGCAAAATATTTACCCCGCCAAACCTCCCCCTTCAACAATCACAACCACCACCAAATCCATACGCCATGTCGACGGAACAAAAGATCCTCCCCAAGAAGGGCCAGAGGAATATCCTCATCACCAGTGCCCTGCCCTATGTAAATAACGTCCCTCACCTTGGCAACATTGTCGGCTCTGTCCTCAGCGCTGATGTGTTTGCAAGTTATGTGCCCCTCCCGCACCCATTTCCCGCAAGTTCTACATTACAACAAAAGGAGACTAATAGCCCTGCAGATACCAGAAAGCATGCGGAAGGCCTACGTTATACATTTGCGGCACCGATGAGTACGGCACCGCAACGGAAACCAAAGCGCTGGAGGAAGGGGTGACACCCGAGGAACTTTGCGCAAAGTACAACAAAATCCACCAGGAGGTCTACGAGTGGTTTGAGATTGGTTTCGATATCTTCGGACGCACGCCAACGGCTCAGCACACGGAAATTTCCCAGGCGATCTTCAAGCGGCTGTATGACAATGGATTTCTAGAGGAAAAAACCGCCGAACAGCCATTCTGCGAGAAACATGACTCATTTCTTGCGGACCGCTACGTCGAGGGTGAATGCCCACGCTGCGGCTACGATGACGCGAGGGGGGATCAATGCGATAAATGCGGACACTTGCTGGATCCCTTTGATCTGAAAAACCCCCGCTGCAAGCTTGATGGAGCAACTCCCGTCCGGCGGAATACCAAACATATCCATCTTTTGCTGGATAAGCTGCAGCCAGAAATTGAAGCATGGGTTCATCCCGCCATCGAAAAGGGAGATTGGCCCAAGAACAGCCGTGTTATTACCGAGTCATGGCTAAAGGAGGGTCTGAAAGATCGTGGTATCACCAGAGATCTGAAATGGGGTGTCCCTGTCCCTCTTGACGGGTATGAGAAGAAGGTCCTCTACGTCTGGTTCGAGGCGTGCATCGGATACCCTTCCATCACCGCAAACTACACCCCGGACTGGGAGCTCTGGTGGCGGGACCCGGACAATGTCCAACTTTATCAATTCCTGGGCAAGGACAACGTTCCATTCCACAGCGTCATCTTCCCAGGCACCCAGATTGGAACAAGGGACAAATGGACCAAGCTCCACCACCTCAGCACAACCGAATACTTAAACTACGAGAACGGCAAATTCAGCAAGTCCCGCGGAATCGGCGTCTTCGGCAACAACGCAAAGGAAACCGGCGTCCCCGCAGACGTATGGCGCTACTACCTGCTAAAGAACCGACCCGAAACCGGCGACACGCAATTCGAATGGCGCTCGTTCGTTGACGCAAACAACGGCGAACTCCTCGCAAAGCTCGGCAACTTGGTCAACCGCATGGTGAAGCTGATCGCAAGTCCGAAGGCGTACAGCTCCACCGTCCCCGATTTCACCGTCCCCGAGCCCTTCAAACCCGTTTTGGGGGAGATCACCACCTTGCTGCGCCAGTACATCACCGAGATGGAAGGCGTGCATCTACGCGCCGGCGTCGCGACAGCCATGCGCATCGTCGAGGTTGGCAACGGCCTCATCCAGTCCAACAAGCTCGACAACTCGCTGATAGCCAGCGAGCCCGAGCGCGCCGCCTCCGTCGTCGGCATCGTCATCAACCTCATCCACCTCATCTCCAGCATCTTCAGCCCGTACCTGCCTGCCACGTCGGCGTCGATCCTCGAACAGCTCAACGTGCCCTTCGCGAACATCCCCTCGCTCGACGAGCTCAAGGACGGAGGGTGGAAACCGGCCCTGATCAAGCCGGGCCATCAGATTGGTAAGGCGAAGTATCTGTTTTCGCAAATCGATCCGAAGAAGGCGGATGAGTGGCGGGAGATGTTTGGCGGCTCGCAGGCGGAGAGGCTGAAGAAGGAACAGGATGCCGCGAAGGCGTTGGCGAAGAAGGCGGCGACCAAGGCGAAGAAAAAGGAGAAGAAGAATAAGAGTAAGGGGGACGGTACGATGGATGGTGGTAGTGGTAATAATAATAATAATGAGGCGGTAGAGAAGCTGGCGGATGGGGTTGCGCAGACTACGATATCCAGCTCTTGAGGACTTGAGATAAATAAAAAAAAAACAAGATATATGTTGTTTCCTTTTTCTTTGCTGTTTTTCAGATCGTAGAGGTAGGTAGGTGTTTTGTCAAATGTGTTTTATTCAGTCGATTTTGGTTTTTTTTTTTTTTTTTTTGTTATTTCGGAGCTCTTCGGTTCTGATTCATGGAACCTCTTCTTTTTGCAGCCTTTGTTTTTTCTCCCGCTAAGAACTCGTAGGTTGAATATCTGATCTTTGGAGAGCAAGGGAAGAGGAGTGATACCGTTCATGAGACGATGATGATATGTAGTGCAAAAGATCTACAAAGAGTTAAAACATGATAAATAAAACATTCTTTGTTTTCAATGTGAATCGTGCGGAAAATAACAAGAGGAACAAAGAGCCAGAGCCAAAGAAAACACACATATCTCTCTCTCTATCCATCATCATCACAACACCGCAATGGTTTCGAGACAGAGAATGAAAGAAAAGAAGCAAAGAGAAGAAACACAAGATGCAAATGTGTGAAACGACAACATGCTCGTAAATGACTGGAGGGTATCAATTCAATCATTTCTCTTCGCTCTTTGCTCCCTCTCTCCCTCTCTCCCTCTCTCCCTCGTAGATATTTTCATTCTTCGTAGATATACGGAAGCAGAGGAGGAGGAGGAGGAGGAGGAGGAGGAGGAGGAGGGGGAAGGGGGAGAAAAAGCCCCTAAACTCATCCTTGGTCCCATCCTAGCATTACTATTACACAAGGGGAACGGGGAAGATTAACAAAAGAGTACCTCTTCTCGCTCCCCCTGGAAGAGCACAAAGGGTCTACTGGGAATGGAATTGTAGTCCGGTGTCCCCAGATGTTGTTGCCCACGCCCATACTAAGGCGCTACTTATTGTCCATCAGGTATATTTTCAAAAGGGTTTAATTGTATTTTTTTTTTTTTAATATTTTAATATTTTTTTATTAGTTATTTTTTTAATTTTTTTTTTTTTTTAATGAAAATGTAGAACTAAAACTATCATCATCTCGTCCGTCTTGCGCCGGGCCGGGGTCTCACCTCCTCCTGCACGATGGGGTGCATCATAACCTTATTCGGCGTCTGCGGCGTGTTATTGGTATAGCCTTTGCTCCAATCATAACTCACCGCATACGCGAAGATATTGCCCGTTTTGTTAAAGGCGGAGCTCGAAATCGTGCCGCCGACACTCGGATAGCCCTTCAGGCGATGCTTGGCATCCTTATCCCAGAAGTGAAACGTGCCATCACTGCCCGCCGTGCTGAAGGTGCCGTGCACGGGGTGGAAGGCAATCGAGTTGACAGCATACACGTTGCTGACGTCGCGGTTGTTGGGCGGGTTTTCGCGGTGGCACTTGAAGCTGAAGTTGGAGCTGGCGTCCTTGTCCTCGACGTACTGGATGGCGCAGCGGCCCTCGATGGAGCCGACGGCGAAGCCCGTGGCGTCCGTGAAGCAGCTGACGACGCGCGTCTGGTATTTCAGCGGCGACTGCATGGTCTTGTAGAACTTGGTGGGCTGGTCGAGGTTGACGATGTTGATGTAGCGGTCCGCGGTGCCGATGACGAGGAGCTTGTTCTTTACGTCCATGGTGTACACGCGCTCCTGGCACTCGAGCGTGCCGATCGGCGTGGCCTGCCGCAGGTCCCAGAACTTCACGGTCTTGTCCCATGAGCCTGTTACCAGGAGGGATTGGGCGGTGTTGCCTGGGTTTTGTATCATTGCGCAGCATCTTATGGGGGCGTCGTGGGCGGCGACTTGGACGGGGGTGGTGGCATTTGCTTGAAGGTCGAGCATGCGGGCAGCTTTGTCGACGCCGGCGCCAACGACCTTGGTGCCGTCCTAGACGATAAAATATTCAGAGGTCTGCCTAAGTATATAGAGATATATGTGCGTAAAGAGGTGGGGGAAAGGAAAGGAAGGTGGCTCTCTACTTACAGGAGCCCAGCAGCAGCTCAAGACGGGTGCCTCATGTTCAAACAGCGCCTTTCCTTCGCTCTGACCTTGCTCGTTGATTTCGTATATGCGGACTTTTTTGTCCCAAGACGCCACGGCAAGATGATCGCTCACTGACGAGAAGGCAAGATGGGAGATGCTATCTTCGGGGGGGGAAGTGAGGGCGACATCTTTCGAGAGATCGCCAGCTGTGTTGGAAGCGGCCGTGTTGGTTGTTGTAGAGCCGAAAAGAGCCATGGTGTGCAGGGACTTCTGGCAGTTCCGGCGCCAGGTCTGCAGGTTCTGTTAAGGCTACCTCAGCAGGCTGAAAGTAGGTAGCTCTCTTGAAAGGGTATCAACGAACGGGGTTTGTCGAGGAAGATGGAAGTGAGTGTTTCATTTCCTCGACAGCTTTTTTTGACGGTGAGGTCAAGCTCCGAAGATGCGCGACGCTGCAAACAGGACAAACATGTCTCCCAGCTTCATACCTCTACAACCAAAAATCCCCTTAACGAGGAGTTCTTTTCCCCTCATCAATATAAACGGGATTCTCACTGCCTACCAATCTAGTTGCCATTCATCCATTGACCGTCGATGTATACCTTGATACACGCAGAATGGGGAGGGGGGTAGTATCCCTCAAAACTCACATATACACACAAAGATGCAGATAGTGAAATATATATATAGAGAGAGAGAGAGAGAGCGCCCAGCCCATCCACTGCGTAAAACCAGAGCAATATTAAAATAGAATAAAAAGATCTCCGCCCGGGATCTCATTATCCACTCTTTCTACCCCATTAAGTTCTGTCCCCTCTCTGTCTGGGTCACTAGTAACGATTACCCATGACCATCACCGTGAATGAACGCAGCAAGCGTTCTGTTTCAATTTTGAATACCAGCATGAAATTGCTCTCGTTGCAGGAGGAATTGAATGATGCATTGCCATTTTCACGCGGAGAGAAATGGTCCCCGACAGTTTTGAATCTAGTATCAATAAACACCATCATCATCACTGTTCATCCGTGTCCAGTATATCCTCTCCTCCCATTAAAGCGGCCATGCCCACTAAACCAAAACCGATGGACCCACGAGTGCAGGTGGACCTCGCCCCATCCAGAATTCGCGGGGTGCTGGCTTTAGCGCCAAGCGGGCCAGCCAGAGGAGATACTAGTGCTAGTTAGTTAGTATAACAGAAGACTGCTGGAGTCGGTTGCATCCCGGCATCGACAATGGCAGCATGTGTTGAGTGAGGGATGGGGGATGGGTTGTGCTGGACATACTCATACAGTGCCTCTGCCAGGCACGAACATACACCGGGACCACCCTCCTCGAGCACCTCTCTCCCCAGCGACAGCTGCAGCGTACTCGTATAGTGCACGATGCACTGTACATAGTATGTGCTTGATCTCTCAACCACGCACGGATCCAAGGATGGCCTGCTCCAGACCGGATTATTAATAAGTGCTAGGCCCCTGCGGACCTGGGGTAACTGACTTCCGGCCACGGCCATGCCTTGGTACTTGGGTGCTACGTCACCGCCGTAGCAACCCGCCGGTCACCCCGGAGTCACCCCAGATGTGCCAGCCAAACCTAACCACTCCCCCTTTCCCCGCTTCCAACGGGTGACTGTGAGCGTGACCACCTGACTCAGCCCGTCCTCCTTCCTCTCTCCTCTTCTCTTGTCTTGTCCTCCTCTATCTTTCTCTCTCTCACTCTCTCACTCTCACACACTCACATACACTCTCTCTCACCTGCAGTTCCCCCCGTCTCCTCACCATCTCTCGCCTGTCCCGTGCCTGTCCCGTGCCTCCCTCATCTGACTGTCACCTGCTCTCACAGTAAGTCCGTTTCGTTTCATGTACATACGATCACACACACACACAACAGTCTCTTATCTACTTCTCCCCTGTACCATACCTGGTATACCTCCGTCCTACCCACCTGCTTGTCTCCCCTCACTTCCCCTTGATCTAACCGTTGGCGGCTCCTCCCACAAGATCCTATCGCCAGCACCACCTGACCCCTCAATCAATCAATCAATCAATCAATCATGGCCGACGAACTCTCCAAGGTCGACTCTGCCGTAGCTGGCCTCTCGATATCCCCAAAGGACGACAAGGACCTCAAGAAGGACAAGAAGGATAAGGCCCACAAGCGGACTACCTCGTCTTCGGAAGGTGTCAGGAACATCAATGACCTGGGTATGTATAACATGTAATAGCAATGCAATTATAGAATGTAAGCTGATACTCTGTTCAGAAAAGGAAGGCATCGAACTAGCCATTGCCCCTGAGACACAGAAGCTCAACTGGTAAGTATATATATATATATATATATATATATATATACATCATATCATGTGTATTTGGCAAATATCTATACATGTAGATATATATATGCTCAGTTTCCCCCCTCCCACAGGAAACTCAACACCTCCCCCACATCCCTCGACGAGAAAGATGTTCTCAAGAAATTCCTCACCACCCCGCCCGTCAAGCGGATAGACCTGCATTTCCCCCTGGGCCTCGAAGTCACCGCCAGAAACCTCAAGGGCGTCACCATCAAGGACGCGCTAGACGCTATCCACAAGCAGTTCAAGAAGAAGGTATATTCTCGTCGTCGTTTTAGCCCATTAGTGATACATACATACTAGTACATATATATCTGGGGATAGCTAACCTTTCCCGTAACATCCATAACAGGCCGATGACGAACTCGACAACCCCATCCTCGCTGGCTTCGAGTGGGATAAAGAGGAATCATGGACCCGCCTCATCGTCCACCAGAAGAAACAGGGCGCGGCCGTCAGCTCCAAAAAGTCCAAGAAGAAAGGCGGCGACGATGAATGAGCGAATGGACGAACGGACAAGTCAATTTTCAAAGTGAAATAGAAGTAAAAATTTCTTTCTTTCTTTTATTTTTTACTTCCTTTTCCTTGATCTGTAACGGACCTGCTTTGCTGCTCTATTATCTATTTACTTATTCTCCCCTCACAAACACCAACAGGAGCTGTCACATCTTAACATCATTATCATTGTACCCCTCTCTCTCTCTCTCTCTCTCTCTGCTCCAATATGCCGTATCGTCTTGACATGCGTTGTTTGTCAGGCATGCATGCATGCCATGGGTTTAGTTAGTTAGTTATTTGCTAGTTTGCTAAATACATTACATACATGGCAAGTCATCATATTATTATTTTAACCTCCATCGATCAACTGTGTGGTATTATTGTTGGAGTTTAAAAAAAAAAAATTGTTATGTTATGTTATGTTATGTTCACCACAGTGTTAAAGAAAATAATCAAATACCCATTTGTCCCAAGTCCCAGATTGGGAATAAATATTCAATATTGAATATCAGATGGCAGCAGACCTTGCTCTAGCTCTTGCTCCTGCTCCTGAAGAAGAAGAAGAAGAAGAAGAAGAAGAAAGATGGGTAAAAATGGAATGGAGGAGTTGTTGGAGTCAGGGGAGATTCGAGAAGAGTTGAGTACAACATCTAAACATAACATCTATCCGAAGAGTAGGGGAGTAGGGGAAGCGGGAAAGGAAGGGAAAGGATTTAAATATCAAAGACGAAAAAAAAAAAAAAAAAAAAAAACCAGGATGAAGTCCAGTCCAGTGCTAGGTAGTTAGTTATGTTATATGTACACACACATTCAGACGTTATCATTATTCATGACATTGCCTTTTATCCCCCACAGCCAACCATAAAGAAATCGGAAGAAAATGAATGAATGAGAAAACGAAATACCAAACATATACAACCCACTCCTCTCTCATCCTTCGCTATTTCTCACCTAACTCCACCACTCCCACTCCCACTCCCACTCCCACTCCCATTCCCGTTCCCATCCGCACTGGCATTCCCAAGCAACACAGCCACAATCTCATCCAAAACCGTAAAAACCAAGTGCGCATTGAGCCTCTGATTATTCGTCGTCGCAAACACCCTCCTCGCCGCCGCTTGCGCATTCGCCCTCCCAACCACATTGGCCGCAAGATCCGGCACAAGCGTCGCAAGCATAACGCTCGCCTCCGTCCTGCTCTTCATCTTCTCCGCCAAACTCCGCGGTTTCAGGTCGCGAAACCGACGACCCTCGCCATCAGCAGTAACGGGCCACAACGTGTCCTTCGCCAGGTGGATATAACGCAGCAACGACGAGTCCTCCACGAGCGAGCGGGCGAACTCGCGCACTTTGCGCTCCACCGTGCCGCCGAGGAGCTGGTGGAGGACGATGACGACGGCGCGCCCGCGCAGCCAGTTGTTACCCTTGTTCAGCTCGAAGATCTCGAGAAATATGTCGCAGATGGGCTTTACGAAGGGCTCTAGTTCGCGGTATTCAAAGGTGTTGAGTTCGGCTTCGGCTTCGGCGGTAGTGAGGGAGTCTTCCGGGCTAATGAGCCGGTGGTCAGGCGGGGGGTTGTTGGTAGTCGCGAGCTGGTTTGTGGCGGCGGAGATGAGGTTTTGGCCTGCTGTGGAGAGTTGGTCAAGGACGGTGATGTTTCCAAGGAAATCGTCCATGCCGTCGGCAACGGAGTTGTAGATGCGGGTAACGAGGTCTTTGTTTTCTTCGAGCCGTTGATGTTCGAGATCATGGTCGTTTGATTCTTCAGAGGAGATTATGGCGCGTTGGGATAGGAAAGCACGTAAATCGCGGCTTCGACATACGTCAGGGAGGAGGAGGAGCTGCCGGAGATAGGCTTCGAGCGCAAGACGGCGTTTGTGAAGGAAATCCCTTTGGAGTTTCATTACCATACGTCGACGAGGGAATTCTAGGTTGCGGACGGACGGATATCGCATTCGTAGACGTTGGTGGAGTTCGTGGAATTCGCTGTAACGGCGAGGAATTGCCCAAGAGGCAGCAGGCATCTGGTCTCCAGAATTCCTCTGTACTTCGATAAGATCTGAAATTGGTAAGTATTTCACTGTAAATTCTTTAGTTAGAGGGTGAAACCAAATGTTACATACATAATGCATATTCCCGCCCATCCTCCTCTTTCCCAACCATGATGGATTTGATTTGGACAGTGGAACGCCCGTAGAGGCTATTATCACTTTCTTGAATGATATATTGCTGTCTTTGCATCTCCTTCCGGCGAATTTCACGATGAAGACTCGACTTGGATTTCCCTAATATACGCAGCTCCGCGGTATTATTAGTCAATTCCGCTTTTCTGGTGAGCGTGTCAACGACGGCCTCTTGGGCAATGAGTTTTTCTATATCGGATGTCAACGCAGATATAGCTTCTGCCAGACCAAGATCGCCAGGCGCCGCTTCATGTATCTCCTCCGCCGGATCTTTTTCATCCTCAGGTGTTTCTGGGTCCGCGTATTCATCCTCGATAAACTTCTCCTCGTCCGAGAAGAGATCGTTGTCGGTAAATACACCAATCCTAGATGAGGTATTAACAAGGCCCAGCGACGCGATACTTGGTTTCACCTTCTCCCCTACTGGACCATTGTCATGTTGTGGAAACTCTAATGAACTCCTTGATGAATCTTGTTCCCTACTTGAATGTAAAATCGAGCTTTTCGTTTCTTCTAGTTTCGAATCATTTGGTTGATTGGTAATGATATCATTCAAAGCGGCCTCCATACTCTCTATTACATGACGGGAGTGGCCGTCCCCTCCATCCCCATTTTGAGAATCCTTTCCGGTACTCTGTATAGACGCTGCTAGGTGATCGGTTTCCAGATCATCGTCATCAAATAGCCGAGCTCGATCCGAGTCTAGTGATCGCCGAAGAAAGTGCAAGTCACCTAGGTGTTTAGGCTGGTTCCATAAATCGGTTGTAGAAACAGCCGTTCGTAAAAGCTCGTTTGGTTTTGCGTTTGTTTGGGGGGAAGATACGCGACCCGTAAGGGGGGGAAGAGGACGTCTTTCAGAGCCTTCAGAGTATGTTGACCGGCTCACAGACGGTCGCCCAGGCTGGGAAGTGGAAGCGGAGGCGGAAGCAGCTTCATCAGAAGCTAAGTATTTATAGTATAGATCCGACTTCTTAAAGCCAGGATAATATTTATTCTGCATCTCAAGTAAAACAGATGTCTGGGTAGTGAGGATGACTGTTCGTGCTTTGCGATATTGTTCCGGGGAAGCTCGCTTTCCAGCGCTGATGAACTCTTTCACCGCCTGTCTAGATTCAGCAGGAACCCGCAATTCAGGCTTCGACAAATGCTGCTCGCTGATCAGCACGACATCGTTCCTATCGGCGGTTGTCCATGTTACAGCGTTGGAAGGGGTGTCATCACCAAAGTCATCTTCAAGAGGGTTTCGGAACCCATCAACGACGACCCAAAACTGGACAAGGGACATGAGATTCAGGCGATCCATATACTCCATAAAGTATGAAAGGCCAGCTGCATTGTGCATAACATCCACCAATGATACTTCATGAGGCTTTGAAATGTAGCTATAGCGAAGATCAACAGGATTTACAGGCGCATTATTTGGCTGGCCGGTGGGCACTGAAAGCTTCGCAACCTTCTGATCCAAAACCCGTTTCCCCGTTTCCAGGCGACGGAGATAGACCTGGTCTTGGCCTTCAACCATGCTCTCCCGTTTGAGTTGGCTGGCAATTTGGCTTCTGAATCTCCTCGCATCTGACAGGATGTTACATCGGCGAATAACTCGGACAAACCGCTCGAAGTCTCTTTCGCTATCGCCCGCCCTTAGCCTGGGGAACGCTTGGCTGTGTTTAGACTTCGGAGCAGGTGAAGCATGTTGGTCGAGAGCTTCACGTAGTCTCCGTACTGTTTTGCGGTCTTGTAGTGCAGTGCGCGCATAGGCTTCCATCAGTTGGTTCCAAGTATCAGGGTCGGAAAGCAGCAATAACAATGGATATAGAACAGCACAGGTGACAATCTCTCGTATCAAGATAGATACCGCCCGGCTGCTCAGTAAACCCTCTGGCAACAGTTTCGGGAGCAGTGAAACAACCAACTTGCGGAGGTGCTCTTGCTGAACCTGTTTTGGGTCCGTGAACGAGGATACAGATATTGCAGGGTGTAGATTTCCATTTCTATACCTACTCGCGATTGCAATCTCCAGCTCTTCCGATTCGGTTACAGTGCGTGACAGGTTTCTGCCTCGAACTGCCCTCTCAGCTGTGTCAAAATCTCTAAAATGGTTCGTCAAAATTGGTACAAACCGGGACACCAGGATTTCCACCAAGTCTTCTCTGAACAGCCTGTCCCTTAAATTTCCAAGTGCAGCCCTTATCCCACGATCGACTTCATTGATAAATCTTGGGCTGCCGCTTATTTCCCGGTACCATGATGAAACAAACTCGCCCAGGGCAAGGTCAAGGAGCTCACCAAGCGCTTCGGAAACGAGGAATGACTGAGGGTATAGGGGTTCGGGACGATAATCCACGCTCTTCTCGTATATCCTGACATCATGTTCCCATTTATCGGGGGACAGGAAGGCGATCGAACTGCCAGCTAAACTGACTGGGTTTGCTCCCCACTCATTTCCACTTCGTACGGTTAAAAGAATGACGGCACCCAGGCAAAGGACAGAGGTGGTGATACCAGCAAAAAAAACGTATCCGATGTAACGAAGCACGGGGAACCAGCGCACGGCAAAACCCCACGCAATGAAGCCGCCCAAGCAGGCAATGAGAAGGTCACGGCGACGTAGGGCCATTCTCCCCAGCACAAGTTGGCCCCATGCTGTCAAGTTGACAACTTCATGAAAGCAAATAATGCAGCGGGGGCATTCCTCGCTTGTTTATCCCTATGGTTTTGGATCTTCTGTCTTAGACTGCCGGGTGGGCGTTTGGGTTCGCAGCGGACTTCGGCAGCAGCTAACAGCGCGCTAGTCACTTGATAGTGCGACGAGTTCTCAGCTAGTTTTGAGTGGATGGCGGTCAGCACACGGGAAGGTTAGGGCATTCTCATGTAGCATAATTAAATAGAAGGTAGCCCAGCCAGCAGAGAGAGCTAAGGGCCAAAGACCTACATGCCGTAGTGGACGTTGGGGAGTTGAAGCTGGATGGGAACAACTAGACGCTGCTTAGGTAAGTGGCTCCTTATCAGATCGCCGAGATCACGGGACAAAATCCGATCTCTGATCTTTTCATAGATCTCGAAAGATGAAATACAAATATAAAAATGCTAGTGTGTACATATACATATATATGAATCCATGGAATTATATCCTATCACACACTCCCCTGCACTGTTGCGGTAAACAAACCTCCACGTAACCAAAAATGCACCCTGACTGCTCGTGAATATTCAACTCCACCAACGTCATCGAGCCACTTGAAGCTAGTCTGGGAACTTGGCCTCAATCATCCCAGGCACAACAAAAAACTAACAACAGCAATTGGAACTCCCCTCTACCTCACATCACGGAACGACAATAACCTAAAGATGGCCTCCATCACGGATTATATCGATTTCTCCCAAACGAGCCTGCATTGTAAGAATCGGCCCTCTAGCAGTAATATCTTAAATACCAGGCCCAATCGCTGACGCTCCTTCAACAACAACAGTAGCTGCAGCCGCCATTGCATTCAATCCCATATTCTGGAAGTAAGAACCTCTCCCGTGGAGCAGACAAGGGATAAAAACATGCCATAAAGTAGTACTTGAATATAGAGCTAACCTAAATACCCACGACAGCATCGTCGCCCGCCAAGGTCCGTTCCCTCCCAATCAAATCCTACTTTGAAAGCGGCTGTGATAATTAAATAGATGAAATATGAAATCACTCACATAATGCAAAAACACACAAACGGACCGGCAGAATACCGCAACCACTTCCTAACCCGCATCTTCGGCAGCCCCTACAATGGCTGCTACGTCCTCGCCGTCGCCATCTTCTCCCTAGGCATACTACGCGACCACCTGTACAACAGAGCGCTGGCTGACCAGCCTTTCTACCAGCCTGTCTCGCAGCCGTATCTAGCCTACGGCCTTTTCGCCACGGGGAATACCCTCGTGCTCTCCAGCATGTGGGCGTTGGGCCTCACGGGGACGTATCTGGGCGATTACTTTGGGATCCTGATGGATGCGCCTGTGACTGGGTTCCCGTTCAATGTCACGGGTTCCCCGATGTATTGGGGCAGCACGTTGAGCTTTTTGGCTGTGGCGCTATACAAGGGCAAAGTGGCTGGTTTATTGTTGACCCTGGAGGTGTTTGTGTGCTACTGGCTTGCGCTGAAGTGGGAAGAGTGAGTCCGCTTGATTATCCTTCTTCTCCTTCTTCTTCTTTTCATTTTCACCCCTCTAGCCTTATGTTATACTCCCTATTAATAAATACCCCCATCGATTACAGCCCCTTCACCGCCGAGATATACGCAAAGCGTGAGCGAGACCGCGCCAAGTCGAAGAAAGGCGGTAAGCGCGCTTGAACCGCCTCCCTTCCGCCTAGTAAATATCCAAAGGACAAATAACAGGCCTACCTTTAAAACTCCTCGGATCTATTCGGCTAAGGACTTCAACGCTCCCTGTCGATGACGAGACGAATATGTGATCTTCACTCAGCACCTAAACTCTTAATGCTTCTTTGTTTGTTCGTCGTTCGCTCGCTCGTTCTCCCTTCATATACATTCTTATATCCTGTACCAGGTAATACAAAAAGGTTCGAAACGATCTTTTGGTTGGGGTATTTGCTCTGCTCTTGTGTCGAGCGCCATGTTTTGCTATTCTACTTCCAAAATTCTATTTTTCTATTTCCTTTTCAGGCCAGAGAAGAAGGCGCTGGGATTTTGAGTCCCGAGGGGGGAGTATGCGGAACCATAATTTCTATATCTTTCTTTTCTTCTTCTTCTTCTTCTTTTTTTTATTATCTTCAACGATAAATTTCTCACTTACCCGTTTCGATTCCAGGTGGCGGGGGAGAAAGAAGGGGAAGGGAGTAGACGAGTCGTTGGCGGTTGAGGCGCAGGAGCCCGCGACGGAGACAGGCAAGGGTGCCAGGTGGTATACAAAAGCGTTCTCTTTTTCTTTTGCTTTTTTCGTTTCGTTTCTTACTTAATTTTTCATTCTCCTTAACCAAAAAAAAAAAAAAAAATAGATGGGATGGGTTTTGATTGAGTCATCGTGTTACCAGAAATGGCGGAGAACGCGGTGATGCGCTTATATATATATATATATACCCTCTTGCGCATACATTCTTACGCACCATGCGTGCATTGATAGATTAGAGGCATGTGGTTTGGCTACACTGCAGCATTCTGATACGTTCTGTACTGTACATGATGTGGATGTGTACTTGCTTAAAATGGAGGAGCTGCAAGGCAACATTGGAAGGATTACTCTATTCCAAAAAAAAAAAAAAAACAAAACAAAACAAAGGTGTAATGGAAAACGGAAATGAGGAGGTTGATGATTTGAGTTATCTCGTCATGAGCGGAACTGGGTATTTATTTCCAGGTTGTAGCGGCTTGGACTCCGATGGTTGTCAGGAAGAAAAATGAAAGGGAAAAAAGCACCAAATCTAGAATACAAACGCAGCCTGGATGGAAAGGAGAAGAACAGCAGATGAGGACAGGTGTTTTCGGAGCGAGGGGGAAAAAGAAAAAAAATCAAATCAAAATAAATCGGGGGGAGAACGGCAGGGCGAAACAACCCAATTATGGCATGAACAACAGCGAATGAAAGAAGAAAAGAAATGAAAAGAAAAAAATGAAAGGACATGCCTCCGACTTCCTATGTCTCACATGTTTCGCGCATTTATATGCATCAATGAATCCATTCATACCTAACCATCCCAATTCCACTCCAGTCCAACCCGGCAAAAAGTCCAAAAAAAAGGAAAGGAAAACAGAAGGAAAAAAAAGCCCAACCCCTTACCCCTCCAGAAATTCAACCCCAAGAAGAGAAAGAAAAAGCAAAAAGGAAGGGTAAAAAAAAAAGAAAGAAAGAAAGAATCACGCCCTCCGGCCCCTGCCCCTCTTCGCGGTCCCCGTCCCCGTCCCTCCTCCACCCCCTCTCCCTTCCTCGCCTCCCCCATCAACCTCATCCTCATCGGCGCCTTTCCTCAAATCTTCACCATCCCCCAACCCCCACTGCTGGCGGTCATACCAATCCTCCCCATCGCTCAACTCCCCCACATGGCCCTCAGCCTTACACCACTCCCACACCAGCTCCTTCTTCCGACACGCGCTCAGCAACATATGGTACATGCGCTGCGAAGCGCGCACCGTCTCTTCCTGCTTCTGGATATAGGACCAGAGCATGCGGCGGACCTCATCTGCTTCGCTGGGGGGAAGGCCGCAATTGCGGTCGAGGTGGGTTGGCGGGAGGAGGAAGATGGGGTGCATGGTTAGGGGGTCGTTGAGGTTGTCGGGGTTATTGGCTGTGGAGGAGGATGGGGTGCCGGAGCGGGCTATGTCTGAGAAGGTTGGGGTGGTGGCTTGGTTTGCGGCTTGGTTTGCCCGGGCGCGGGTGGTCATGCGGCGCGGGGGTTCGGGGGAGGAGATTCCTTCGTCGTTGTCGTTGTCGTCGGCAATTGCTTCATCTTCCGTGCGGTCGCCGTCTTTGTCCACGTTTATGTCGCCCCCGTTAGTCGCAACCGTATCAACAGGAAGGCCATCTTTAGGCTCTTCCTTGGCTTTGAGAGGATCTTCGTTGGTGGTGGGTTTCGACGGTTGCTTGTTGGCATCTATGTGCGTTGATATGGTGTCCCCATTTGTAGATTCTGGGGGAGATACAGCCTGTCCATTTGGTTTGATGGGCTCAGCCGTAACGTTCTTCTCAGGTTGCGTTATGTCCTTGTTTTCTAGCGGCTCCTCTGAGGCATCACCCATCTCGACATCGTGATCAGTATTGTGCTGCTCCGGCGACACGCCATTGACAGCATACTTCACAGGATCGTGATTCGGTAAGCTAGTCGAGATATTATTCCCTATTTGAGCAGCCTGGTTCTCGGGAGACCCTCCGCGTGAAGAACGTCCCGATCTACCCCTCCCATCCCTTTGTTTCGATGAAGAACGGCTATTGAATCCATAATTGGGGTCAAATATATTTCTATCGTCCATAGTCTCCAAAAAGCCGCAAGGCATCCACGGGGCGTCGCCTAGTAGCTCCCTATGTAGTCTCTTGGCCTTATGGAGGATGTCCTGCTCCTGTCGGAGCTTTGCATTCGCGTTGTCCACCATCATCTGGAGGGTTTTGGAGGTGTACGGATGGGACATGGAAGGGTGTGTCGCGAGTTCGGAGGGATGTTTTAGAGGAGCGAGAAGTTCTGTAGATAAATAAGGAGAAATACAAAGGTGAGAAATCGATATTTTCCAATTGGTGAAACAAAGTCAAGCGTTTGATTGCGTTGGCCACGGGAAAAACTCGACTCACCTTCCAGGTGTATGTCCCCAAACGGATTTTCGTCCGCCATTTCCGGATCAGCATGTTCCTCTGCGTCTTCTTCATCCAATTCGTCTCCCTCGGAATCATATTTGGGCGGATTGCGCTCCACGATATCTCTCGTATAACCGGCATGATTGATCCTCTATCAAATGGAGAAAATAATATTAGCGATGACATCTCAGATCAGCATTCAGCCTCTATTGGGCCCTAAGAGGAAGAACCCAAGTATTTTTTTTCCCCCGTACCTTTCTATAAAATGCCACACCGTCCGTGAACCCAAGAGCTCCCTCGTGAACATATTCCGCATTTATCCGAAGCTTATTTCCGCGATTCGTGGGTTGCGTGATGGGATCGTCGACACCCATAGCTAAGAGACAGGGGAAAAAAAATACAAATGTCAGCCAAAGCAAAAAGGTTAAAAAATGCATCAAATCAAAGTCGAGACGATCCGGGCCTCATCCAACCAGAGAAAATAGGTTTGAAACAAGAACGAAATGAAAAAGAAATACGAAATATACAGAAAGAGAGACGGGACATCACAGACCTCCTAAACGCTGGCGTTCAAGAGCCCTTTTCATCGCGGTGATGGTGTCCGCGATCATGGCCGCTTGAACCGCCATGATGGTCCCCCCGCGCGCCAGAATAGCCGGGCTTTGGAAAAAAAAAATAAAAAATAAAAAATAAGGGATAGAGAGCAGGGTATGGTTTTTGAAACCCCCGCCGTTCGAGCCTCCCGAATCTCCTACCTCGACCCGGAGATAGCTTGAGAGCTGGAAGCGCGTGCGAGCTGGTGTGGCGTGGTGTGCGTGGTTAAGTTGCTATGGGTATGATGGATCGATTTTAAAGATAAAAAGCGATTGGTGATTTTTCTCAAAGCGGAAAATAACTGTGAAGGTTCACATGTGGAATCAGTCTAAGAATAGGTGATAAATGGGGGGTCACAGAACTCGTGGGATGTGCAAGCTGGTGGAGAGAGGAGAAGAAGCAAGAAGCCAACAGGATAGAAGATAGCTGGGGCTCGATCTCAGGTGGTGAACTTTCGGGGGACTGAACGGGTACCTCACGCTGCCGCTACCGCTGGGCCAGTCCAGAGGTACCACCCTCAGCCCGGATTAAAGTTAATGCTGACGGTTGGCCGCACCAGGGCTATTCCCTTAACGGGTTTAGCGTCCAAGCCTATCCCGTTTATGTCATCGTGCATAAACTATATCGCAAGCATGAACACGCGGAGTTTTTGTGAGTCGTGACCATCCACTGCCCATTGAGTATTGAAAATGGACATGCAGCGACATGAAGCCTTAAGTGAAACCAATTAAGAAATAGCACCAAAGTATGGATCCATGCTATCACTAATGTCCAAAAAGAAAAACCATAAACAAAACAAGTGCTAGTGCCCAGTTGAAAGCCGGAGCCACACCAAAAAAGAAGAAAACAAGAAAACCTTCTCACTCCCTCCTCATTCATCCCCTACCACAAACCCAGGCTTCGACTGCGGCTTCACAACCTGGTAGCCCTTCTCAAGCGCAAACTCTACAGTACAACGAACACGCACAGCAGCAATAGCTGGCCACGTCCCCCGCTCCCCCTTAAGTATCCACCTCCTAATCTCTTCCCCCGCCCTAGGTGGCGGCTTGAATACTTTTGACAAATCCATCCACCCCAGCTCCGGCAAAATCGTCATATGCGGACCTTCTATATCCTCATAGATTAACAGCCGCCGGAGTGGCGTTGGCAGGAGACCCAAGCTATCCAGTTGGCGTAGACGATGTCGTATTTCCAAATTTATAACACGGCAGGTCTGTTCGAGGAGGACTCCGCGGCGGGAAACTACCTTTCCTGGACGCTCGACTTCTGGTAGGTATATGGGCACCCGGAATGGTCTGGCTTGTGCAATGATGAAATGGTTCACGTTGAATAGTTCCGACAGGCGGGAAACAGGACATTCTCTCTCGTTATAACCAAGTTCGCGCCATGACCTGAAGAGGAGGCCTTTGGCATCGGGCCACGGGACGACTGCCCCTGTCTCGTCCTTGCAATACAAGGTTACCCGTGAAGAAGTTGCAGAGGACACGTTCGACGCGGCTGCAGCGGACCATATCAACTGAGAAAAATAGTTTCCAAAATGTCAGCTCTCAATAGACATCGAGCCAAGGGTGGAGATTAGTATCTCACCACATTAGGCGCTGTTAGGTAGTTCAGCAGATTTGGGGTCCCTGCTCTCCCAGCAGTTGGGATGGTAATGTTCAGGCAACGCTTTGTCTTCGCAAACGCCTCTTCGAAGGTCATTTCACCAACTGTGGATTTGACATATTCCTCCAGGAGTTTCAAATCTGGAAAATAGCTCTCTCGAATATATTCCTCAGTCCGCCGGATCAATGAAGGTAACCGCCCGTACCCGTTATCTCGCGCGAGAAGACTAAGAATATTCCAACCCTTGATGTGCTTCTGCTTGGACAGCCGATCTGAAACAGCTTCATCGATGCCTTCCCCATTCAGCACTGGTATAAGATCATCATCCTTGTGCACCGCCACGAGCGCAGCAACCAAAGCGCCGGTCGCGGTTCCGGTGATGATTCGAGGTAGCAGCCCCCTCAGAAACAGTGCTTTGACAACGCCTAGATGACAAGTGCCATATACGGCACCTCCCTGCAGAATCAACGCCGACCTGCCGAATGCCTGTCGAGTGTCGTAGAGCAATCGAAGTTTGTCCTGTGAATCAAAGGCCTTGGGATCGCGCGGCACGGTCTCAAGAGCGGCGATGTACTCAATTGCGTGTCCGACTTCCGAGATATACTCTTCGATCAAAACTTTGGTGCCAGAATAAGCACAATCATAGAGCTGCGGGGACGTGATATTGACTAGATTTCTGACCAACCCAGATCGAATAAGGTGGACGATTACCCAGATATCGTTGTTACTTTTCGCACGTATGAGGCTTTGCAACCGCCGTTTAATAACGCGGTGGTCGTAGTGGAGGCTGGGGTAACTTTCACGCCTGAACAAAGTAAACAGAAATACCCTTTTGGTTAGCAAGCTCTACTCAAAAAAGTGATCAATCAATGACGGTAATAGTAATATATATTGTAAAAAGAGAAAAAGAAAACTCAAATCAAGACAAAACGACGAACCAAACATCATTCCCCAGCACTTCATCCAACGCAATCGCCCCGGCCTCCCACTCCTCAAAGCTTTCAGCTGTCGCAATGCGCTTTCTTGCAAGATCGCCTGGCGATTCCGCGAGCCACCAGGTATACAATTTCTGCAACAGACACCAGCCAACATAAGTAAAATATACCAACACAAAAAGCGATATGAACAGGAACCGAGAGCACAGAGAAACAAGGTTGTGTGGCAAGATCTGGAGGACAACAAGAGCAGCAGCGGCAGCAATAACAACAGCGGCGAGGCCCTGTTGTCCTGTCCGCCTCAAGGGGGTGAGCGTACTTGCTTGCAACAGGTCCGGACGTTATCCACGAGGGCCGCGAGGATGGTGAAGAACAAGTCCCAGCTACTTAGGAGGATGCTGGTAAAAAGGATGGACATGGCTAGGTATGGTGCTGTTTTGGAACGGTCTTATTGATATTTCTGCGGCGGCGTCGTTGTCGTCTTTGCTTGTGATCCTGCTCTCGAAATGCGTGGTTGCATGGTGTTGCTCAGTGGACAAAGTTGGAAAGGGCTACGGCGGCACGACTTCTGTCGTAACAGGCGTGGATTGTCGACTAGCCCTTACGCCTGCGAGTGGTTGGCTTTATCGTGTGGAGGAAGCATGAGGGTTCGGCGGAACAAAACTCTACTATTTCATCTTTGGTCCCCTAAAAGATCTAGAAAATAACCGGCATCTAGGCAAATCCAAGATTTAGTACGGAGTACACTAGCAAAACTTCTACCCCCACCAAGATTGTCTCAACCATGGTAATTGCAGCGCTCTCAATTTAGCAGTAAAAGATGATGTCAAGATTGCGGGGGCTCGTGGGTTAAGAACGGGCTGCAAATGCAACAACAACTTCGGGCCAGGAGTTGTTGTCAAGAGTTGAATGTACAAAAGTATCTTTTGATGGTGGCAGACAAAAGTCAATCGATGAGGTCATCGGAGGCCGGAGTGCCGTCACGTGGAGTCCGTGCTAGAACCTTGGAAAGTGCTTGTCGAGAATACATTACCAATGGACAAACAAGAAAACATTGGGCATTCATCCGTTTGTTTATTCACTCTGTGAGAAGGAAGGAAGGGGGATGAGAGTTGAAAGTATTTGCAAAATATGGAACATCGATTGAACTCCTGCACAGGGAAAAGTAGGTAAACTGATATGGAAAAAAAAGCCAGCTCAAAAAAAGAAAAACAAAAGGAGGAAATTTCCCATTTTCACGTTTATTTAAAGCAACGTAGAAGAGAAAGATAAAAAAAAAAAAGGAAGAGCTCATCCAATGATAAGAGATGCTTCTCTGTTCCCTTTTCTCTGTTTCTTTCTTTCTTGTTTGAAAATTAATTTTCCTTCCTCTGTCCCCCTTTTCCCTTTTTTTTTCCTTGTCCCGCTCGCTATATCGTCTAAAATAGTGAACACGAGTAACCACCTATCTACTCCTCAATGATATTGCCCTTCTCCGAAACGTACACACCATCCAAGAACTGTTAAACAAATACGGTTAGTTAGATGGCAGAACACTGGAAAGGAGTAGGGAGGCAAAAGTGAGCCAATTTGGTGCAATCGAAGTTGAGGGTTTCCTCACTTTTCGGATATCCTTATTCCTGACCCGGCAAATTTGTTGGATATCGGCAGCACTCTGTGAAACGCCCTCCAGCGAGTTTCCGGAAAGTTGTAGCTCATCCTTAACGTTGGGGGAGACAATGATATCGACACCTGGCTGGCAGACAACACGGCGGACTCTCTTCTCGCCCAGGAAGTTTCTATATTTTTTTCACAAATGATTAATGAGTATTCCCAGCTTCCATCGTTTCCCATGTTAACTGATCCACAATCCGCGAAAATTGCGCCCTGCTGTCCAACCTTCGGCTAACCGCACCACAGCCTGTCATTTTTCCCAGGCTTCATCGACTTATAGCCGCAGCAATACACAAGGCGACAGAGCAGACCCCAACCACACAATTGCGTATTGGAGAAGGAAGAAAAACGCTCATAAAGATGGGGAAAAAAGAACTCATCCATACCGGATCTCAACCTCAGCAAGTCCAGTCTCCTTGTTATTCTCAATGTTGATGTTGATGGGGAAATGGGCATAGACGTAGCGCATCTTATATTTGAAGCCACGAGTGACGCCGATGATCAGGTTGTTGATGAGGGTGCGGACGGTTCGGAGGGAGGCAATGGCCTTACGGGCGCCATGGTGGATCTCGATGGCGAGCAGGCTCTTCTTGGGCATAGTGAAGGAGACGGCGATGTGGGAGAGGTCCTTGACAAGTTTGCCTATTACGGGTTTGGGGGTTTTTCCCCCAATTGGTTAGAGGTTCTGGTTTCATTTCATGATTCGCTTCGCGATATTCATTCGTCGAAACACCCACACAAACGCATGTGTAGGAATTGTGGCCAATTGACATACCTCGTGGTCCCTCCACGGTGACGACCCGCGAGCGGATGTGCACATTCACTATAGATCGTAAGAAAAGCCAGCTGGTCAGTACATCATATCCTCATAGCTCTTCCTCCTGCAGCTCAAACAATATATTAACGACGTGTGTGTAGCGGTATGTATGGGGGTGTAGGTAATGTATGTATATATGTATGTATATCAGATCGGATCCCAGCGCGGTTGCGGTCCAAACAACAAAATAATCGGCATCACTTCCTTGCCCACGTTTCGATAATCGTCCGCGCGAATTGCAGTAAGCCGAATTTGAGTGTCTCGTTCCTTCGGAATCCATCCATCACATCCATTCCCTTCCATCCTGTTTTTTTTACAGCAGCAATTCCTTCGCTTCCCCTCGATTCGTATCTGCCTCCGTCTTTCGCCATTCCGCGCGCAGCAACACACACACACACACACACACATATACAAAACCCGAGAGCAAATCCGGGGTAAGAGATAGGGCAAGGCAGAAAAAAAAAATCATCAATCAAAAAGAAGTCCAATTCTCACCATCGTCGGGAATCGGCAATGTCTCCTGGGAATAAATGTAGTGCATCTTGAACGACGACGGGAATCTGGACGGGAACTTCTGTTGCGAGGCGGGAAGATGGAAAGGAAAAGGGAGGAAAAGAGAGAGGAAGAGGGTTTGGTCGTTGGTCGTCGTTGTCGTCGTCGTTTTGAGATACAACCTCTCTCACACTTCACACAATGTCGTTTCCCTTTCATGAAATTTCGCTGGGGTGGGTTCGGGTATTGATTATGTCAGCATTGTGCGGCGCATCGCTTATCTTACGTTTTAAGTTTAGCGCGGGCGACGCTAGGGTTGTGGCGACTAAAAGGTAAGGCCTTTATTTTCAACTCTGAGCATATGGGATGAAAGTGCAGTTCAGCGCACACCTTCTGCCGCTGGTCCAGCGCTCGCCTAGGTCATTTTGTATTGCCCCAATGTCTGGTCTCCGGCCTCTGCCCATTGTTCTCAGTAAGTCATAAAACAAATTAATATAATCCTCTAATACAGTACACATAGGCAGCTATATATGTATACATGCATGTGTATATGACAAGACGTATTAAAAAATGATACCCTCTCTCCGCAAGGGTATGCTAGATAGTGATTAAACTCCCGAACCGAACCAAACCAAACCAAAACCAAGTCCAAATTCATACCAGAATAAACCCATTGTCCCCTCCTTTTGCCGATTTAGAAGAAAGGGAGGATGGGGGGAGGAAGGGGAGAGAAAGAATCCTATGGAACAGAACTCGAAGAAACGGACTGCGGATTAGAGTCAACAAAAACGAAACAACCAAAATCAAAATCAAATCAAATGCATCTGCAATTTCCTCATTGTTACGGAATTCCTATCCCTTTGCACCGTTTTGCCGCATATTAGGTTCATAATATGTCAATTAGTTTTTAAAAACGAATTACGTTTTGATGGAAAAGGCCGGATAAGGCGCGGGGGAGGGGAGTGGCGGAATCCGGTCTATCAAATGGGATGAATGTGATAGTATTGATATTTAACCCAACCATCATATCATATCTGCCTCTTTTGCCCTCGGAGGAAAAAAGATAGGCCCGAAAAATTAGAAGTGAGAAGCGACGAAGAAATATCGCCATCATCAAAGTGATTTCTCGTCTTCCGTCAACTTAATATCCATCACCCTCTTTCCCCCCAGCGTCTTTATCTTCGAGGCCAATTTCCCCGCCTCATGGAGTGCCTCTATATCATCTCCGCCGCCGATGGTCATACCATTGACCAGAACGTTAGGCACGGTTCTGCGCCCCGTGTTGCGCGCAAGGACCTCTTGTAGCTGCTCCCCGAGCGGGTGTATATCGAGCTCGACGACGAAAGGGGGGGGGATGATGCTGTGTTTGTTCAGGAGGATGGATTTGGCTTTTTCGCTGTAGGGGCAGTAGGATTTGGAGAATATTATGACTAGAGAAATGTGCCGAAGGGTGGAGGTGATGTGTTTGTTAGCGGTGTGATAATTAACAATTGCATTTCACGGGAGAAAGAAGGAAAGAAAGATGAAAAAACGCTGTCCGTGAGTATGAACAAAGCAGGAGTTGAAATAAAATAACATGACATACTGGGTGATCTCTTGAGAATTGCATTAAGCTCCGCCTCCACCTCCGGATCCTCCCTATCCTCCAATGAAACCTGAGACTGCCCGGCCGGTATCTTTTTCCTCCCTGCGATAGACTTCTCACCGTCTTGTCCATCATGACTATCATCATCCCCGCTGGGATGCGGCATCTTCAGCGGACTCTCATATCTCTGCCGCTGGACCGCTATCGCTTGTTTATCCTCCGGGGCCAGTTTCGTAGTCCGCAGTTTCTGGAAAACGGCTTCGTCGTCGTCGCCTCCGCCCATCCCGCTGAGTTTTTGCGCAGCTTTCGCGTCCATTGCCTGAACGGTTTGTTGATAGAAGGTTTCATTCTGGATTCGTCTTGCATTGGCCTGTATTTTTACATAGACAACGTCACCATGACACATAGTTGGGTCAGTTATCATCTCGTTGTATCAACCATTGATGAATAAGGTATAATAAATATTCTTTGTGAGCAGGCGGGGGCCCGCTTCATTTTTTTGCTCTCCGATTCGCCCAGTCCCCGCGTTTCCCCCCTCGCGCGGCCCGAAAAACAATGCGTTGGTGAAAATTGAATGGACCGCACTTACACTCAAGTAACATATGAAGAAAACGATTCCAAGTACCGCCAACAGTAATATCCTGGCGCCACGACGGGATGGAGACATGATTCTGTGTCCACCGGGTACGGGTAACGAGGCGTGTCTGGTAGGGAAAGCCCTTGACGAGCCTTTCATCATGGATCCCGACGAGAGCACACGACCACAACCACGGAAGATAGAATTAGGGATGGAATGGCTAATCCATGAGATTTGGGAGGAAAGAGGTGCGGTGATGATGAGGAAAGGATTGAAGAAGACAGTAGTCGCAGGGGCGAGAGTTGTTCTCCCCCCGGTCGGGAAGATGCTTTTTGCTGAGCTTGTCAAACGTGACGGTAATATTCAACTCGTATGCCCCGTATTGATTGATCTAATAATCCCTGGCCAATAGTTAACCAAGTTGGCCGATGGATTATTAATCTGTCCACATGTTGATATCGGCAATAGAACCAGACAAGAATTAGAAAAAGTCCCTCGCATCTGGTTGAAAACTGTTGAACACTGTGGAGGAAAAGCGCCATGCCGCTGGGAAAAACTCGATACTACCACCGCCAACGAACTTATTGCTCCCCCAACTGTTGCCTTTTCGGCCCTGGAAGTTGGAATACATTCTTCACGCTATCGATCAGCAACTGGTTTCGCTCATGATCGCCGCTATCTGGAGACCCACCAACACAGATCATGAATTTGTTCCCTTCCAACTTACATGTCAAGGGTTGAAGGAAGAGACAAGGTAGGCATGCAGGTAGGATCTTCGGATATTATTTATCCTTAATTCGGGGCCATATTCTGACGATTTTCGCTACCAAAAGAGCCAACACGCAAACAAACGAAAGGCAAAAAGCAGGGGGGCCCGATATAACTCCTGTATGAGTCTGGATAGTTAATTAACTATCCTAACTCACACTAACTCACAACTCAACATTTTGTAATAAAAAGCTTCTATCCCGGCTATATTTCGGTTTCCCCCCCCCCACCTTCCCCTACACGGGTAACAGTGAGTGGTACGATCTATCTGTCTCAACTCCATTGCTAACAGCGAAACGGAAGCCACACCGCGGAGTCACGGACTGATGATTCGAACATCCATGAACCCGAGTCCCTGAGAGGTCAAGATGTGGGTCGTCAGGGGCTTGCCGAGGAGAAGGATCGAATACTTCGGAGTGAGAGAGCATTTTGAACAGAAGCCAAGAGGCTCCAGGTCTGGTAACGTCTCCGCTCGGGTTAAGTCAAGGGGCTCGACTCGTAGTTACTTCTATTTTTGGTGCCCTGTTCCTCGTAAGGATTGAACTATTTATCATTATTTAATGCACCATGCCCGGCCAAGACTGGCTAGGAGTTTTAGCTACTACCTTTCAAGGATCTAACGGAGTAATCAGCCACAAGCTTTCAGCTTTCGGCATCTGCAGTTCTGAGGCATTTGCAGACGCCTGAAATATAATATCAACGCTTGGCCTCGGATCATTCCAACCCCGATGCCGTATACCTAACTTCACAACCAAGCTTTAGTCTAATTCCTTGGGACCAGGTTGAGGTGCGCGGGACTGGTGTATATAATATATATTCATACAAGGCAAAAAGCACTGGGACATTCTATTCATTTCGCTGCATAAACTGTTATTGATGCTAACTGTGGAGCACACTTCGCGGTCTCATGGGCTGCTAGTGCTCTCTGCAGAGAAGAGATTTGATCGAGTTACGCTGCGGAGTGAGGTGAACTGAGGTCAATGGAAGTGACTAAAATGTGCCAATAGTTACTAGTAACCTTTCAATCAAGGCGGGATGCTATGGCTTTAAATCTCATGCTAACCATAATAATGAATTGCTCGGTTCTCTGTGGTGTGTATCTAGGGGGTTGTTATTAATAGTCGCTCCGTAGGGCTGGCACACTGAGCAGAAGCTACTGTAAAGGTGATGCACTTTCTCTAACCGCTCTGTGAAACGCCACTCTATGAAAAACATAGAGAACATAGAGAGCAAGATACCACTTACTTTCCTCGGTACGCAGCGGCAGATGGTGAATGTGAGAGCTGTTTACAATGGTGGTGAGCACTTTGAGCATCCGAACAGTGCAACCCTGCGATGCCATGTGAGGCAAGCCACATGCAACTTTGTTTTTTGGGTAAGAGTGCCAACTTTTCCAACTCTTCCTTGCGCGTATCATCCCTAGTGGTGTAGTGGCTAACATCGCTGTCTTTCACACAGCAGCCCAGGGTTCGATTCCCTGCTAGGGAGGTGACGATTTTCTTTTCTTTTTGCTTGCCGCATCTATTTTTTTTGGCCCAAAAAGGCCCATCCAATCTATCAAAAATATTATTGCTCACAAGTGAGTCTGCTGAGCAAAAGTTTCGAATGTGCTTTGGCTAAACCTGAACATACGCTTTTTATTTTGTCCACCGTTCTAGGGTAAAGTTAGATCAAGGCGCTCTACAAAACAGCCTTTTACAACAACGCAATGGCACACACCGACTGCAATAATATGTTTCCAGAACTGTTTTTCATCTACACTGTCATGACTGGAACTGGCCGGGGAGAGTGATAACAGCCCATGTAAAAAAGATCAAAATTTGAGTGATGTCCTTCCAGCCGCACCTGACGTCGACCGGTACCTATAGTGATGGCTGTTCCTCACTTTGCCAGCAAGATGAGGATTCAGAGAGTAAGACAAGAGCTTGATAAAATAACAACACAGCTGACTTGAGGCTAGTTTGCAGCTACTGAAACATAAAAGAGGAATATGGAAGAGATGATTGAGGCTTTTTTCATCTTGTACCTGACTGCCTGTCTGTCTGTCTGTTCAATGAAAAAGGAAATGTGATCTTTTCTGCTTGCATCAGAACTGACTGGCGCGTTTTCTAATACTTACTCAGCAGCGTCATAGTGGCGTCCGCTGTCCCCATTATTCTTCAAGGAATATCGATTTATGACAACTTGGATCATGCCTGCTCCATTCATGAATAGGCAGCTGCTGAAAGCTTCAGAAGCTCTTACGTGCCAATGACGTGCAAGGGCCTCCTTGAATTTAGAAGAGCACTATTTAGCGCGCATCCTAATGCAATCAGTACCTGGACTTTCAGTAGCATTAATTGATTTTGAGGACCTCGGTTGGCGCTTCTCCATTCCGCACCGCGGCTAGGAAACATTGAGTTCTGTATCGGGATTCAGGGGAGGGCCATTGTGGCGGATGACAGCCGAGGAAGCGGGAACCCAGCTGAGTCCATCTCATGCATCGACGGATAGATATACCACATAATTCATGGTTATGTTGCTTTTTGTCATGGCAGCGTCACCGTGATGTAGTGAATCAGATGGCCCAAGTACGCAGTACACTGCGTAAGTAGATGCATATAAAGGTTTTTGTGGGTTCAACATCAAAACCTGTTGAACAAGGGTTCGAATTTTCGGCCAGAAAAACTTTCAATATGGTTCAAACTCTCAATCATTACATGACACCATTTTCGAATCTCATTCAATTAGTGTGGTTGATCATTGCTCTCATTTTCTACCCTCTTTCAAGCCGTGTATATTCTTTGAGAGTGTTTTCTCTGTTTCTCAAGCTCTCACTCTTCGGTGTGAGTGATTGAATCTAATGGAGCGAAGCGGAAGTTTAACCCTAAATCATTTTAGCGTCCAGGGGTGATTAATTAAGGTTGATGCTAAAATATGCCACTAGCAAAGTAATGCATAGATCGTTATGGTATGCACTGGAGAAGGAGAATATAATCTCCTGCGTAGATATTAAACGAGAATACTGAAATGTCATTGACCACTAATGAGTAGTAGAAAACAAAGTGGGAAATTATGCATCAATGCAATGCATTATCAATAAATTAAAACCTTTTCGCCCTGAATCTCCATTCCAGCTCCTTTTGATGAGATAGCACTATGACCGCTAGGTTATCCATAGCAAAAAACCAACGCAAACCATTTGTTAAATGGTTGCGCTCATAGTGATATATATACCCGTGGGTGTGGTGGCTTGGCCCAGCCCACAGCGGCCATGGCCACCCAACCCCACCACCTATACACTGCGACCGCCAGTCGCAGCATAGTGTGGGAACCACATACCTGCGTTCTTACTCATCTAGCTGCAATAAATCCAATCGATTCTATGGGAATAGAGATGCCTACGATGTGTCCCCTTGATCCCTATAGGCATAGTCATTATTGCCAGCTAGCCACTCACTGTATATTCCTCCATCCCCTCCTTTGAGGGCTGGTACTAAAGTTAAATTAGGTTTAAAAGTAATATATACAGTTTTTGAACTTCATTCAAACTTTGAACTCTATTATAATTGAGACTTTGAATCATACTAGTACCTCTGACAGGGTTTTAAGTCCATCATGGTTCAAAATTTCTTGACAAAAATTCAAACCCTCAGGGGTTCAGATATTTTGAATCATATTCAACTGTAATCTGACTCTCCCGGTCATGACATGGCTTTGAGGTTTACCATAGCTCAAAAATTGCACACATGATTTTTGAACCCTGTTCAGCTTTACTATTTTCTGTCTGTATGTGATTGATGTTTCTGAATCTCTAACCCGCTAACTAACCCCTAAGCTAATATCTAATTCTACACTTTGTTAGATGATGCGTATGTCGTTCTAAATTTGAACTCTGACAAGGCTTCTCAAAGTTTGTTGTGGTTCAAACTTCCTTAGTAAAAAGTCCGAACCCTATTCAGATATTTTGAAATCCCATTCAACCGTAACCTGACCTTACAGCCCTTTATTAGAAGGGAGCTACTGTAAGCGGCGGGTCGGAGATCTCGCTGCTTATCTAGGAGAGGTCCTTAGGACTCTACGAGGATCAAACTATAGAATGTAATAGGGTGGTATATGCGATAGGATTCGGATAGAAGGGTTAGATATCGAGGCTGTAGAACGTAGGGATCAGATTATATCAGAATGATTCGCCAGCCCCTAGAAGGTTGAGCCAGCTGCCAGTATATACACGCAGTATCGCAGATAGATCGAACCTGATATGATGCTGGTGGCGCAAGATTCCGCGATGCCATATCTTTTAGGCAATTACCTGTTCTGGCCAAGGATTAGTTGCTTGCTCTTTACAGCTACATAGTTCTCAGGCCTCCTGCTCTTACTGCGTAATGTACGGAGGGCGCTACCAAAAGTATTGCGCCGCTCAGATCCAATTGATACAGCTGAGAAGCGCCACTGCGTTTTAACATCTTAGGGTTAGGGTTAACCGTAAGAGAATACTCTACTACTCACCTGGCTACGTGGTGGGTGGCAGGCGGATTACATGCTGAATGACAGTGGATGAGAAGAGAATAATGCAATGGAATAATCAAGAACTGAATATTCAGTATAAAATACAGTGTGAATTTCCGCCAAGATTTATAGTGCTGTCTAGCTGTCTTTTTGCCGGCGCAAATACTTATGGTAGCTCCTCTGTAGTCAACCAACGCCCATTTAAATTTCCACCCAACACCCACATTTTCCCATACAAGTTGTCATAAATTTGATACTCATTTCTCCACCACAAATTATTATAATAAATTTATAAGTAGTAAATTTAAAATCTCTTATTAATATATATCTTTTAAAAAGTTTACTTTTCTATCAGATTATGTTATATAATGTGTATTCCATGTATAAAAATTGAGAATATTTTCTCATATAAATTTATATAAGATGTATTTAGATTACTAGCTGTTATTTTCTCATTTCTATGAGAAAAATTGATTATTTGTAATATTTAAATAACTTCTTTTGAATACATTATTTTCTGTTCACATTATAGTGTATGTCATAAAATAACAATGTAGTGTTTTATATTATATCTAATTTTTAGTAAAAACTATCAAGTATATATTGTGATGGCAATACTACAATCTGAATATCAATCTTATAATTTGTATGTGTAATTTATGAGTAAAAGTTTAAGATAATACAAATTATAACTAGCTCGACAGTATACTGGTTTATATATTAATATATATATTGAATGAGCAAATTACATATCATATACTATTTCAATATGGTGGGTGTTGAGATATCATTTTATATGGAAATTCGCGGGCATTAGGTGGTTGACCCCATTACCCTAGCAGGGCAGTTTTATCATAAGGTTTAAATGCCAAGCTGATTAGGGTTGAGATAGAGTTTGAGGCAAGAATCAAAGTTAGTGTTACACTTAGAGTACTTCAAGGTTCTCACAGGGCTTTCCGGTATCCCACTCCAAGTTTTCTGGTTGACATGCCCCACGCAGATTAATTTTTATTTACAAAACTTTTGATCAAATATTATCTGATGAAACCTCTACTTCGTTTTTGTTTTCCTTTGTCTAAATACAAGCCATGTATTTCTTGCTCAAATACCAAATAAACGAACCTATCTATAACTTCAAAGAAGATATACTCGAGTTGGCAACAGTTCTGTAAAAGCTGCAGTTTCTCATCGAGTCGCTGCATTGATGAAGCATGACGCAGATAACGAAATTCGAGTTTGATTCGGCGTGCCGTACAACGCGAGAGTTCAAGTGGAAGTAGATTGTGTTCACCAGATCTGGTATCTCTCTAGATTAGATGTGACCCTCGAAATTCGCACGCCACATTGATCTATTCTTCACAAGGGGCCTGATTGTGCAGGTGAGGGCCCCGCACCTTTCCATGGTAAGGACCAGATGCATTTCGTCTTATCGGTTTGGAAATTTAGGCCAGTTACTGATCGAGTTGAAGGGGTTAAAGTTGCTGACCCGAAAACACACCTGTAGTTAAACATTCCGAGTCAATCTTATAAAAATCAACTTCTCCCAGGTCATTTTTCAATGAAATGTCAACCCACAGTCATTTTTACATTTTCCATTTTTACATTTTCCATTTTTACATTTTTTATTTCCTTCCTTCCTTCCTTCTTTTGTCATATTGTAAACTTATATTGATCAAATCTCAACCCGTCTCTCCTTTTCCTCAAATTAAGCAAGACAGAAACGGAAAATGAAACTCTCTCTTGCATTGTGTGGTTTCTCAACGCTTGTCTCTGTTGTAACGAGTGCAGCAGTCGCTACCAAGCGAGGATTGAATGAGTCGGCGGAGCATGACCTACACCCTCATCCTCCTCGTTACTGCGCTCCGACCGTCACATGCTACAAGGATGAGGATTGTTGGCTCAGACCGGAATGCATAGCTGTCGCGCCAGATCCGTTATCAATTTTCTGCGGGACGTTGTTTTGGCCCCACTCTTGCTATGTGTGGTAGGCCTTTTTACAAAACAAGGAGGAAGGAGAAATAGATCCTGAATGCCATATGACGGTGGTCTTGTTTTTATTAGGCCACTGGGGCAAAGGAGCTCGATCATCACCAGCGCCATGCTGGTAGTAAAGGGGACGAACCAATCCAAGGCCCCCAACAGTTTTCATTTGAGAGTATTCTGAGGGGAAGGATTTGCTCGGTTATATGCATCATCTAGGTCATTCCGGCTTCTAGCATTACATCAACTGCCATTGCTACTTAGGACGGTTCTCGATGCTCCTTGCACCCAACATCCTCCTTGTTCCAACATAAATTTTACAAAGTTTCAACATCCATATTTCAATCACAAATTTTTATGATAAAATTTGTACGCAATAAAACAAATTAGAATCTTCTGCTAAATGTATATATGTTAGGATATTTATATTTAGGAAGTTATCTATACGATGTGCATCATAACCACACAGAAAGATAACTAATATTCTTTGATATAAAAGATATATGAGATATATTCAAATTGCCTGCCGCCACTCCCATTTCCTATAAAAAAGCCGATAATTTATAATATTTGAATAACTTCTTTATTCTACTATATTCCATGTAATTTAAAGGTGGTAAAAAGAGAAATTGGTGGAGGTGGAGGGTTGATTGATTGTAACTGTCGCGCTAAACAAGGGGCAAAGAGCCCCTGAGATTTACCCTCCAGGTAACATTACCCGCCACCACCACCACCATCCATGTTAGTCAAACGAGACAGCTTGAAAAGCAGGGAATGGCAGGTCGATGAAAGTGTAATTATCAATCCAGTGATTGCGCAAGAGGGTGGAGGGACAAGGCTGAATATCTTGTGGGCTGGAGAGGCTAAGGCTCCCGAGAGGGCCAGAGGGAGTTGTTCAGTTTCTCACAAGAGACATCCCGGCGCACCTTCGACGTATATCCGCCTTCTGGCAGGGGACCCAAGAAGCAGTGCGAGGGCAATACATTGCTAACAATAATTCTAAGCATTTTGAGGTTTCCCAACCTTCAGGAAAATATCTATTAAATATAGCTATAGGAAAAGGATACAGTCCGAATTCACAAAGGTGGGGTGCCCCGCTGGTGTCGTCGAAAATTCATAACATTTCAAGAGTTGAGATCAGTTCAACTTACCTCCCTGAGAGCTGGGCCCTTGCTCATCCTCCTCCTCTTCGAACCAGTGCTCCTTAAAATGCTTCACATGCTTGCTCATCAGTAAACCCAAGACCATCAATTAGCCACGGATCGAGATCCTTGACGCTTGGCCGCTCCTCAGGCCGCTAGCAAAGGATCCTACGAAGGAAGTGCAGGAACCCCCTCTTATCTTTATCTTCTCCTTGAATATTTGGCGGCTAGTTTCTCGAGGTTGATGTCCGGCATGGGGACGATATTTTTCCAGCTGCCAAGTGTAGTAGATGGCTGTATGGGTGTGTTTGATTAGGCCTCTCTTTTTTATACCCCTTCCTTTATTCTTTTAAGATGTACATGTACATGTACTTACCACTTTTGTCCCAGAATATTGGACACACTCTGCTCCGGTGCATAAGCCCAGGTGGTGGCGGGCCTGCATGGCTGTACGGCCCCTAGTTCTGCAATAAACTGCCTATCATGGTGTTTATTGGTTTCGGGGTCCCGGCCACTAATTAGAGTATTTGCAGCAACAAAATGCCAGGTCTAAAAGAATGATAGAAAAGTTAGTTCAAAATGTAACTGATGGACAATATTATTTCTCTTTAGAGACACATACCACCATATCAAAACTCCAGATATCTGTATACTGGATGATCACATTCACCATCCTCAAATTCCTTGTAAAAGAATGGATTGCTCACAGGGAGGAGCAAATTTTTTGAATAGGGATCTTAAAAATTCATCTACTAGAACAGCCCCATTTTGTATATTAAAAGGCTATTTATGATCTTCCTCCTGTATGTATTATCCCCGCCTGCGTGTGAAGAAAGTCCAAAGCAAAAAGTAGCTGCCGAAGAAACGGGTTCACATTCTCAATGGTCAGAGAATTATGTTTTAAATATGAAAGAGGTGGTCCATGGTAATTCCCAGGACCTGCAGCACAACGCATGTGTGTTCCACATGGGGCACTTGCATCTCAAAGAATGAAAAGAATTTCTGAATATGCTCATGTCCAGAGTGTTTGTATTTGCAGCAATAGTGTTTGTGCATTTGTACATAGCAACCTCATTGCCTCAAGTGTATGCTGTTAGAGCTCATCCAACAAAATAAGTTAAATATAAGAGGTTCTTACATTAAGTCACAAGCGAGCCACACTGTAGAAGTAACAGCAATACCTCAACTTGCCAACAATTTGATATCTGTTGTTGAAACCTGCCCTATGTCATGCACTGGCTCAGGGAGTTCATTTCAGACAGGGAAAAGTCTTGTACAGTTGCTGGCCTCATGAATGGAAGTGGTGATTGATTCAATTGTTTGCAGTGAAGTCTTGAATAGGTAGATGTCTTTTGTTCAGAATTGCACATTGGAAGTGTCATGGACATCCAAATTGAACACAAACTCCCATGACCAATATGAGACTACTGCACTTTACGATATGACACACCTTGCATGAAGCTCCAAGGAGAGATTGTCAGATTCAGAAATGGAACATTTGATGGAGGTGATCAACACTCAGCGTTTGGCGGCAAACCGGTCCACCACCGGGCGCTAGGCATCTCCACTCCATCTTAATTTTAGAGTCATTTTTCTTCCAAATTGTCAGTTGGTTGACTTCCACCTTCGGTCATCAACTGGTCGAATCCGGGCGGGAGAACAGGGCGCCGAAAATTGTCTGGTGGCCAGGAGATATGGGGTTTTTAAGGTTTTTTTTTTGGTGCTTGAGCTTTGGCTATCAGGAACCCCTCACAGAAAGAAGCACAACAAAACTTCCAGTCCTTCAAAAGCACGACTGGCAGGTGATTTAAAATCTTGTTTGTGACATGACTGCTAAATTGTCTCTTGCTTATCTATATGTGCGGTCCGCCTCCAGAAGCCGACCTTGTCTGTCTTTACGTTCTGCCGTACTGCACTATCCGCAACGATTTAATAGAACTCAGAGAATGACGTTCTCGCAACTCATGTCTCCCCTCGCATTTCCAAGCTCCGGATTTGACTTGGCCGATGCCTCTGAAAATATTGAGGAAGAGACCCTTCCGACGTATAAGGCAGAGAAGTATTACCCAGCTCGAATAGGTGAAATTTTCAACAACAGGTATCAAATTGTTGGGAAACTAGGATACGGAGTGACATCAACTGTATGGCTCTGTCGTGATCTACAGTGCGTACATTTATTTATCAGTTTGTTGCAGTCCAGAATAAGTCTAATAAATATGCTAACTTCACTCTCGCTAACTAGTGAGCCTCGACATGTAGTACTAAAGCTTTGTGTTTCCTCCTCAAAGCCGAACCATGAGATTAGAATCTACAGTCATCTCAATCCCATTCAATCTCAATCTAGCCATCCTGGCAAAAATCTCTTTCGACAACTATACGACTCATTCGAAGTGATTGGTCCAGATGGCACTCACATGTGCCTTGTTCAACAACCATTGGGATTGAGTTTGGAACAGATGCTCGACCTTCGGCCTACTGGGACTCTGACTATACAACTTTTAAAACCTCCATTACGACAAATCCTGGGGGGGCTTGACTTCCTACATTCAGCCAATATTGTGCATACAGATCTCCAATCCAGAAACATGCTCCTTGGGATTGACAATCCTAATGTGTTCTCAGTATTCGAAGAGGCTGAGTTGAAACACCCCGCGCCGAGAAAGGTCCTCAGTGATCGCGTCATTTACAAGAGCCGGCGGATTCCCCGCACACGGTGCCTTCCTATTATAACAGATTTTGGCGAGGCCAGGTTCGGTGATGAAGATCACAGAGGACAAGATATTATGCCAGATGTCTACAGGGCACCGGAGGTTATTCTCAAGATGAATTGGAACAATAAAGTTGATATTTGGAGCATTGCTATGGTGGTCAGTGACAATTAATTACCCTTTGTTATATTTCGACGGGTTTAGTTGACGTGTCCTCAATTACTATTTGGTTAGTTTTGGGACCTCGTAGCTGGGTGTACCCTCTTCCAAGCCAGGAATGACCAGCGACTTCTGGACGATACACTCCACCTTGCAGAGATGGTTGCTATCATGGGACCTCCTCCCAGGGAGTTTCTGGAACGAAGTGAGATGAGTTCTATATGGTGGGATAAGAACGGTATGTGAATACATGTTCAAATCTACGGAGTGTCAGACCTCGTATTTTCTGACAAAACATTCAAGGTCAATGGAGAGGTTTCGCACCCATCCCTGACATTTCCCTTGAAAGGCTTGCAACCGATCTCGAGGGAGATAACAAAAGGGGATTTCTGGAGTTTCTTCAAAGGATTCTACGCTGGATGCCTGAGGAAAGGCCGACTGCGGAAGAGCTCATATTTGACCCCTGGTTGATGGAAGGGCTTAATTTAAGGAAAACCACCTAGCGCAAGCAAAAAACTCTCCTTTCGGGCAGAAGTCGGATCTCGTCCTCGAAAATGAGAAAACCCGATATCTCAGCCGTTCAATCAACGATCAGATGATAATGATGATGATGCAAGTAACACGAATTCTAGCAATCGATCCTGGCTTTATCCTCGTGGCGGGGCCAATGAGTAGTAACGGAAGCTAGTTTTGAAAATTGTAATGCACACTCAATTTACAACAAAACAAAACATTAGGGACAATGGAAACAAAAGGAAAGCACGTCGTTACGAACTCGGTTACCTCAGTGCCAAACTCAGCATTTGTGAGTACAAACCCATGTCGCGCGCCGTGCTGATCCATATAGAAATTCACTTGGCCAAAGCCTACTTATATTGTCGTCGATCAGCCAAGTTTTGGGAACCGGTCATTGGGGAAAACCGCAGACCCTCCACCATCCAAGGCGACAGTTGAAAGCCGTTGAATCGGGAGTTCTTGGGCCGGTTTCTCGAATCCCGCATAGAGGCCACACCTCACATGAGGCAGAACAAAGTCTGCAAAATGCAGGTGGAATTGGGGCTCATCCCTTATGGCAGTCAGCAGAGACATAGAAGGATTGGGGTGAATGGGTTTCGCATTAAGTGCTGGCCCATAGCGCTGGAGGCTGCAAGGGAACTCTTTATTGACATCGATGATGGAAAATTGCATTGAAAAATTTAGATTTCGGTTGATGATAGACATAAAACAGGATATATAGCATGACTGTTAATTGACGGAGCTGCAATTCTCACTCTTTTGAAACAGTCCATTGATACACAGTTTTGAAATGGATGGTACATAATCTGGACCATACTATAAATAGAAGACAGTGTTTCATTCATCTTGTCAGGCAGGCACAGTGATGATGGGCGTCTGGAAACCACTATATTGATGGTCATAGCCAAGTCAATATATACTCTATATACAAATATGTAAATTGATGGCAGAAGACCTCGATACACATGTATTTAGAGATCTCAGGCTCCACGCACTCATTACATATTTTTGTGGTATTGAGTAGATTGAACATGGTAATGGTAACTACTAGTAGATATGGTTTCCGTACTCGTATATTTGACTCCCGGAAACCAGGCATCGGATAGATTCTCTAACCTAATCTCAAGAACGAGCGAATTATATAGGCTTCCATCTTACCCATTGTATGTCACCTGTGATCCGAAAGTGTATCTGACAGTTTCTATTTATCTCTCTGTTTAGATAGCTAGCAATAATTTAGAACAAATGCTGAACGATTGATTCATTTCCACTTCCCTGGACTCAAACTGTAAGGACCATGTGTAGAATAAGCGTTGACAGTCTAAACAAGAAAACAAATCGGAAAGTAATGTGGATGGGCTATAGCCGTTAAGATCCATACTTTGCAAAGGTTTTTTGTCGGCGGGCAACCATAGTCCACCAAATCTGTCACCAAACATCAAGGTATTTGATAATTGGCTGGATCCTATATAGAAAGCTAGAAGAGTATATCGTGTTTTATATGTACTAGTAGTATAGATAAAATAATTAGCAATAAAGCAGTAGATTCATGGCTACTAGTATAGAAAGCCAGGAAAAGCTTCTGGTTGTGGAAAAACGACCAGACTTCGTACTCGAAAGGGTAAACTTCTTCCATTCCCTCACTGACGCCCGTTTTTGTGAAAGTTTCCTCCTATTTCCAATATAGACGGATGTTGTCCGCGAAAATAATCACCGTGCAGTAGTAAAACACACAACATACAGCGTAGGATTTGACAGCATCCAGCAGGCCCACCACAAATCCCCACACTTTGTGCTAGCTCATGTTAAATTGCATTCCTGGATTTGTTCCTGCTTCATGAACAAAAAAAGCCAAAGATGGTCATGAACTACCAGTAACTTCGACATACTTCACCACTTTTCTCGGTCACTTTGTACCACCACGCTAGTTTAGATAGTGCCTGCACATGTTTGTCTTGTTTGTCTTGCAGAGGTGCTCTCTCATACTAAATTAGCGTGGTGGAACAAAGCGACCGAGAAAGTGGTGGACCTGCACGTTAGTTAGGTGTGTCAATACTACATCGACTCCACTCCCACCCCGCATTATCAAAGATTTTCTTGCGAACAAAAGAGGCACACCAATGGATACAGTGGAGCAGGTAATACCCAGGAATTCAGGCCCAAGCATCCTCCATTCAATGACCACAGTCTGAATGTGTGCCAGAGCCGAAGAACTCTGTGAAAACTATTTTAAATGAACAGATCTGAGAGGCAGGAGCTAGCCATGGATGACAATGGCAGCATCCAGGGTTGACGCGGCGATGGGGACTTCTGATCAAGCTTTCCTTCCTAAGAATGGGAAATTATTTATATACTTGCTCCTGCTCGGCATCTATCTGAAAGATGTAGATGGGATAAAGAAGACAAGTCTGTTTCTTGCAAAGCAAAACAAAAATGAAGCTCTCTCTTCCACTGTGCGGAGTACTGATGCTCGCCCCTCTGACAATGGGTGCAGATAGATCGTATCCGCCTCCCCATCCACCCTTTGACGTGTTGCAATCCTGCGCTCCGAACTTCATATGTTTCACAGCACAAGAGTGTAGGTTCAGGCGCGAATGCCAAATTTATACGGCTGATTGGACACGCATTTTCTGCAGAACAACCAGGTGGCCCTATTCTTGCTATGTAATGCTGCCTGGCGCAGAAGAGGAATCTCCAGTCAGTTAAGAAAAGAAAATGGCCTTGATTGCTAGGTAAGTAGTTCGAATTTTGATAGAGGATTTGACGAGCTAATACATCCCCTATACAGGGGTTTTATTAAAAACAATAACTTGAAATCGATAGAGAATTGAGTGCTGGAACCGACTCTTCTCATTTTTTTGTTTTCAGTTGTTTTCAGTAGCCCGGCTGGTCTTCCCTCTTGTATTCAATTGATGTATTATTTATTAAATGTAATGTGCAGTGCTCTTTTTCTGCAAGAATAAGATGATGTGCGATTGGTTATACAGGTGGTTTGCAAGCAGTAAAGTGGAGAAGGCATAAACAAGGAGTCAAAAGATCACAATAGCATTATTATCGATGGTCTTCCCAAGGTCTAGAAATAAAGGAGTAGCATGGAGGTGTGGAGAAAAAAAACCTTGGTAGCCATTAAGGCCCCATAACTTCTTCTGTGAGAACTGGATTTATTTGATCTCTGGTGTTGATATTTCCATTTATATTTCTATTGTGTGCAAGGACTTATTTTCCACATGTGCTCGTGAAGGTACACTCGCTCCGCATGGCTCTACGGGCAACTGAACAGGGTTCGGATATTCACCGAGACTAGAATGAGCTTTGAGCTCTGTCGAAGCTCAAACTGGGAGTCTGATGATCCCCACACGATCTGAAACACACTCCCTCTCAACATCAATACGCTCACACCATCTCTCTTTATCTTAAGAAGTGTAGAATTGAAAATGAGATCAGAAATTGGATTAGATTAAAGGGTTAGTTCAAGGTTAGAGTTTGAGAACAATTTTTTAAGCTTAATTCAACTTTGGCCCACTGTCATGGTTGGGAGTTTGAATGGACGAAATCCACAAATAGGAAATAAATATATGAACAGAAGACGTACGCCCAGCCATATTAGATAAGATTTTTCCTGCCGAAAATTTGAATGAACCCTATTTAGCTTTTTTTTTTTTAACTCTCTGGGCTATTCGAGTGTTTCCCCTACCATTCGTTTTTGACGGAGCGAAGTGGTGGGTTGTACAGCACATGTATATACAATCACAAACTGTAGTTTCAAACAGTACTTCCGTTTCTGTAGTCTGTGCCATGAAACACCGGTTTCTTTATATTTTCGTTAGACTATCAGGGCGATGATTGGACGCGACCGACAGCTCTACAGGAGACTACAAGTGGCCAGTTGAACTGTATCCTACAGAGAGCATGAATAATAAGATGTACGTTGAAAGTTGCCGCTGACTGGAACGCGTCTAATAAGCGCTGAAGCGCCATCCATTGAAGAAGGTCGACCTTTTTAGGTTTCTATAGAACTATGTCGGCTGGCTTTGCCATCAACCTTTCCCTAGTGGTGTAGTGGCTAACATCGCTGTCTTTCACACAGCAGCCCAGGGTTCGATTCCCTGCTAGGGAGATGATTTTTTGATGCTTTTTCCCTCATTTAATTCGATTCTAATTTCTGCCTTTTTAAACACCCATCTTCTATTATTATTATTATTCTCTGCTCTCCCAGACCCTCCTTAAATTGCTTTCATTAGCTATTGTTTTTTAATTTTTTTTTAAATTTTTTTTTAATATTGGTGTCAGTCATGTTTCAACTTGGACTGCATTCTGAACCCACAGCGAGACTACTTACTACACTACCTCTTTCATTTGCGCAGCGTATACATTCTATATTTAATTCGAGTTGATCCAAAAAAAAAGGAAAAAAAAAGAGAACAAGAGCCGGAAACAGCGCATTATGTAAATTACGGAACTCCCTTTATGGCTTCAAAACGATAAACGCGAATGTAGATGACATGGGAGCTTCATAGAATCATAGATGATTGAAATGTGTTCTCCGGCTACTAAAAACTAAAAACCAGCTCAAAGCTACAAAAGCACCATCATCACTTAAAAATAGCAAGTTGGGGATGCAAGGGAAAAAAAACAAAAGATTCAAGCTGTCAATTAATTTTAGTGGTGAATCAACAACTCTGTTAGTGTTTTTCCAAGACGTCTAAATTATTACGTCATATTGCAGCTCTTCTCTTCTATACGCGCATTTAGAAATAATTCCCTTCCGAATACGCAGCAAGGCGGACCTCAGGCTTCTCCAAAAACTGCCGGGGGCCCCAATGGGCTATAAAGTGTCCCAGCTTTCCGTAAAATATTGCTTAATCGAAAAAAGTACATTTCCTCTTGTCATTGATAGTGCACTGCTTCTTGAATGTAGGTTTGTGATCGCTTGTTCTGTTTAGTTTTTATTAATGTTCGTTGCATAATATCTTACACAAGAATTTTTTTTTTTAACTCCCTAAACAAACACCCCCACACGAGGTGACTTGATTCTTTAAGAAACTTCACAGCCGTGATAATATCATGGAGGCTCCCTCAGAAATTCCACAGCCCTCCCAGGATCCACAAGGGATTGCAGAGGAGTGCCTTACTCTCGACGTCGACTTTTCATGGAAACATTTGAAAACCCTCATCTCCAGTAAAGGCAGCCAGCAAGCGACATCCCTCTACTCAGTTCATTACAAAGCCACCAAACCACATCTTACCTTCAAGTCCGCCGCAGACGATACCACGACTTTTGCTACGGGAAACCTGCATTCCTTCTCTATCGACGCTGACTGTGAGATCCGTGGTCGCCCCATCACACTTAAGGCGCTCAAGCGTTTCAAGACAGAATATATGTACCACTCATACGCCTTCGCCAGTAGCAGCAACGATGACGACGATGGGAGTGCCAGGGCTGTGCGCATGACCTGGACCAGTTCATGTGGTCTCAAAACCTGGGATTTTATCTGCCTTGACGAGCAGAAGATGCCCGTTGCGAAGTTTTCTGCAAATATCTGGGGCCTGAAGAAAGTTGGTTACATCACTTTCATGGGATCCAATACACCCGGTGCCCACGCTGCTGGCGGCAACGTCAGCGACGCAGTGAGAGAGGAGATTGTTGTTACAGGGCTGACGCTGTTTTATTGCATGGTGCTCCGGACCAACAGTGTCCTTTCGCTCTTTGGTGCCATATTCTCGAGGCCTGGTCATGCTGCGAGAAAGGAAACGGGGAAGGAGAAGCCGATGGCGGTTGATTCGGAGCAGCGGCGAAGTTAATAGTATATGTAACAAGTATCGTTCAGTCGATCCGCTCTCGCTACTCGAATGCTTTATGGGTGCGGGTGTGCGTGTAGGTTTCGAGGGTGGAACGAGGTCATGTTAGCGATAGCTCCCGACCTGGAGCCGGGGCAGGCTGTCTCATCAACTTGGCTCATATCGGCAGCGAAGTCTGTTCGGAAGCCAGTACGCCTTGTCGCAAGCGATGTGTCGTAGTAGGTGTTTGGTCCAAACGGAGAATTTATGTGATAAATTCGCAAACGAAAAAAATGCAATAGACTGCCTTTGTGTTTCTGTTTGTAGCGAATGGCATCAAGATAGTATGTTTATTTACACCCGTGTCGTTGATTCCTCAGATTAATCCACAATATGGCGTATGTCGTATAGTCGTCAAATAACTTGCTTCGAGCCAATTGAATTGAATTGAATTGAATTGAATACGAGTACCAGAAAATTAGTCCACCAAATTTCGCATCCCAGCGGAAACAACAATTTTCATGGTTATTTTCGCGGGAGTAGTCTATGTTTGAGACACACAACGTCCTGAGAGCTTGCCAGACTTCATATATCGATTCACCGTCGTTTTGAATCCAAGTTTCGACTTGAGCATTCATTTCCGTGGCGCTTGTCAAGCACGTTCTTCAAGCTGTGCCTCGAGTAATTGGAGTTGACTCACATTCTTGATAGAAAGAGTGGATTTGAGCTATCTTGTTCTGAATCCATTCGACCTGGCCTTCGCGCAAGATAAACCCTTGGGTGGCAATGAAAGTAAGGTACGGCAAGAGCGTCCACGTTCTTGTCGCCATCCTCAGTCGAAACTGAAGAACACGGTCTGGAGAATGAAGAGATACGGCCGAATGTAGCGAAGTCTCGTAATTGTCCAACTGATAGAGCTGAAGAGTGGCGCAAATGCCATCAGCAAGATCCTGAATAATCGCTCTTGATCGCTCAAGTTGTACATGTAGCTCTGGTTGGTCAAGTTGAGATACACAACCTGAAATCACGTACTGTGCCATCAGCCGTGATGTGCGGTAACGATTCAGTATATGGATAAAGGACTCCTTTTTAGTAAGGGCATCTGGGCCCTCGCCCAAAAATATCGGTTCGCCGCTGTTGGGAGACGAGCTTGCCTTGCCCGGGAAGCATATATCGGATAATGATATAAGCCAGCTCTGGATATCGCTGTCGACTGCGATTGCTTGTTGTAGGAGCTGGAGAAATATATCACTTTTAGTGGTGGAAAGGCGAAGTCTATTAAATCGGTTCTGTAAAGCCAGTGCCCTAGCACCTAGGAAGACCAACCGAGTCAAGGGATGGTAGTCTGAAGGAAGCAGCGACTCCTCATTCACAATGTCGGCCGCTCGCTCCCCATTCCATACGGACATTGCCATCTATTTCCCGTTAGATATGACACCAGGTGCTTCGAATTGAAGGCGCTGAGGTTGACTTACAAGCTCAAGCCGAGCTGAATTCGTTAAATCGATAGATAGCCTATTCATAGCTCTCTTCTGGCTACGGAGTCGTACTAACGCTGCAGCACCACGTGAATGTATTGAAACCACCTGTTTTGATTGCTTAACAGCTTGTAGAACCTAAATGAATCTGTATGAGTAGGTGGATCTAAAACGGTCATATTTTGGCTTGATGCTGGTAAAATGCCTCAAATCAGGCGGTAGCCGGAGACACATACATCGTATATCCTCAACAGTAATATACCCATAAGTGTTTCGTCATTCTCTCTTGTTGCCTCATTTTCAAGAGCCCTCCTCACTGCCGAGATGGCTTTGTAGAAGTACATGTCCCCTAGCCGCTTCTCTCTTGTTAAGCCACATAGTGAGCCGACAGCGGAACACGCAACAGAAAGGGTGGAAAGATAAATGACAGAGTCTGGACTTGAATTTCGAAATGCAGAAGGGAAGAAATCCAGGTATGGTGTCCGCACACGAGCATCATCCGGGCTGTGGAAAATGGAGAAGAAAAATTGAACGGCAAGCTGTTCAGCCGGGAAACTTAGATTGTTGGGAATAGGCTGAAGTTTGTTCGGTAAGTTAAATTGCTTGATCACGGCTCTGTTTGACTGTGTTTGAACTGTGTTTGTGAAGGAGGTCTGATCCTTAACCTTCATGTTGAGTGGATAGCCGGGGCATTTCCACCCGCTCCTGATGCACCGGTGGCATTGAGGAGTACTTTCATCGCACTAACGCCTTGTTCATAAGCGTTCCTTCCACGAGTTCCAATGGAAAATCAGTCTCTCTATGCATACCTTGATACGGCGTTTCTTACAATTGCTGCAACCACGGCGGCTCTTTTTGCAAGGGGCCATCATTATTCTCGAGTGGCTGGCCACAACCACCAGTAGCGTGGTATATTCCGCTCTTGCTATCACTATGCTTGGCGTGCTTCGAGCAGCCACAACGTCAGCGAGATGTTGATTCGAGGAGTTAAACGCAGCACAGCGCTTGGTGTGAGGACATAGCAGTTCCCCGAGCCCGCCAGTTTCCTTTGATATTTATTCTGTCTCTCCGCCCCCGGTTTCGCCTTTCATTCCGCAACCCCCACATTCACAACGTCCAGCTCACCAATCAACTTAGGGAGAGCCCAACTTTAAGCACACCTTGGCGTCTAAGCTCTTTACGGGATGTGGTGCGATCTAACCAATCACTGCGCGGCGCATTTTGGACCATTTTGGGCAGTCAACTTTTCTGAATCCTGCCTGTCCGCGATGCGTGAAATGTTATACAATAAACGAGATAATCTCGAGCATAAGGTTATGTTATGCTGGGTCGATGGGCGCGCATTGCAAGGGCCCCTTGAAAGTGGTCTTTTAGTATGCCAATGGAGATCGGGTGTGTTGCCGACTATTCCCATTTCGCATCAAGTATAAATTTGTCGATAACTCACTACTGAGCACCGTTCGCTGGGAGACTTAATCGCCATGTACGCACATTCATTTCTCGAATTGACAGCTCACTGCTGTTCAATTTCGCGAAGATATGTCGGCGACAGCCAGGGCCATTTGTAAGGAGATATCTCCACAATGCCCCGTCGAATTCACCCCGCTAGGGTACTTCCCGAATTTAGGTGCAAATATCTTTTTCTGCTGCTGTTTCGGGGTTTTTTTCTTTGTCGCCTTTGTGGTGGGCGTGTGGAAAAAGACTTGGACGTTCACATTTGCCGTTACAGGAGCGTGCGTGCTGGAATGCGTCGGTGTGTTTGGCCCCTTTGAGTCATTCCAAAAACACCCATTCTAACACCACGTTTACTCGATAGGGTATGCTGGGAGGATTCTGATATACACGAATCCGTGGGGGACGGGGTTCACCCTTCAAATCGTCACCATCATCCTCGGGCCGACCTTCCTCTGCGCTGCTGTTTACCTGACTCTGAAGCATGCTGCTCTCGCCGTGGGCCCTGGGATATCCCGCATAAAGCCCTACCTATACACGTGGATCTTTATCCCGTGTGATATAAGCTGTCTTGTCTTGCAAGGAATTGGTGGCGGTGTGGCAGCGAGTGGCGACCAGAAGAAAGATAAAAGCCTGTTGGACAATGGTAATCGCATAATCATGGCAGGCATCGGCCTTCAGGTTGGCGTACTCTCGCTTTTCGGGATAGTGGCCCTGGACTACTATTGGCGCGTATCCCGTTATCATCGCACATCAGTTCCCACCGATGGGGAACGAGAGGCATGGAGGGATGGGAAATTCCGCACTTTTGCCGGCGCGGTGTCAATAGCGTATCTAACCATCTACGCTAGATGCGTATACCGGTGAGTAAAGATGCCTAAATCGCCATTTCTCGGTTGCTAGAGCCGCTGACTGTGAATAGCATTGCAGAGATGGCTGGAGGCTGGGGGTAAGTCCTCGCAAAAGACGATGGAGAAAAAACCTATACATGTACCATACTGATAAAGCTCCAGAAACCCCATTATGCGGCATGAGCCCTCATTCATTGTTATGGAATCAGTGTATGTACATTGCCTTCACTCTTCTTTTGCCGAAGTATCTTCCGTGATTGAATGGCCAAATGGGGGCATTGGAAAGGCTGCTAAGTCCTCACATTTGCCATAGGATGATCCTAATCGCGGCCGCCTTTCTTTCCTGCTTCCCTGCAGGTATTTTGTTCCCGCGGATGGGCAAGCAATCATGCACCCCCAAAACTTAGCAGCCCGTTTGAAACATAATTCGGCATGGGAATAAGGGGAGGTAGACAATATCGATGGGGGATTTTTGTTGTAACTCTGAATTATATATAGAAACAAACTTTTGTCACTCGACTTGTTGAAGTGTGTGAGACCCCAACGCGTTTGTTTGTTGGTGGTTCCCAAGGGGACGGGGGGAGGAGTTGTGTGGGGATCATACAACTATTGTTTTTTATGATAAGCGACACGATATGTATATATGATAATGCTGCGAAGAGTAGAGGATATTAAGATTTTCTTTCTCTTCACGACCAACCAATAAAACAACAATAATTCAGCATTCGGATCTCAATAGGTACGTACATTACACTTAACTCCATGGCGGTACAAAAGGCAAGGAAAGGGGGAATCAAATAAAGGAAGATTGACAAAAGCTTCAAAAAAAAAAAAATTAGAAAACCCAAGACGATAAATTAAAAGAAAAGGATGGTCCTGAGGGGAAATGAAAATGCTACTAAGATTTTGAGGAGGGAAGAAAGGAATTAGAACGTAATATATGTGTGTGTGAGGGGGGCATGGGGAGGGATAAAAGAGACATGATAATAAAACGACAAGGAAAGAGGAGACAAAAAAAGAATAAAAGAAAGGGCATACATAAGACAGAACTAGGAACAGATTATGAATCAAAAGTATGGGAATCTTCAACATGGGGCGCAAGGCTGAGGTTGATATTAGTCGGAGGTTGGATACATGGAGAGCATAAACAGAATATCTCAAAAACATCCCATCTTACATTGCATCACGAGCAGATAGGTCTTTGAGAGGAAGGGTGAGCGGATGATTGCGTGGGCTTCGAAGGACAAGAAAGGGGACTAAGAAACGAGACTCAAAAATTGGGGTATAGGGATGAAAAAATGAAACTGGGGAAAACTCAATACTATGAGAAGAGTGGTTAGCAAAAAAGGGGGGAAAGAAAGAAGAAATACCAAACGAGTTTCACACAAAAATCAATCCACTTCCTTGTCTTTGCTTATCGGGCTTTTCCATCTACTCCTTTTTTCAAAGGGCTAAAGTGGATAGGGGATGAGAAACGGAAAGTCATGCATGAAAGGGGAAAAGCGGCAACAAAGAGAAAATGATTCCACGATCAAAAATGTTAAAAACAAGATTGATCCAAAGGGCCTTCGGAGCAAACGAACAAAGTAATTAGATAAATTGATAAGTGGGTCAGCCGCTGCAGAGGGGGAGGAAGCCTGTGAGTGTGTAACAGCCAACCAAACAAAAGAAATCAGTGTTTGTTAGCGGTAACTGTCGCCCTTCGGCCCCCCTCCCTCCTCCCTTGGACAACAGTTGTCCAATCCTCCCACTCCTTCGCAACTTCCATCAACACATTCCCCATCACAAGCGCTGAGGCCATAAGCCCATGGCCCTCCCCTTCGAGAACCCGCAATTCACACCGCCGCATCGTCTTACCCAGCCATCGAACATTATCAACAGGAACCCGCGTGTCCCTCGTGCCGTGGTGGATGACTACAGCGCGGTTGATATCGACATAGCGGAATCCTATGGTTTGGCGCCGTTCGAGGCAGACAAGCAGATCGACGGCTGGGTTGGCATTGGTCGTGGCTAGTTCCCAGATAGCGTGGGTGAGGCGGTTGTCGTAATCTGACTGGCGCTCCTTGTCGATGGCTGCGGCTGCGGCGATGATGGCGGACTCCGCTTTCGGATCGGATGGGTTTGCGGTCACGCGGGAGACGATTTCTTGGGAATCCCTTTTGGTTGGGTCTCGAGGCAGGGATAAGGAATTCTGGCGTTGCTGCGAGATAAAGTTGTTGAACCCGGCATCACCGGTGCCGGTTATAGTTGTGCTGCGTCGTTTGGTCCGTCTTGAATTCTTGGGGAGGCTGCTGGTAATGCTGGCACTGGTTGTTGTCATGAAACTGGAATTGGCGACTTTGAGGAAAGGGGTGGGTAAAGCACGGAGGATTCTCTGGGAATATGGAACAGCGCCGGCTGGAAGTGGTTCTTTGTGCGAACCCATGCTGGTCATTTGAGATGGCGGTATCCATGGTGCAAGTAGATGTATTCGGCCTCGGATATGTTGCGGCATTCGCAATGCGGTTGCGAGGGCATATATCGCCCCAGCGGAATGGGCCATCATGGAGAATTTTGTGATTTTAAGGAAATTGCAAATAATGGCGACGTCATCTATCGGTGAATTAGCATCAACATCCTCCGAAAACTAGAGTGTGTAAAACGTGGGAAGTGCATAGAATCATACCTGGCCAACTAAGAGGCGTCCCTGAGCCATCAACACAGGGCTCACTCTCCCCAACACCGGGTCGATCTGGCGTGATCAATCGTAATTTGAGCGTCCGAGCAAGCTCATCGTAAAAGGCAGTTAAATATCTCGTTAAGCCCATGCCCACACAGCAGAATACCACATAACCTTTCGGATCACCAACTTCTGAGAACGCAATTATTCGTCCCGTATGTGGATGTCTGACCTTCTGCGTAAGTCTCGGGGAGGATAGATAGTCGTGAACTGCATCATCGATAGAATCCGAACTGGACGGTCGTTCTTCCTGTCCTAAGGATAGCCGAGGACCAGGTGATATTGCGCCTGACCTTGTCCGTCGGTGATTTGATTCTGAAGGATGATTGTTCTGCGTTGACTTTCGCCTTGGGTCAATACGATCGGGCTTTTCGAAGGACTGTTTACTTGATGCGGGTTGGATATTCGTAGTTTTCAACGAGAGTGGTCCGCTATTGCGCTTTTTTGTTGTCTGTGATTTGCGGGTTAGAATGGCAGGCGAGGGCGCGCTTTCGTGTTGCTCTGCTTGCATTTCATCGACTTCATTCAGCGGCTGGTCGGATACGGTGTGAACAGATTGTCGGACTAAAATTGTTTCTTTCGTGACGGCCGTGTGCTGGGCTGCCGGCTGTTTAGGGCTCGGCTGCGGTGTCCGGGATTGCGAATTGGCATCCGGTGTTCCGTCTGTCTGCAATTCGTCTTTGATCCTCTTCTGCTGCTCTTTGAGTTCTTGTATTCGTTTCGAAACTTGATCGTCTTCCGCATTTACCTCAGCAATATCACGATCGATAGTAAAATCTCGATTCGAATACACGCTGTGGCGAGCTGAGCGCCGTTTTTTATTAGAACTCCCATTGTAGCTGTGACGCAAGGAGGATTCACGAGTGGGAATGACTCTTCCGCTTCCAATCCCACCAGGGCTGCCATTGCCTGTGTCAGGGATGGACCTTTGTGTACCAAGACTCGGAGCAGACTCGCGACGATTATCTTCATTTAATTGCTTTTCGAGTAGCTGGAAAACGCCGTTATTCAAACTCACTTCTTCCGCCAAATCAGCCATTGAGGGCGTCGAGCGCAAGCTCAGCCGGCTACGAGAATTGTTTAACTTTCCATCTCCTCCCTTTTGAAATCGATCACTATCTTTATCCTTGGCAAATTCCCTCGAACACCTCTGCAGGAGACTGAGTTGGTGCTTCAAACTTTTGCGACCGCCACTGCTCGAAGATGCGATGCTTGCGGTAGACATTCGAGGGCCAGGTTCCAAGCTGGGCACGCCAAAACCCAGTCCATCATCCGGACCGGCAATCGAGGAAGCCATTGAGGCTCTAGAGCCTGTCCGCAGCGGGGAGGAATCGCCAGGAGCGCTGCGTGGGGAGCAGGGGGATCGCGGTGAACGAGGGGATGCAGGAGCTTTTGCCATTCGCACCACAGGGGAGATCGCAGCATCGTCTGGATGTAAAAAGGACTTTTCCTCCTCATCGACTACAGTCCTGTAGGCACCATAATCCATTCCAAACCCTGGGCTCGTAGTCAGGTTTGCATCCCAGCCATCGCGAGAGAACTCCGTCTGCCGGAAGCCAGGCGACGAAGGAGCGGTGCGCGAGCCAATTTCGGGGAAATTATCGAAGTGAGACCGGGCAGGAGTGGAAATAGCGGAGAGGGACGAGATCAGGGACGAGATGACCTCGGGAGAGGCAGGTGGAATGTGCCTGTGGGCTGTGGCGTTGGCAGCCCGGACGGGCATGCTTTTCCGGCGGTGGGCAAGGTCTGGTTGGGGTTCAGATCGATGCGGAGAACCCATTGCATCCTGCATGGCTGCAGGATGTGCATAAAGGCTGCGAACAACAGCAGGTTACAGAACGTGTGTGTCTGTGAATCGCAGTCACGAATCGCAGAACTCGAGCGAGTTTGGGATGCGATCACTTTCTTCAACAGACGCTAGCATGCCTAGTTCGGATTTGATGGGTTTTCCCCCCTTTTGCCCTGGACCCGCCCGCAGTGGGCACTAAGATAGATAATAGAGGTGGCCGAAGAACCACAAACGTAGGCAATTAAGGACAATCGATATTTCCACCGTTCGTAGAAGGTCGTCGCAATGGATCGTGGGAGTTCGTGCTGTGCAGCAGGATGGTCTGTTGGTCTGTACGGAATATGATTTCACGACGATAAGGAGAAATTAGAAAAGTGACAGAGGCTCTAAAAAAATCCAAAGGCTAAAGTGAAATGCGGATCCCGCGCTGATTTATTAGCTCCTTTTTCTTTTCTTTTTCCTGCGCTTCCTCGTGTTTCCCGCCGTCTTCCTTTTCTGGCCGGCCAGGTCAGTCAAATGAACCTGCTCATCGGGAGATGTCTCTGGGACTCCACCGTCGAATCGATATCCAGGGAGTTTCAGACTTGACCAAAAAAGCAAATCTGTGCCAGGGCTGAGTTCAGGAAGATACAACCCTAGCGTTGGGACTGTAGCCGCAGACCAGCGATGCGCAAGATGACTGGCAGCGGGGGAATTTGAGGGTCGTAGGTCTTGGAAAAAGCAACCACTGTGCAGTGCGCCGGAATCTGATGTTTGGACAAGGACGAGATTGAGGCGAAAGGGACAAGCAGAGGACGAGGGCAATGCGACGAGTTGATAGGAGGAGAGACGGGCAAACCTACGCCGCCAGCTAGGCTTGGATATCAGGATGCTATCCTCTGTATGGCGATGGGCTTCCCCTTTGGCCCCCACAGACGCTCAATAGTTATTTACCTCCTCCCAATTGCCACACGGTTTTCCCACACACTTCCCGGGACAGATCAACGGCGCTCTTTGATACAGCTAAAGAGTAAAGGGCATGCCGCACATCTAGCAAAACCTTGGTCGGCTAGTTTGCAGCTGCACTCTTCCCCACCATCGCTGCCAGGGTTAGACGGCGCGTTCTGCAAGATCCTGCAGTGGCAGGCCTTAAGTGCTATCGCAGTGCATGGAGAAACCTGCGTGTGATACATTTGTTTGCCGCATTCGGTTGGTGTGTATGCACCAATGCACCGTTAATCGTGTTGAGATCTTGGGCCATGGACCCTTGGATGGCTGTGACATCGATCCTTGGGCTCTTTGGGGCTTTTTAGTTTTGAACTCTTTTATTTATTTACTCCTGCCACGGTTCCGCGCAGGGAGTTATGAACCCCGTTAACTTCTACGACGTCGATGAGGTCTGCAAGCCTTGTACAGCCCATGCCATTGGACTTTTACTTACGCTCTATCCAGCTGACACCTCAGCGCCCGTCTCGCGAGATGTTGCGGCTTGTCACATCGAGAGTTTCAGATCCGGACAAAATCATCCGGCCACTCAAAAAAAAATCGGGCCCCTTGAAACCGACAATTGGCTTCTCCCGCTATTCCATTCGACCATAAAAAAAATCTGCAGCGGTTTCCTTTGGTGGTTTCCGGCGGGGTGAAACTTGGATATTCCTATCCGGATTATTGACTTTGTACTTCATCTCGAAACTTGCTGACTCCAAAAATCTATTAACTACTAGTCCCTCCATACCTCCATACCTCCATATGCCAGGCTTATGTTTTACATATTCATTATTGCGTAGTCAGTTAACTATATCGTTACGGACCACGCGAAGGCCCGGACTTCCCACTAAGGGCACACCTTCCAAACCACCCCAAGTTACTCTTGAGGAATACGTGGAATCTGATTTTGACACGGAGTGGTCTTGCAAAGTCCGGGGACAACAGAGGCAAGTCGCGTAGACTTTATATCCGCTTTATGAACTTTTTTCTGTATTATCCTTTGCATTCTCAGGAGCCTTAAATCCGTGACCTTGGATGTGGAATGGACTCTCTGGTGATAGAGTTCAAAATACGCACGACAATGACGATATAACTTGACTATGGAGTATTCTGTATGCACGGAGTAATGAAATCCATCGCCAATGTGAATATTTGATCGTATCGTAAATTAGTAGATAGAAATGCTCATAAACTCTAGAATACTAAAATATGCCATGCCAGTTTCTGCCGTGGAAGAAGGGCTCCGGCCGTGGGTTTAAGAGAGCCTCAAAACCTTGCCCAACTCAACGTCACAAGTTTTATCAGCCCGATACTGCTCAATCCTCACTCACGGTGTCCACTGCTACGGATTACGCCGCAGGAGCTTAGCCCACTTCTCCGACAAGCTTCACTGGGCAATGGCCTATCCATTTTAAGTGGTGACATCGGAAATACTGGAAATGCATTCGTTGGCCATCGCCCATCCTCCGCCATAAACCGCTCCCGCAGCTCGTCCAGAGCAATGGACGCTTACCCGCCTGACTACGTGGACCACAACCTCCCGCTCATTCTGCTCTCTGGCCTCGGATCTGATCCTGAAGCTAATTCTCAGGACGGGATCACACCAGATGATGGCGTTGAGTATCCTCACCTACGGGAAGGCGGCGTCGAGATATTTTCCGATTTCCCTCTCCTGACCGATTCGACGGCGGAGAGAGTACTGAATGCTCTCCTCAGCCAGGATGCAACGCACAGGCCTTGGAATGCTAGGGCCGGGGATGTTGGGTATAAGATTAAGAGGGTTGGGCGGGTAGGTCAGCGCTCCTCGGGCGATTCATATGCTGTCCATCCTATCCGAATGGGCAAACGTGTGCGACACTTAATTCTCGTGGACTTGATGCCTCCAGTTTGCTTTGCATGACCATGAATATCTTATGGGCGTACTGACTATTGTTATAGACTTATACTCTGCCTCCCCGTAAAGGTCCCGTTCTGCCCAGGTCGCCCCTATCTAGCAATGTTTCGGGTGCACCTAGCAATACCGCTGCTTCTCCCATCGTGCTTCACTCACCGATATCTCCCCTGACACCCAGTTCCCCAACATTTCCGGACGGGATCATGACCCCACAATGGGTGACGAAACACCAGGCATTGATCCCCTCAGCCTTCATCAATTTCTTCCCATTCACGACTGATACGAACATGGCCTCCCTTGGTGATAACCAATTGAAGATAGAAATTAACAGTTTACGGAAGAAATGGGCGGCATCCGGGTACAAGACACGGTTCATTGTTGCTTTGCTTTGTGACGATGGGCCATTACCAGAAGATGCAAATGATCGGATCGCCGGTATCAGGATGGCGACAAACCTTGATACGAAAAGTATTTTCGTTGTCCAACCCGAGCCATCACAGTTAGATATCAGCGAATTTATCAAAGCTCTCTTCGCCAATTTGCGAGGCCCAAGCGTTGAGTACTATAGGGATCTCTCGAAGCATGCCAGACGAAAGAAAAATCGAGGCACCATCCCTCCCCCCACTGCACCACCTACCAGCGGGACTTCACAGACTTTGCCGCTCCAGGGCTGGAATGTTCGATACGACTTTAAACTTGGCGTTTTTGCTGAATTTCGTCAAGAGATGGACGCTGCGTGCCGTAGTTACGAGGCTGCCTACGAAGGGCTGTTTGGTGAAGAAGTCTTCGAAATGATTGCAGGGTGGAGCCCTAGGTTTAACGATGCGCGAATGCTTGCGGATATTCTTTCAATTCGAATCATTCGTTGTTTATTATGGACTGAGCAGACTTCATCTGCAGTCCACATATGGAGTACACACAAAAGTCGTGTCAAAGATATTGTAGATCGTCGTGGTAAAGGGACGAACAATTATGGATGGGAGGCATGGCAAGCCAGATGGTCTCTGGTGATGGCCCAGATTATGCATCAGGCGGAAATATCATCTCTAATGGTCCCTGATCTTCTGGGGTCGGTTCCTGACCTCCACAAAACAATATACGCTATGCCCGAGAAAGGAATTCCGGCTGGCGGGAGGATACAGCCGTGGGAATATCTCCATCATGAGGGCTACTGGTACCGTTGTGCTGCCCAACATACCGAGCGCAGGAGACAGCTTGCGGAGAATATTCCAGATGAGGACCGAGTCGCTCCCACGCAACCTACCGGCTCGTCATCACTGAGTAGGGCCACTGTTTACGATAACTATCTCGCTCCTGAACCTTATAATGAATATCCCATATCTGACCACCCAGGGCTCGCCCATTCTAAATTGATTCTTGGTTTCCTCGAATCGTCAACAGAGGAGTTCTCCAAAAGGCAGCAAAATCGCATTGTAGAACAGCTAAGGCTAAAAATGGCGAAGGAGCATATGAGAATTGGACAATGGAAAGATGGATTGGCTCTCATACAGCCTTTATGGCTGCAGCTATCATGGCGGAGGGAGGGCTGGTGGGGGCTGATGGAAGATTTTGCTTGGACACTACGAGAATGTGCCGTACAAGCCGAAGATAGAGAGACTGTTTTGCGGGTAGACTGGGAGTTAATGAACCATAGTAAGATTGTCCTCCCTATTACTGTCCTTTCTACTACCATTGTGGATCGGTTACATATTTGCTAATTTGCTTGCTGGTCGTAGTATTTACGATGCGGCAAGGATGGTGTTACGATATCCATAAATGTATTGATAATCTGCCGGCCGTGAAACCGAAACCAGTTGTGATTCTTAAAGGAGAAGACTCGGTTTCCTGTCGTACGTTACCATTTAAATCCTAGCGCTGTTGGAATTCAAGGTAACAAGCTAATTATTTTGTTCATTCTTCTACTGGTAGTTGCGGCATCCTTTGTCTTCGCCAAATCGGAAGGCAATGTGGGAGAGCCCCTACAGTCCCAGCTTGTTATCAGGTCATGTGCTCATGCTGGATCTTCGCCAATTCGCTTGACGGAGGTAAGAGTTGCCTTTGAAGGTAATATTCGTCCTATTAAGCTTCTAGCAAGTGAAAATGAATCTTCCAGCTCTTCCAGCGGTTGTGAGATCGTACCTGTTTCGTTGCAAGATTCTGTAAACTTGGAGGCTTCAACCGTGCAATCGCCAGCTGCTGGGTTGCCTCTGATGGTCGGGGTTACCAACCTCTCATTTGGCCCGAAGCAGACACGGGCGTTCAACCTTGTGTTGGTGCCACGAGAACCAGGTGAAGCACAAGTGGCGTCAATTACATTACGAATCGAACAAGAAAATTTCGATCTGTCCTGCGTTATTAGTGAACAGAATCGAGATGAGTCGGTCTGGTGGAGAATGGGGAAGCAAGGGCCCATTTCCCGGAGGACAGGAAAGGACAGAGATACTTCAGTATCACGGATCTTGCCGAAACCCCCGAAAGTCCGCATCTCGACGCCGAGGTCACGGAATCACTATTACACGGATGAGAAGGTTATGCTTGATGTTCAGATCGATAACGACGAAGACGACGCGGCTGAGGTTGACGTTGAGATCAAGTTGTTTGGATACACTGAAACCTCGGCAACTTTTTCATGGATTAATGAGACGGCTAGTGACTCAATAGCAGCCGAGGATGCAAGCCCTAGTTCTCTTAATACCCCTATTGAGGGTGGTGGCTCTTCGACCCTCTCAAAAAGACGTACAGTTGGGACATTGGCTCGTGGAGCCAGCCGCACTCTTTCCATCCTGTTCACAAACACGACATTGCCACTAGATTATGAGGTTGAAATATCCGCCTTCTATCACCTAGTTTCCGATGTTGAGACGAAAATATTCAAAACTGTTTCCTTAGACCTATCCTTTATTAGACCGTTCGAGGCCAATTATGAATTCTTACCACGAATTCATCCAGCACCGTGGCCAGATTTCTTCCACTACGACGATTCACCATCGGAAGATAATGAAGAACAGGAGCAGAAGCACAATGGCCTTCAGCAATTATGGTGCTTAAACTCGAAAATAGTGTCATTCGCTTTAGAACCACTTACCATCGAAGAAGTCAACGTGTCGCTGCTAGGGATCACGGCTGGTAATGTTTGCAGAATCGGCACAGAAACTCTTAAAAGCCCTGAAGCCCCTACGATTGGGCCTGAAGGGTTGCGAGAATCTGAATTCACCATGGAAATCCAACGCCTTGCGCTTAATAACCGGCAGCCATCGACCTTAAATCTTGCACTGGATATACGATGGCGCCGCCCCGACGACGACGACAACAATGACCAACAATCATCATCTTCATCCCAATCAACGATATCAACACTTCCGATCCCCCGCTTCCTCGTCCCCCTCGTTGAGCCCCGCGTCCTCGCCCACGCAACGCCGTCCGCAACTCTTCCCGGCTTCCTGCACCTCGACTACACTCTCGAAAACCCCTCAATGCACTTTCTCACCTTCAACATAACAATGGAAGCCAGCGACCAGTTTGCGTTTCATGGACCCAAGGCCACGACGTTGCAACTGGTGCCGCTCAGCAGACATACGGTGAGGTATAACTTACTAGCCAATGTGAGGGGCAAGTGGATACAGCCGCAGTTGGTAGTGGTGGATTCGTACTTTAACAAGACGTTGAGGGTGTTGCCCACAGAGGGGATGATGGGCGATAAGAAGGGCATTTTGGTGTGGGTTGATGCGGACGGGTGAGAGGGATGGTATGCGCGTTGTTCAAGTTGACGATACATATTCGGGAATCTGCGGAAGACCAAATCACTGAGGCAAAGAATTTACTCGATATATTGCTTTTTGTCATATCCATAGGTAGTGCGTCCTTTGTTGGGAGAGACGAATTGGAAAAAAAAAAGGAAAGGAGGGGGGGGAGATGCGGTACAGCGCGGATGAATTCGTATGAGACATGTTTCTCAATATCATGACCTTAAATTCGCTCCCCGCATTATTATTATCACGGATATTCGATAGAAAAATTTTCCAGCTTGACTTAAATCCCGTCAACGAACTTGATGCTTCCCTCATTCACTTTGGAATTTCATTTTTGATCTCGCCAACTCCAATCACTTGATAAGGGTCTGAAAAATATGATTAAAGCAACTGCTCCAAGAACATTCAGAGATGCATTGGCAATATATCCATGCTGTAGCGGAGATGGAGCATTTTAACCCACGCCGAGAGAGCCTCTAGAAATGTGCAAAACAGCCCCTGCAAAATTGTGGAGAGCATCTCAGCAATGTCGGCATCTTTACGGAGTATAGACCACATAATTCTCATTCACATCTTAGCCAGCAGTTATCCAGCTGCGTGGAGCAGTCGGGGCAATGTGCAATGGGTTGATTTACACTCTGAATGCAGAGTTGTCCACACTGACTGACAAGTAGCTGAAACATACTGACTTGGCTTACTGAATATTGGAATATGAACTAATATGGAAGTTCTCAGACTTGAAACTCAATGTACTCATAACTTTTGAAAGTGAGGATATCATCCTGAGATTTGTCAAAGAGCAGGCGGCTCAGTTGATGCAATGCAAAGCTGATTCAAAATATCACAACAACTTTGAATCTTTTGATTTGAGAGGACTAGGCAATATGTATCCTCAAATTACCAATTTCAGCACCTGCGACTCAACTTGGCAACGGTAGTCATGATGATGCTGTTCAACTTGGTACCCGTCCAATACAGTCCGGCTATTATTGTGCTCCAGAAGTTGTTCTTGGTTGCGGTTGGAACTTTAGTGCGGATATATGGAATTTGGGAGTTATGGTAAGAGTATACCTACATATAAAACATTCGTTGCGGTCTCCGTCACACATGTGTTAATATAGTTGCTCACACACTCTGCAACAGGGCCCAGATTGAGTGATCTCCAGCCATCACAGACGAGAGGGGGCAAGATATACAAGAGTAATAGGGACTATTTTGGTGGCCCATTTTTTTGACGAAGGTAAGGGAGGAATAAGATGCATGCTGAAGTTTTCACGCTGATGACGCATATTGTGTGGGGTAGGCAAATTCCTCTACGATGACCTGATACCGACAAGAAAGCGGGGAGATACAGTTCCATCGTTAGGAACGGGGGAGAGGGAGGCCTTTTTGTCTTTTATTAAGCAAATGCTCACATAGCTGCCCGATGAGCGAAAGACGGCTCGGGAGTTGATGGAGCACCCGTTCCCTCAACGACTTACGTGGTAGGGAGGTGTGTATGTACATGTACATAGGTCCTTTGCTTAGGGGAAAGCCATTCCAGGCTACCCAAATGCCCAATTCTAGCTGGAGTCTCCTTATAGAGAATGGAATCGATCCGGTAGCGGTGCTTGTTAGGATTGAAAAGAGGCAGGGGCACCTATCGAGAACGACGGTTGCAACGACCAAGAGGAGTGGCTCTGTGGAAGTATTCACAAGCAACCTGACTTCGGGGGAGAGGAGGGGGGCGGCGCTGGAATTAAAATGTGGAAAGTTGATAGGGCAAGGGAGAAGGAAGACGAGAAGGTTTGAAAGGAAGCACAAAGGAAGAGAGGTGGGATCAACGACATTTTATACGGTGCTAGGGCAAAGCCGCCCAAAATTGGAGGGCAGCTAGATTGGCTGCAACGCAGGCCATGTTTTTGTGTTGAAACTCATATTTAGATCAATCACTCATCCGCCCGTAATATCAGGTCACATTCCAGTTGTATATACAGTACATGTACCACCTCGGGTCTGCCGAATTCCCCCTCTATGCTTTCGTCCGAATTTTATCGGTGACCCGTCATGTGGTGCTTCTGAATTATGATCGATGCATGGGGCCAACTGTGGGATAACATGGAAGTGAGAATCCCAGAGACACGCCGGATCCACGAATATGGCATCGCTGTATTGACCGCTAGTTACTCACTGTGATCTACCACCGCTCGAACCTACGCAGGTCGCAGCCTCACCAAACGTGTAAATCCAAAGAAAGGGTGGCAAGGCCGTGCAGGTCCAGTAAGTACAACATGTACATGTACATGTACATACAAGTACAGGTACATGTGGACCCCCGATGCGGTAATTCAGTTGCCATTCCAAGGTTCGTGCCCTAATTGCTTCATCCATCGCCGCCGATGCCGCCGACACTGGGTTCGCAGGAAAGCCCCAGCTCCCCGCAGCCAGATCATACAAAGCCGAAAGCTTCTCCTTTAGGCTAGAAGAAACAGGGCCTACGAGCAGCAGGACTCGGCTCGCAGCTCCCACGCCGCCTTCGCCCTAAATAACCAAGTTGCCAACCTTCCTCGGCTGAGCTGGAGCCATGGCGATCGCCTCCAAGCCTTTTGGAGAGATCTAGTTGCTGCAGCCGTTTTATCTCCTCCGTCTGCTTCAGATACTTTTGGTCATTATTAAAAGAGAAATATCCACTATTACTACCGCAATATCTTTACTCGCAGCTGTTTCGGCTCACGGTCCTTTCCTTTATCTAATACTTCCTCTAACTACTATCAATAACTTGAACCTAACATTTCGCCCCTGGGAAGCTTGAATAATTGCCATAACGTCGCCGCGCCGCGAATATTCGCCAACCAGCTATTCGTGGTAGCATGGAGAATCCACTTCCGCCAGCCGTGACCCAGAGACCCGATGGCCAGCCGATGGAGAGTAGTAAGTGATTGTCTCATCGCAGTCATCTTCTGATCCCCTATCTGATCCGTGCACTGTTGCTTGCGATACCTGAGCTCCCAGCATTGAGTTGACTTGGAATCCATCTTCCTCCAGCTTCCACATCCCCCGAGTATATTCTCGATCAAACATGCCCGGCCGTCCCCGAAGGCTACGAACATGTACTCGACACCTCAAAAGGCTATGGGAACGGCCCAGGCATCGTCAGTCTCAGCGATCATCTCGAGGTCCTCTGTGGCCCGCTCCTGAATTACAAGGGCTTCCGGGATGCGAACCAAGAGTTCCCAACCTGGCAGGGCAGCGTGCTGCTTGTCACAAAGCCAGGGCAGAAACAGCCTGTCATGGAGTTGCGCCCAACGTCCGCTCTTTCTAGTAATGGCTCAGAGCGCTCCACTCTAGTCAACGGCAATGTGTCGCAAAGTGACAGCCAAGTAACAACCGTGGAGGGGGTCAAACTGTTCGCGGACCCCAACAAGGCTTTCTGGCGATTCTCGGTTATGGTGCCCTTACAAGCCCAGCAGATGCGCTGGGAATATTCCTTTCCCCGATTCCACTATTTCAATCACAAGGAGTCTGCCGGCCGCTGGAGTTTCGTTGTCCCAGGCGCAAACGACTCGATGCGCATTATGTTCCATTCATGCAATGGTTTCTCCATTGGTACGGATCTTGATTACTGGCAAGGTCCCCTTTTATGGAATGAGGTGCTTCGCCTGCACGAGGAGCGGCCATTCCACGTCATGATCGGAGGTGGCGATCAAATCTATAACGATAGTGTACGGGTCGATGGTCCACTAAAGGAGTGGACCGATATTTCGAATCCACATAAGAGAAGGACGCATCCGTTCCCCGAAAAGATGAGGAACGAATGCGACAGTTATTACTACGAAAACTACATCAAATGGTATGGGATGGAGTCGTTCGCAACCGCAAACTCACAAATTCCTCAAATCAATATCTGGGATGATCATGACATCATCGATGGATTCGGCTCATACACAGATCATTTCATGAAATGCGCTGTGTTCCGTGGTATTGGAGGCGTTGCTTTTAAGTATTACTTACTTTTCCAGCACCATGTGGCTCCACCCGTGTCTACATTTACTACCGATTCTCCCGAAACTATGTCCGCAGTCAACGGAACCTCGGGCCCTGATCCCAGGCAGCTGGAGCACGCTTATGTGTATAAAGAAATCGTGGAAGACCCGAGCTTCATCACTGGCAAATCCCCTGGACCTTACTTGGAAGAGCGTAGTAGAAATTTATATATGCGCCTTGGACGGCGCATGGCTTTTGTCGGGGTCGATGCCCGCACAGAGCGTACGCGCCATCAAGTGAACTATCAGGAAACCTATGACATGATATTCTCCCGACTAGACCAGGAGATTGCGGCATCCAACGGCGACATCAAGCATTTGATCCTTCTCCTGGGCGTCCCAATCGCATACCCCCGCCTCGCCTGGCTAGAAAACCTCATAAGGTCCCCGCTAATCGCGCCAATCCGCTTGCTCAACAAACGGTTCGGCGTCGGCGGCAGCTTCTTCAACAAATTTGACGGCCAAGTAGACCTCCTCGACGACCTGGACGATCACTACACCGCACGCCAACACAAGCGCGAGCGTCGCGAGCTAATCCAGAGCCTGCAACACTTATCGCGAAAGCACTCCGTCCGCGTCACCATTCTCGGCGGCGACGTGCATCTCGCCGCCATGGGTCGCTTCTACTCGAGGCCAGAGCTCAATATCCCTGCCGACCGCGACTTCCGTTACATGCCTAACGTCATCAGCAGTGCCATCACCAACAAACCCCCGCCGAAAGCCGTTGCAAACCTGCTTGCGCACCGCAACAAGATCCACCACCTCGACCATGACACGGATGAAACGCTCATGAAGCTTTTCGATAAACAACCCGGTGGCAAAGAGAAAGGCGCTGCATTCAATAAAGTGACGATGCCGTCGCGGAACTTTGCGTGTATCACCGAGGTGTCACTGGATGGGGCGGTAAATGGCTCTGCAGATGTAGCTGAGACGGCGACAGTGGTGATGCCGAAGGACGGGCATGATCCCTTGCATGCTGGTGAGGAGAACGCAGGGACTACGCATCGGGCGGCGGATGGGGTTAGTAACGTCAGTGGCATGATTGGTGGGTTAGATGTTGCCATACGGGTTGAGATTGATGCGGCCGATCGCAATGGGACGACGGAGGGGTATGGGTTTAGCGGTAAGGGTTTTTTTTTTTTTTCCTTTTTGTCTTGCTATGTTTATTGTGCAGCATTGTTTTCTTGTCTCTCTCCGCTGCCCCTAATTTCTTCCTTTCTCTTTGCCATTCGTTTGGATTTAGCTTCGTGCGGCTGACGGTCATCGCAATTGCAAAACAGTGCCCCCGTTATCAATCCCTCCGAACGACCGGGTAAGCCAGGAGACGACCCGCTCTAGCCGCTTCCGTCGAATGCAGCGTCATCTACATTCGTCCCACAGTTATGTGTCTGCAGCTCCTACCAAGGGCGCTGGTGTGATTTCTGCTGACGGAACTGATCCGGTGCCTCCGCTGCCTCGGTCCGCTACTGCTCCTGGGCAAGGTAGCCATTAGTCGATAGGAGATGCAAATGGAAATATCTCAAGGTTTAATATGTCGGTATATGTAACAACATGAATAAGGGAAAAGGGGGGGGGGAAAGGCAGGATCCGGTCGGTTTTGGTAGGTAAGGAAGGTACTTTACTATTTGGTTTTATATATTGCTGTGTGCTTCGGTTGACAGGTGTATTCAAACTATCCACCAAGGGATATATCTATTGTCTTTTTAATTCCCTATTGTTTAATATCTCGGATGGACATCTATGGCCCTAATCTCTCGTCTTCTCTGGGGGAAACTTATCTTGCCTGGTTTATTGCATCTTTCTTAATTCTTGCTCACAATACCCACCACCCGTCCATTGCATATCTGGAAACGAATGGGTGGATTGATCAAACTATCTGGGAAGGATTTTATATTTATATCTTATTTCTTGCTCACTGCATTGGCCCTTGTGTCATTTTGTTTTTCATCTGCCATAGTTTGCATCTACTGTATGTGACTTTTCTTCCGCCGTTCGCCAGCGTTGCTTCTTCGCTCTTAACTTTGCAATACTTGCAATATTTGCCCCAATGTACGCGCATACCTTGGGAAGTTTGCGCCCATTGATATTTATTCCTTTTTTTATCCTGGTCATTTTTTGTCGTGCCTTTGGCGGTTACCCAGCCCAGTTTTTTCAGTTAGGTTTGGCAAATGGATATGACAAAGAGGTATATATATATGTATAATGCGGAAGGGAAAAGGCAATGTAACGGGATCCCCCTGGATTCGACGGCGGAAAAAAGCTTTGGGTTTTTTGTTCAATTAATGTTTTCTTTTGTGATTTGCTTCACCTTCGCTCATCTGTCTATCCTATATGAATCACAAGAAAGTCATTTATTTATTACCTTCACAAAATATATATATATATATATAATTACATGTGGCTGAGAATCCGGATGCCAATAAGGGGCGGGCAATTCTTTAAGTACTCATACACAAAGAAACAGAAGATACAATAGAATAATAATATTACAGACACTCCCGCCAGTCCAAAATAAATATGCGACTAGATGTCCTCAATCACCACCACCGCTAATAAAACTACCTCCCACCACCAAACCATCCCCATAGCCCATCACCCTCCTTTTCCTTCCTCCTTTTCCTTCTCTCTTCTCTCCTCCCTTTCCACAACCACCCTGCCACCGCGCCAGCCGCATACCCACCCATATGGCTCCAGTGATCCATCACGGGCATCCGAATCCGAAACGGCAATATCACCAACGACGCGATCTCCACAAGCACAATAACTGCCAGAAATGTCGAGCCGTTGGCGGAGAATGTCTCTTGCCAGGATTGCGGGAGGAGGGCGATGGTGAGTTTGTCGCTGTTTTATTTTTAAAAAAAAAGCGGAGGGGGAGTTTATGTTAGTCGGTCATTCTTAATATATATGTATGTATTTATTGGGTAATGGAATGGAAGATAGGAAAAACGAACTTTGCATGTATCATGCACCAGGCTGCGACGAGCCCGGCGATGGCGCCTGAGGCACCGAGGGAGGTTACGGTTAGTTTATTTTGGAGGACGTGGGCGGCTAGGGAGGTTAGTGAGGCGATGGCGCCGGAGGAGAAGTAGAGGGAGAGGAAGTCAGCGCGGCCGAGTTCTTCGTGGACTGATGGTTTAAATTTTCAGTTGTTAGATACAGCTTCTGTCTACTTGAGAATTTCAGGTTGGGAGATGGAAAGATATATGGCTCTATAAAAAGACAGGTGAGAGTAATAATAGGATATATATATATATAAAAAAATAAAAGTCACTTACGTCTCGTCCCGATAAACCACAAAATCAACATGTTGGCACCTAGATGTCGGATTTGCTGGTGGCTGAATATGCTGCCGATGATGCTTATTGAGTAAGGATACAAGGGCACGCTAATGAAATACCGATTCAGCATTCGCCAGGCGGGAGGGACGGCTCGCCACATGGCGTAGATGAGAACATTGGTGCTAATGAGGCCAATCACGGTTGCTGCGGCGGGGGGTGTATTGGGCATCAAGCGCTCGTGGCGGGGCGCTGGCTCGTAATTTTCAGCGAGGACATAGCAGAGGCCTATTGTTAGGAGCGTAATACAGAGAGAAGGGAGGATTCTGCGGGCCTGTTTGTCATTAGTTCTCCCGATATTTTTCTTCTCCTCTTTTAGCTTCGTGTTCGTTTTTTTGGGACATACCATGGACAGTTTTGAGGTATCCCAATCATTTGCTGTAGCTCGAACATGATGCTGTTGCACCCACGCCAAAGCAGGACGAACATTCGGATCCGCACGAGGTTTGGCTAGAGGGAGGTCACAGTTAGACAAAACTAAGCAAATTTGCTTGTCATGTATGTAATTGAGTAATAGTATAAGACCGAGGATATAACTATACCTTCCATAACCGCCGCTTCCTCGAACTTCTGCAACTCCATGTTTTTCTGCATGCTCTGCCTTAGTATTTCCCGATCCTTCGCCTCGCCTTCCATCCAATCTCGTCTCCATTTTTCATCTTCCAACCTATTCCTCCGCTCGTTCGCCTCCCGCTGTTCCTGAAGAAAACTCTTTCCGTAAACGTCGCCTTCCTTCTCAATGGGCTTGTCGAATTTCCCGCTCTGCGGCTTGTAAAAGCCAAGTTCCTGACCACGTTTGATGAGCTTCTGTTCCTCCGCAATCTCTTCTCTTTCAATCCGTTTCAGAATCGCAGCATCCTCATCCATGGGGTACCTTTTTCGCAGCCACTCTAGTCCCGTCAATATCGTACTCTCTGCGACAACCTTACTAATATCGGCTGGGAGATCAACATCGATGGTACCTGTGATACGACGTTCTTGGAGGATTCGAAGAATCCTATTGCCCATCGGTACTGAAATATGCAGCTCTGGACCAAATATCTGGGAGATCTCGTGAGCAGAGAGATCGCGGGCTCTGAAACGGACGCCTTCTTCGCGTTTATTCAAGCGAGGAGAAGTTCGCGGGGCTCTGGCGGAGGAGGGAAGGGAAGATGAGAACGTTCGGGACGGAGAAGAGATTCGGGAGAGGCATGATTGTAATACCCCCGTGAATCTAACGGGTTTTAATATATTCTGGTGGTTAATGGCCGTATTCCGCAAGCTACTCATGGGGCGGACTGTATATCTGTGGCCCAGAGGGTATAGTATCTGGAGCAAGGTGAGAGGAGGTGCATGGGGAGAGGGCGAGGGGCGAATGCCCATGCACGGTATTCGCCATGCTACCGAGAAAACATTGTTCATCTCCCACGGCTCAAGGGTGATCTCATATGGCTGCAGATAGGGTCTGCAATATCGCACGTTGATTTGTATGTCGTTCGGAGAATTTTTGGCGGGAGAAATTTGGCGCGGATCTGAAGTTCCGCCGGCGCTTATTCCACAGATCAGCCGCAACTAGCGCCCATTGGATCTTGGAGAGGCCCATCAATACTGGATATTGTAGTAGTTACATCGCGCTTGACATATCCTTTTCGCACAGCTAACTTATTTTAAGGGACCAGGCTGGTTTCTATCTTCTTGGAGCCCAAGGCGGAGCTACAGACAAAGCGCGTAAATAGCGAAAAGCCCTGCTAAAGGCGTCAAGGACATATTACGTCATCCTGCCTTTTCCCTTCAATCTTCAATCTTCAATGTCAACAACTTCTCTCCCTTCCGACCTGGAAAATCCAGCTGCATCGCCATTTGGGATACTGGGATCCATTGAGCAATTACAGTGCTAATTGATTTATATCACTTGTTTCGCTATCTTTGCCGTACCAACAGTCAAGCCTGAATAACCCCTCGACAGCCTTGCTAGAACCCACCCCGCCTCACTGCTTGCTCCGCTACAACCACCATCACAAACAAAACAAAACAAAAAAAAAAAAACACAATATATATAATGTCCTCCTCGTCCACCCCAATAACTCCGCAAGCCTTCGCCGAAGCCTTAAAATCCCTCCCCCTCTCTTCCCTCTACGCCAAAGTTTCCGAGCTCCGCAACTCCATCGCCCACCTCCAGCGCTCCAACGACGAGTTGGCCAGGTACATCGCGGAGAGCTCACCAGACAACCACGATCAGGACTGCGAGGATGCCATCCGGGAGAATGAGGTCGTTATTGTGCGCATGCAGGAGAGGATTGATCTTTTGAAGGTCGAGGTGGAGGAGCGGGGCCAGAGATGGAGTGAGGAAATGGATATGGATATGGTCATGGATGTGGATGATGAGGATGTGCGTACGAGGACCGGAAGGGATGATGCGGGTTTTGGTGTTGGGGCTACTGGTACTGGTTTTACAGGAACAGGAGTGAGGATGAATCCCCATACCACTGATGTAAATGGAGATGCTGGAACGATGGCGGGAACACCTGCTCAGGCCCCTGGTTCAGAAAACAGCGCTCCACCTGCTGCTAGCGTGGGCCGGACGGCTGATAGGGGCCAGGTGCAGGGAGGTGAGGGAGGTGAGGGGGGAATATATCTATAAGCTGTTTAGTCCTCTTGTATTTGCTATTCTTGTCAATTTTGACTGTCTTGCACATCCCCGGACATTCCCCCTATTCTGAGGAACAGCTGTGTGCAACATGGAGAAGATGCATGATAAGGTTTGATATTCTATTATTCACCCCAAATTTCCGATAAGTCACCATTGACAAACCTGTTGTCAACTAAGCAGCAGATGGAACAGCATTGCATCCAGCTAGGGGGGTGCTTGGCCTTACGAGAATGCTCAAACATGGCTCCAGTCCCAACCCTGTGCAGGAAGGGTGCACCAGGGGTGCCAGGTTGGAGCTTGGGTTGAGGAGGTTAGGCTTGGGTTCCGGATGTCTCTCCTACTTAGGCAAAGGAATTGCTCTATCTTTCAATGTGTCCGGAAGCTTCGCCTGGTAGTAGGGTCTATCCGCGTCAGCAAATGACCGGCCCACATATTTTAGTTTCCCATGAGGATCGTTGAACGAAGCGGAAGCCTGTCGTGCTCACAACTTGCTGAAAACTTGGCTTTATGAACATGTGGAGACACAAACGACCGTTGTAGTTTTAGCAGAGCTGCGTTTCGATCAGGACGGTAGTCACTAAGTCATTCAATTTCCGATATATTGCTTTTTCTTGGCTTTAAGACAGTTGTATGTTTTTGATTGCCGGCTAGCTAGCTGAAAGAGGAAAAGCACGAAGGAAAAAGAAAACAAGGAATGGCTGGCTACGACTCGAGACATGCAGAAAGAAACTTGGACGTTTCAAAACCAGAGTAAGGACGGCGGAGGGGAATAGAAAAATGGGGAGTAAACAGAGAGAAGAAAAACTACATGCAGCATGCCCGTTCCCGAAGAAGAAAATGAATTCAAAAGAAACGTAAAAAATAGAGGTCGATGCCTTCAATAGCATAAAATATCGACAATTGGAATAATGAAAAGAGATATGCGTTTTGGCCTCCGTTCCCCTAAGCGACAAAAGATGACACCGTGTATTAACGCCCTAGACATCATGATTTGTATTTCCATCCCCACCTCGTAACTTGTGCCAAAGCGTCTAATTGGAAGGTGCAGTAAGAGCAGGCATCGACAACGAGGATTGTTGAGCCCAGTGACCAGCGAGGGCTTCTGGAGGGATCTTCTCCTGCTTGATGTAAATGTCAATCAAGGGCTGCATGGGTTCCATCTCCTTGTCCGCCACGAGTTTATAATACTTTGCAACCGTCACAAAATGCACGAAACACATGTTAAGAACCTCGTGCTTGTTGATATGGAAGAAAGGGTTCTCCCAATGGCCGTGATACAAATGCGCATAGCAACGGAACATTTGCTTCATGATTCCCTGGCAATCCTTGTAAAAGGTCTGGGGGAATCCACTACTCTTTCCAATCCAATCTTGGGTAGATGGGTTTGCAGGTGAGATAGAAGTTGTGTTGCTTGGATCACTTGATACAATTGGCGTCGTTCCTACGGGAGTGCTCTCTGTAGGGAACATGACTGGATCATGGATCTTGCTGACGATCCATTTTTCAACTCTGTTTATGAATTTGGGCGCAGATATCCTAGCAGCCCTGCCATCAACCAGCCAGGTGTAGGTCAGGCTAACATAAGAAACGGGGTCATGTCAGCATCAGGACAGGAGCGGATTGGGGGGGAAGGCTAAATTTCAGCGTACCGGCCAGCAGACATGGTTGGGCAGGAGTTTTCATTGCATATAGGGAGGCCGGTTAGCCCATTTATTTCTTGAATGACCTGGAGCATGCCATGGAGAAGACGGTTTTGCTCCACGACTAGAATTAATTCATTTCAATTAGCTGGTGTTCCAAAGTTGGCAACAACAACAACAATTATGATCCCAAAACACTGTACATACTTTGATGGGCCAACCATTCGCCAAGCTCGACGTTTTTTGGGCAAGCGCAAAGGGTCAAAAAGTTGCCTTTGACGTTAAGCATGGCATACTTCTCCTGAAAGAAGTACTTCGTTGAATCATTGTCGTTCGTAACGCTGTCGACGCTGAAGGTAGAGGATATCGAGGGAGAACTCATGAGAGCAGCCGAATGAGATGAATACCCTGCTGACGGAGGATTCTGAGCACCGTTATTCAACCTCGGAGGGTTATTATTGTTATTGGTGTTATTGGTGTTATTGTTGTTATTGTTATTGTTGTTATTGTTGTTATTGTTGTTGTTTTTGTTGGACCCCCGACCAAACCCCTGGCGGCTGTTGTCGCACAGTGGTCGAGTCAGTAGATGCTGCTTGAAATAGGTTTCAGATGCAGTATCGCAATAGAGTTTGCAGAATGAGGAGTGGAAGGAAGGGTGTTCATAGAAAAGCGATGTGAAAGAGCGACAAAGAACCAGAACTGCGGGCGGCAACAAGGCCGCAATGCAGGAACCCTGACGCCTGACTGGTGGGGGGGGAAGAGGGGGGACACCTACACGCTCTGGAAGAAAGTTGCCATGATTCACAGCACGCTCGGCTAGGGAAAACTCTAGTCTCGACACAAACGAATGGAGGCTAGAGCATCCCAGGTAGCAATGAGAGGCAGCCGACACAGCTGGTGGACACCCTGAGAGAGATAATGAGCTGCCCCGGGAGAGTTGGTATGGGTGTTTGGTCTGGTGCAACTTGGAGACGAGACAAAGCTGGACGTTGAAACCGCTGATGTCAGCCGCCGGACCGGATCAACTTCTCTCCTTCCACATCCGTATCGGGTTTAGTGGCCACCACCTCATCTTCCTTGCCAGTGTCAGTCGCATCTTGACGACGGCGAGCACCACAAGGCTGCAACTGCACGTCAATCCGGGCTTGTCTCTGCGTTGGAAACAACGCTGTTGCACGCCATTACAGCTGCATCATCAATCAACATATGAGCGATCCTGGGCTTGTGGTAATCCCTCGATATTTCTACGAGTTGAGGGAAGAGAGCAACGCTTCTGAGCGTCGGGGCTATCATTAGCTTCCTCGCCATGTCTTCGGACGACGATCGCCAGAGCCGGCTTTCGGAGAACGTGCGAAGGCATTCCTCTGATGCGTCTGAAATAGGCGAAAATGGTGCCCTGAACTTTGATGATGAGAAAATCAATGGAGATGATGACGCTGACCTCTTTGGTTCTGGATCGGAGGAACCTGACCAGTGCGTTTCTACTTTCTGTCTTCCCTACTATGCGAAGTGAACGGCAATTAACAAGCTCGTAGGCGCAAACCACGGAGACTGGATGATGAGGAATTGGATTCTGGCGACGACGAAGGTCGCTATGACCGGCATGGCTCTCCAATGGACGAGGATGGAATGGATTATACCGAATCGGTAAATGTTATGGATTTGAGTCTTAGTCGTGTACCAGAGCCAGAATCTACGGACGGAGAGGTACTACATTTTTTTGTCCTATATATTTCTTCCGTGAGATGTTATGCTGAAACCAGCTACCGCAGGTCTACACGTTGACCATGCCGAATTTCCTCGCTATAGAGTCTGAAGATTTCAACCCAGAAACCTATGTTGCCCCGCCCTTTAACTCTGCATCTACCTCCCTGTGTTGGCGCTATGATCCAAACAATGGTGAGACGCTTCAGTCAAATGCTCGGATCGTCCGCTGGTCAGACGGTTCATTAACGCTTCAACTTGCATCCAATCCAAAGGAACAATATCGAATGCCGTCCAAAAGGCTTGCACGTTCTAACAAAGCGCGCAAAGCCACTGATTACGATTCTGAATTGGACGCCCACGCTTATCTCGGCGCAGCAGCTGAAGCTTCATCGGTGTTCCGTATCACCTCTCACCTCACGTCCTCTCTCAGTATCCTTCCAACTACGGTGGAAACCGACGATGCTGTTCAACGTCTTAAAGAATCACTGGAAGCTGCTTCGAGGGGGGCCAAAAAGAATGTGGACGGCACAGTTACGATGTTTGACGTCGCTGAAGACCCAGAATTAGCCAAGAAACGCGCAGAGCTTGCAGAACGTGAGAAATTACGAGCAGATCGTAAGCGCCAGCTGGCAGCAGACCGCGATCTTGACCGAGGGAGGCGCGTTGGTATTTCCTATAGAACCGGAGGAGGAGGCCTCACTGTTGCTGGGCTAGAAGGTGACGATGATATGTTGACCACTAAATCGCGTGGCCCGAAGAAACCTAAACGGAGGCCCAATCGTCGCGGGGAGATTTATTCCGATGATGAAGATGAGTACGATCGAAGAGGGCGGACAAGGGAAGACGAGTATGACGAAGATGATGGTTTCCTAGTCGGCAGTGATGAAGAACCGGAGATTATGGAGGAAGAAGAAGAGGAGGAGGAAGAGGAGGAGGATGATAATGGTGACTTAGACGACGAGGAGGCCGATGCTGAAGGAGAAGTCGATGAAGAAGTACCGCAGAAGTCTTCAAAGAGAGCGCCTACGCCAGAAAGATCCCCGGAGGGGAACCCTATTAAAAATGCCGAGCGTGAAGTTGGATCGCCCCATACCAGGAAGAAAAATCGGTATGTCGTTGACGATGATGAAGATGATGAGTAGGGAGAACAGATCTTGCAGCTTCAACAGAAGTAATGCCTTCTTCATCTTTCCTTCATACCTTACTTTTTGCATCACCAACCACCCTCTTGTGCTTCAAATTATAATATTTTATGGGATAAATTCTCAAAGGCGGTACCAAATGGAAATCGGCTCCCGAAGCCTGCCGTCCCACTCCCGAGGCTTGTGGAAAAGTGCAGAGACCCCCTGGCAGCTCTGCGGCAGATCTAAGCTTAGAGTATCAAACCCCCCCTGTACAATATTTTTATTCACCGGTCTAATTATTTACCTTTTGCTTGGTGCTTTGACTTTGATTTAGCGCTAATCCCATGCATGGAATTTTTTTTTTTTTTTTTTTTTTTTTTTTTTTTTTTTTTTTTTTTTAAAAAAAAGACCCTTATGCATTGTCCATGAGAAAATGAATAGCAGAAAGTTAAAAATGACACCAAAGGCATCGTTCGATACCGGGATTTTATTGGGGCTACCTCCGGTTTTAACATGCCTTTGGAATTTCTAAGATTAGAGCAAGGTTCTCCGCCACAATTTTGTGGAATTTAATCAACAACTACTCTGTACACTGTAGTAGTATCCCACCACTGCAAGAATATTTTTCGATGTCTCTTTCGCCTGGCATTTGCGGGTATATGATAACGGCCACAACAAGGGTCCCCCGCTCGGACGAGTCTGCCCTCATTCTCCCTTAAATCAATCATACCATGCACCATGGCACAACACTATTATTGCACGTTCCGGCCCTACTGAATACCCTCCAAATGTCAGCCGCCGGGCCCACCATGCCAAGGGGTAGTAGCCAACCCTGATGAGCATTCTTCATACTCTGTGCTTTTCCGGCCCCCACCTCAACCCCCGCGTCATGAAACTCTATTGTCACAAACCAAGAATATATAAAAAACAAAAAAGGGCCAACCTGGCGTAGCAGTCACAGCCCCTCCCTTCAGGTGCGTTTTGCCTAAACTCTGTCAGAATTTTAATACCACCATAGGGAGCTCCTATCTCCGATACACAGCACATTTCATGTAACCTATGTTTCGTTCGATGTTTCTTCTCCCCAATGTTCTTTTCTTCTCTCGTTGATGCCTAATCAAGTAATACTTGCGAAGCTGTTCCAGAAACACACTAGCAGAAACTTTAATTTAGCCCCGCCTTTAATGCAGATTTACTTTCTTTTCCATTCTTTCTTTCCTTCTAGTTCCGGGTTTATTATGCTTATTCTTTTCTACATAAATCTATTAGTTAATTCTTCTTATTACTACCAAGTTACGGCCGGGAGTTGGCACAAGGTTGTTCCATCCATGTCTGATTCAAAAGCGAAACAAAATTGCCAACCAGGTTGATGCTTGTTTGATTTGGCCCTGGCAGCGGCTCCGGGGCGAATAAAGCCTTCAAATGGGGTTTGGGACTTCACCTGTCATAATTCATAAATTATGTCTTCTTATCCTTGTTTCAGCTTTCAAGAGAGAGGTCGACCACATCCCGCAGGAAACAAAACAAAACATAGGTTGAATTCTAAGAAGGAATAGAGGGCGTAAAAAAAAATGAGAAAAAAGGGGGGCGGGCTTCTTTTTCGCTGATTCGATGAGTAGTTGTCCCTCCATCTGCAAGCGTGGACGGGATCCCGCAAGTTCAAGTCCCTTGCCTTTGCTTCCCCCCCGTTTCCCCTCTTATCAATCAACTTCTCACGAAATCCGAAGCCGGGGAGCCCAAGTCTTCCACTCCTCGCAGCACAGTTTCGCCGTTCCAAAGGCGCAGAGCTTTCTATATTTCAGACTCAACTGTAAATATAGAACAACTTTTCAACACACCTTATATGATATATATTATTATTATCAGACTCATCTTCAATCATTTATTTTATATAACTACTCTGCTGAAACCCTGTCTGAATAGAGTGATTCTATAAGATAAAAAAAGAAGAAGCTCACTGATATTCTCAAAGACGATAATTTGAATAAGATGAATAATGGCAACGACAGTGAAATAGAGAATACATTGATGAGTATGAATAATAATAATAACGAGATAAATATAAAAGCTTGAGCTGTGAATGATATAGAATTGATAAGATAAGCTTTTGATCAGTTAACTATAACTTGATGCACAAATTTGATGGGGCAGTACAAGGTGGCCGACTCGCTTATAGACTACGTTATCAAGTATCAAAAAAGTAGATAAGTAATAAAGATATTTAATCAATCTCATAACCAGTAAACAAATAAACATCTTTTAAAAACAGATATCAGATGTATTACTATCAACACAATCTTATCTTTCTCAATAGTATATAACTGATATAGTATCTTTATCTGGGAGATAGTTTTCAGCTTGGTGAGAAACCCCTTGTGGTGTCTTTACCCCAATTCCTTATCCTTCGCAACTCAGCTCGAATACTATTGTTATATCAACCACTACTTTTACCTTTTCACGAATACTTCTGGGGGCTAGTACATTTCACGCCAAGCTGCGAATCTTGGGAATCACCGCTTGCGAAGCTCTTATTCTCACAAGCTCACTCTCAATTTACATCAGATAATCAGTCTTTTATTCAAGAATTGCTCTCATCGATCAGTCGGTTTTCATTAAAAGACCGACGGAAATTTGAATAAAAAGCCAGTAGTTTCTATTCTCATCAATAAATATCTTTCATATATCAATCAATCTTTAAATGGTTAATCTCAAAATATACAGACATCAGATAAATATCTACCTTAAGTTGTGGCGGTTGAGAATATAAAGGTTGAGAGCCCAAGAATAAAAAGAATCAGAGAAAAAAGGGACAGAGTTATTATCAGATATTAAAAAAGAACAACAAAACTATTTGAAAACAGAGTAGAAGACATAAATTTTCATGAACATCTCTTCTCGTATACTAAATAATTCTTATGAATCGATGAATAGTCTATTTAAGAGATCTGATTCTTAAGAGCAGTGAATACCTCATATAACATTCACTAGCTAGATAGATATTGATTGAATAGATGTGGAAATTCTTCTTGACTTCTAGAACTACATTTGAACCCGAGTTGTTTTGTATGTAAAATTAGTCAATTCTTGGATGGGTGTAAATATCCACCCCCCCAAATATCATAATAATGTAGATTTAATCGCGGAGCCCTTATCGGAGAGTAGCTGCCACCTGCACGGAGAATTGTAAATTTGTCGGAGCAATCCCGGAGCAATTTGAGGTTGTTCTCGGGTGTTAAGCTCTACATAAGGCTAAAATAAGCCCTTGTCAAGATGCTCAAGTTTTGGGTCAGGGAAGGACGGCAACCAGCAGCCTTATCTCGCAAGAAGCACGTCCACATATCTCGGTAGATATCTAAACAATTTCAGATATTGAGGCATGGAAGAAGTATCTCACCCATCCCCTCAATCCTTGTCAATGCCATTTGACTCCTTTCAACTGTTCAAAATTGTGTGGAAGAAGCTTGGGACAGGGCGTTCATACGGGATGCAAGATCGAATATATTTCTTTGTTCTCTGGCAACAATTCCGCGTGAAGCTGCAGCAAATTCTTCCAAGCTTGGATTTCAGTTTTCGCAGTTTAGTTTTCACAGAGTTTCTAGCCAGTAAACGGGCGGGCCGCTTCATCCTTCCCGTTCCCTCGTTGATGTACCCCGCAGATATAGTATCAAAATTGCGAAACGCAGATCAAAATGTTGGAAAAAGGGGACCGGCTCAACAGTTACACCGCAAAGCGCTACGATATCAGATATTTTCTTTTCTCCTTTCTCTTTTTGTTTGCTTATTTCATTCAGTGTGCTCTTCCTCGCCTTGCACGCCGATGCCCTGCACCATCATCTAGCACGTCAAGGAGATTGAGTCTACTTCGCTTGTCGACCTCGTTCTGGTATGGATAACCGACCGGCATGCTGCGTATGTTGAGGAGTCCCTGTTGACCCCTACCGGAGGCCCTTGTCAATACCCTTGGTTCGCATCAGCAAGACCGAAGAACGTTGGAGAACGTTATTATTTGACTTAGGGCCAATGCAGGGGCTTGGCTTCGACGCCTAAAGTTAAATTTAGGGCAAAAGCTTCCATAGGGCGAAAACACGAGAGACGTATCTCAAAGCGAATGGGAATGGATTTTGGACGGCACATCCCTGCGCCAAATGTGGCTTGAGAATGGAATAACTTATTTAGCGCTCAAGACGAAGCCTAATTGGAGTGGAGAGGTAGGTTAAATGATCCTCCTTGTGGGATTTGAAAAGGTTTTCTTGAATTATTCGTTTCTTTTTTCTTTTTCTTTCTTCCTGTTCATTATTAGTGCTGTTTGGCGTCCAAAATGTCAACTCCTCGCCAAGTCCTCGGCGATGGCGTGTATGAAGACCGGAGCTGCTCCGACTTGCTAGATAGTGTCCTAGACCCCAGTCCGTCAAAACCAATGAAGATATATTTAGCATTAAAATTGGAATCACAGCAATAGTAGGTGTCTCCTTCGGGCACGGGAATAATTGGCAAGGGCAAAGAAGGTAACATAATGATATTAGGGTAACCTTGAGGGAGATTTGTGAAAAATTTTGGGTCTCTAAGCTCATCAAGCCACTTTTTTGTTTGCCGAATGCCTCGGATGGTGAGATTTGCCATGGATTCATCGTGCAGTAATTCCTTTATTTACTAGTTTATCCAGTTAGCTCTACACCTAAAATGACTCGAGGCAACATGTTCGGGAGAGCAATATGTGGTCAATGTCGGTAGCTAACCAGGCAAAACCGGATCGGCTGGGTTGGCTTCGGAATTTGGGGGCACTCGTATTTCCCTCCTGCTGGATCAGATCTGTATAAGAACTCTGATAAGAGTTTTCGCTGGCTCGGTACTGACAGAGGGCTGAGGCAGTTCCATGCACGCTACCCACACCAACCAACCACCGAATTTCGGAATTCGGGGATACGGTGCCCGATTGATCAAGATCCGCGGAGGACAGATCGAGGTAAATCAAAATAGGCGTTCGTGGGAGCTGATGGACTTGGTTCCATCTTAGGGTTTCAAATATCGAGCTGGAAAACGGCCTGAACGCCATTGGTACTAGTACATAACTAGGAGTTGATTCCAGACTAGGAGGCAGATTGTGTGTGAATTTTTCTATTTTCTCGGTTTGGTGAGATTCCTGGCTGTTACGCTAAGTGGTTAGGCTTGTCAGAAGGGCTCTTAAGTCGCATCGGTATTGTAGAAGTCGTTAAGTCGAAACTCTGGCGCGGGTTTTATTATTATTCCTGCAAAGTCGTTTTGTTTCCTTACCTAGCTTGCTTGCTGGGAACTAGGAACAATGGATCGCTTCCGACCAAGGGTTTCGCGGGGAGGGAGGGTGTGAGAACGAATGGACTAGAAGGCCGGAGATATCGAACTTAACTAGCCGACAAGTGTGAAGATCACCTGCATGGTGATTCTAGTTGCCTGGCCTTCTGGGACTCCCATGGAAGCGCCATCCTTATTCGGCCGTATTTCCTGTTATTCCCTAGGTGATGGTAAACTGCATCAGGGTCATTCAGGCAGATATCATCGACCAGGAAGCGGGAGCAAGGGACACGGGGCCCTGCATCCACAGTTTCACGGAACATTCTGCAAATGTAGCTAAATTGTCATGACAGGGAAGACTTCGGGATTCGCTAGTTTGCACTATCCAAGGTAACTACATACTTGTGATTGCAAAGCGAGAGTAGACTGAAAATATCCCCTTGAAAGCTGGGGACGGAAAGAGAGACGAGAAGAGAAAATCGCGTACATGCCGTCTATGTTTTTGGCGAGTTATCAGGGAAAATAGGCTCAAACAAAATAATAAAAGAAACAGAAACAGAAACAGAAACAGAAACAGAAAGAAAGAAGAAGAAGAATGAAAAAAATACAGGCAAAATGAGAAAAACATGTTAACAAAGTAAGGGAGTTGAACTGATGAAGTGGTTACGGAAAATACCCATCTATTTCTTGCTCTTCATAGCGGGAAACCAGGAACAAGAAGAAAATATCGAATAAATGTAATTTAACGAAAATCAATAGATGAAAAGCAAAAGAGCTAGAAAAAAGAAAAATCATCCCATCATCTCCTCATCATCAAATTCAAATCGATCTATCACCTGCCTGGCTGTACCTGCCATGCGGCTGCACATATATTCTGTATCCTGCGGCTGGCCACCCTCACTCGTGGGTACTTCGCTGTTCGGCTTGGGGATTCCTGTGCGGTAGTCGGTGTGGTCTCTGGCCTGAGCGTGCCACCAGCGCTGTCTAGCCTCCAGCTCCTGGATCAGAGAGAGAAGGCTAGGGCATCCCGAGCTCTCTTCTTGGACGGAATCAACCATGGGGGTAATAGCACTGCCAATCACTCCGTGTCTAACAACATGGCGCAGCCACCTCTTCCACCGCCGCTGCCGTTCGCCAGGGTCCGAGGGTAAAGAGGCAATGAAGGCCGGGGAGAGGACATTTCTGCCCAATTGCTCCGCGTCCATATGCGAGACCTTGAACCAGGTGTCCCCAATCACGTTGAGAAGGCTTCCGAGTATCATCAGATTTTGCACTAAGCTGTTGAAGGCCTGGGGGCATATTTCGCAGTATATTACCCCTCTAGCATTGCGTGCTGCGTTATAGAGGGTGGAGAGGGTTTGAGACGAGGGTGGAAAGCAAGTGAGTGTGGACAGGGAATTGAGACAGAGATACATATAAGAGACGCATGAACAAGGTGAGAGTGGTTGTAGTTGCCGGTATGCTTCGGGGGCTGTTACAGGGACAGAACTTATTGGGAAAGTAGTTGACGACGGTGGTGGGGTGAACATGCCACCACCAGATGGTTGCGAGTACGACGGTTGTGTCGGATAAGACGACACCGGAAGCTGGATGGGTGTCTGTCCAGGGCCGCGTTCCCCGTATGTTGGGTTGCTGGCGGCATACAGATCTGGTGACATCATATAGGAAGTGTATGGAGCGTCCATGGTGGTTCCAGGAACCGCGCGGGTAGAGCCCGCGAGTGAAAATGGCGGCGATCCTACCATGCCAGGAATACACCGAGGATAATCAGGAAACTGCGGTGCTGTCACTGGTATCTGTGCATCCTCCTGTCGTGCTCGCGACTTCGGAGGGCGGCCCATTGGTTTCTGGATCGAGTAGTGGCAGTATAGACTCTGTTTCACGCATCGACTGCAGCCGCCGGCTTCGCCAGAGCATTTCAACTTTCGCTGCCCTGGTATTACTCATCATCAATAAACACCTTCAAAAGACATCGTCATGTTGTCAGACTTACTGCATTCGTCGCAAGCGGCATGCCTTTTGCGTGAAGCCCTTGATTCCGTGGTAGGGCCAGTTGAAGGATTACGTGAGAGAGACATTCTTATTTCTGCAACAGCTGCCATTATGGAGACAAAGGGAAAACCTGGCGAAAAAACTAAGGGGAAGGCGACGGATTATATACAGTTTATGACATCCCGAAGCCCTGCTTTCTAAAAATGAAGAGGCATTTCGAATTTCGGGCTCCAAGCCAGTAACTTACTTGGGAGAAACTCGCTAGGGTTGTTCGCTGGTTAGAGCTTTGCGCTTGACTATTCCTAAACAAGCCACATCAAGGGATCGACCTGGTTGACATAATCTCAGCTGCGTTGATAAGTTATCAATACCGTCTTCTGGCCATCAGCCAAGCAAGATGTCAGCAAGCGTCTTACCCCCTGCCCACCCATTGCACGAAATTCGTCTGCTCAACGAATTTATTCCCTTGGTTCAGTTTCATCACGACGAATGAGAGCGCTGGGGTGAAACTATTTTCCCCTGCATTCCATCCGTTGAATTAACCATGTAGTTGCTTGCTAACCCTATTTCGACCGCTGGAGAGCGCAAATGCAACCGTTGCTATATCGCCTATTAATGGAACTAGAGTTTCCCAGCAGCGCCCCGGGACGGGCTAAATTAAGAATCTTAATTAGTAAGAATAGCTTAAAATACCCGCTCGAGGAGAGGTCCACAGTGAGGGCATTCGCACTCATCACAGCCAGCATGATAATGACAATAATAATGCAGCCCGTGAGGCTTCCAAAACGTGCTGTGGCAGCCAAACCCCTGGATTAGGGCTTAGTCGTCCGAAAGAGGAAGTGCTGAGGTCTAAATCTGGAACAGGTGTTCCACGTGACCAGTCCGCAGCCATGTCATTTAGGGCTGCCAGGTTGCGAGGATGAGCCCAGTCCTGCGCCCAGAAAAATGGTTAGCGGGTGAGAGAATTTGGATTTTCGCAGAGAAGCGGGACTAACGATGCAAGCCCTGAGCTTATTCCTTCTTAGGTATACAGTCGGCAGCCAACCGGTGCGTGACTGACTGTTTGTCCATCGCCCTGTTTGGAAGTTATTATTAGTTTCGCAGGTGTTGGTGGCTGGAAAGATACGCTTTTGTCCTGTAATACGATACACGCCCCATGTTATCGGAGATGTAATTACTATTTCTCCGGTATCGAGCCTCTTGATCTCGCGCTAACAGAAAAAAAAAAAGTTCAACGAGCTCCATACCAGGTGCATCAAGGAGTTTTTCAACCCGCACATACCGGCTGTCATTGTTTACAATGGGCGATTTGAAAGGTTCCAGAAAGCGCAAGGCAGTCACCAGGGATCTAGACGAGGAGCCTGGAGTGGTCTCCGGGGACGAACTTAATCTGGATGCTTTGGATGGAGACCTCTCCGATAAATCTCATGCCACGGAGCACAGTAGCGATTCCGAGATAGAACTGGTCGACGACCTCAGCAGCGACGATGGGGAGGAATATGAGGATGAATTTGACAGTGATGAAGTTCCCTCAGATATTGAGTCCAAGCCTATTAGGGAAAAGTCAAAGCCGGACCGTGGTGTCGACATCGTTGTTCGCGGCGAAGAGGTAACATCCGACGGTGAATTAGGAGACGGATACGATGATGATAAACTAAATTACCGAGTGACGAAGGATGCCAATGGAAATGAGCGGTATATATACGATGAAATCAACCCAGATGACAACTCAGATTATTCCGAAGCGGACGAAAATGCGAACACCATTGGCAACATTCCCCTCTCCTTTTACGACCAATATCCGCACATCGGTTATAACATCAATGGCAAAAAGATAATGCGACCAGCAAAGGGGCAGGCTCTTGATGCTCTCCTAGATAGCATTGAACTTCCCAAAGGATTTACAGGCCTGACTGACCCGTCCACTGGAAAACCCTTGGAATTAAACCAAGATGAATTGGAACTACTGCGCAAGGTGCAGATGAATGAAATCACCGAAGATGGCTACGACCCTTACCAGCCAACTATCGAGTACTTTACTAGCAAATTGGAGATCATGCCATTGAACGCGGCACCAGAACCCAAAAGGAGGTTTGTCCCCTCGAAACACGAGGCTAAACGGGTGATGAAACTCGTCAAGGCAATTAGAGAAGGCCGGATACTTCCCTACAAGCCACCAACAGAGAAAGCTGAAGCGGAGGAGGGCTTGTGGACATATGACCTCTGGGCCAATGAAACCCCACGGGCAGACCACCCCATGCACATACCTGCGCCTAAGCTTCCTCCCCCTGGTTATGGGGAAAGTTACCATCCACCACCGGAGTATCTACCAGATGAAAAAGAGAAAGCAGCCTGGTTAAATACAGACCCAGAGGATCGAGAGAGAGAATATCTACCTGCTGATTATGATTCTCTTCGAAAGGTTCCCGGTTATGACTCATTTGTCAAGGAGAAATTTGAGCGCTGCCTTGATTTGTATTTGGCCCCCAGAGTCAGAAGGAGTAAACTAAATATCGACCCTGAAAGTTTGCTTCCCAAGTTGCCCAGCCCAGAAGAGCTGAAACCTTTCCCGTCAACCTGCGCAACTCTATTTCGTGGACACAGTGGGCGTGTTCGGACACTGGCCATTGATCCAACTGGGGTCTGGCTTGCAAGTGGTGGTGACGATGGTACAGTCCGTGTGTGGGAACTTCTTACGGGCCGACAGATCTGGAGTGTGAAGCTGAGCGATGAAGAGCCTGTCAACGTTATCCGATGGAGGCCTTCGAAAGATGCTGTGGTTTTAGCAGCTGCCACTGGAGACAGCATCCACCTTATTGTCCCTCCGATACTCGATCCGGAAATGGAAAAGGCTAGCCTTGACATTGTTGATGCTGGATGGGGTTACGCTAAAACGTTGACCTCAGATAGCACGAAGAAGACGCCAGTACAATGGACTCGTCCTTCACCCTCACTTCTCGACTTCGGTGTCCAGGCTGTTATCTCACTCGGTTATGTGGCCAAGTCTCTCTCCTGGCACCGACGCGGCGATTACTTCGTGACCGTATGCCCCGGCACAGCCACCCCTGTCTCTCTCGCGATCGCAATCCACACCCTCTCCAAACACCTCACGCAGCACCCCTTCCGCCGTCGCCTGAAGGGTGGCGGTCCACCCCAAGCCGCTCACTTCCACCCATCCAAACCAATCCTTTTCGTCGCAAACCAGCGTACTATTCGCTCGTACGATCTTTCCCGCCAGAGCCTCGTCAAGATTCTCCAGCCAGGTGCCCGGTGGATCTCCTCCTTTGATATCCATCCGACCTCCTCTACCACCTCTGGCGGCGACAATCTAATTGTCGGCTCTTACGATCGCCGCCTCCTCTGGCACGATGTCGACCTCTCTCCGCGTCCGTATAAAACGCTCCGTTATCACCAGAAAGCTATCCGCGCCGTGCGGTATCATTCCTACTATCCACTATTTGCTGATGCTAGTGATGACGGCTCTCTCCAGATTTTCCACGGAAGCGTCACGGGCGATCTGCTGAGTAATGCGAGCATCGTCCCGTTGAAGGTCCTCCGTGGCCATAAGGTCACAGGAGAATTGGGTGTTTTGGATCTAGATTGGCATCCGAGGGAGGCATGGTGTGTCAGCGCAGGTGCTGATGGAACATGCCGGCTGTGGACATAAGATTTTCTGCCTTATATATAATGCTATGGGCTTCATTCAAATGATTGGACTTTCGATCTTGCATGATTGGCAGACATCATTTCATCCATTGATTTCAATGTTCCTTGATATAGATATAATAAAAAGACTTTTTATGTTTAGAGTACCGCGAATGAAAAATGGCGGAAAAATATTCGTAGGGAAATTTTATTTTCCCCAACCGATGCTTCTATTTGCGTATCTATAGATATCAGATTCAAAATAAAACTCATGATAATCATCTAAAATGCTCAGTTACCAGTGGACAGAGGTTTTATGATTCACTATAAGTGAGGGTTTCCAAAAGATATACGTCTAGATAACATTCCCACCTTCCCAATCCCTCCTCAACTTCTCATACTTCCTCAAATCCGACACACTAGGCCTAATTCCCGCTTTCGCCGCCACGAAGTCCTCGAAACGTATCGTATCCCGCCGCTTTATGGCAGAATAGCCAGCCCGACGTAACAACGATCCCAGATCAGCACCGCTAAACCCTTCACACGACCTCGCCAACCCTTCAATATCATCCGAGAACTCAATTGGCAATTTCCGCAGCAGCGTCTGCAGAATTTCCACCCGCTCATCAGCACTAGGCAGATTTACAAACAACAAGGTCTCCAGCCGGCCCGGCCGCAGCATAGCCGGATCGATAATATCCGGCCGATTTGTGGCGGCGATGACGTATATACCCTGCCGCGCGCTACCCAGCCCATCCAGCTCGGTGAGAAGGGTATTGACGACACGCGCGGAAGCTTCAGAGAGCGTATCATCGCGGCGGGGGACGAGGGCGTCCAGTTCATCAAAGAAAATGACGCAGGGGACCGAGGAGCGGGCGCGCACAAAGACCTGCCGGACGGCGCGTTCGGATTCGCCAACGTATTTATTCAGCAGCTCCGGGCCCTTGACGCTGATGAAGTTGGCGCGAGACTCGTTGGCGACTGCTTTGGCGAGGAGAGTCTTTCCGCAGCCTGGAGGGCCCCAGAGCAAAACTCCTGTTGGGGCAGTGATGCCGACGCGGGCGTATATGTCTGGGTTGCGGATGGGTTCGACTATTGCTGTGGCGAGTTCGTCACGGACGCCGGATAGGGCGCCGATGTCTGCCCATGTTGTGTCTGGGATGGTGGCGAAACCTTCGCGCTTAGAGGACGGTTGGATTTTAGGTAGGGCGGTGAAGAAATCTGTGTTGGAGACTGAGACTGTTTGTGCTTCGGAGTCGAGAGGGGTTTCGCGGGCGTGTTTGATGAGGCGGCGGAGTTCGAGGATTTTGGGGCTGATGCTGCTATTGCGGTTACCACCATCTTCATTTGCAGTGTCTCCTATGTCCATTTCATCGCCTGTATGTGATTTCAGGAGTTCAATATATCGTTTTATGGCTGCCGATCCAGCGGTGGAGACGAGGTCGTTCAGATCAGCACCGACAAATCCGGGGGTTCTTTTTGCCAGGAGCTTGAAGTCCAGATCATCTGCCAGGTTCATGTCCCTTGTTAGAGTACGAAGGATTTGCTCCCTCACGGGCTCGCTCGGGACGGTAAGATTGATCTCCTTGTCAAATCTCCCACCTCGCCGTAGCGCAGCATCCAAGCTATCTGGTCGATTCGTAGCTGCCAATACAATCACAGGTTTTCCATCCGTTTTTTCCAAAGCCAAATCATCCATGCAAGTAAGTAATTGGGCAACGATACGTTTTTCCATTTCCCTCTGAGCACTCTCGCGTTTAGGGGTGATCGCGTCGATTTCGTCAATGAATATGAGGCATGGCGCAACCTTCTTTGCCTCATCGAAATGTTCCCGTAGTGCCTTCTCGGATTCTCCAGACATACCAGAGACTATCGACGGCGCTGATATTGCGATAAACGGCACACCAAGCTCCGCTGCAAAGGCATTGGCAATCATGGTTTTGCCACAACCAGGTGGGCCGTGAAGCAATACCCCCCGGGGAGGTTGCACTTTCGACGAGGAATAGACCTGAGGGCGTGTCATGGGCAAGACTAGAAGGTCTTCAAGTTCCTGAATTATATCGTCCACTCCGCCTAGATCCGCCAAGTTTACATGAGTAGGAGGTGACCTGTCAATATTGCTTTCACCCTTTCTTCGTTTAGGATGCGACTCCCCGCCAGCCTGCCGTCGCTTATTTGATATAGCTGTAGGCACTGGCGATGCTGAATCAGTTCCTGCCACATCCACTGGTTTCTTGGGCATCGCTGGCATCTTTGATTGAGTGTCCCACATCCCCACGATACTCTTGTTCATGCGATTAGAATCCTTGATACGATCAGCAAATCCCATCAATGCCAATCCAGGAAAAAATTTTCCAGCGAGTAAGCAAGCATACTAGACTTTCATTCTTCTCCTCCAATCCTTCGAAATCTCCGTTAACCGAATCCGATTCCTCATCGCCAAGCGCATCCGTTTTGACTACCTCCAGTACCCGTTCGATACTGTCTTCCAGCAATTTCTTCCCTCTTCGATTGAGACTAGAATTTGACCGTTTTATCCGCTCGTAGACAAACCATGGAGTCAAGCGTCCATTTTCCCCTTCTAAGTGGAGGTCGTCGGCAATCTTGCGCACTATTTGATATACCTTGTTTGCGATAGGAAGGTCAAATCACATATTCGTGTAAAAAAAAAAAAAAAAAAAAAACGGAGATTCATGAGCATACCTCTTTATCAAGACCATGCCCGAGCGTTGGTCTACTACCACGGTTTCTCGGAGCCATACAGCAGTGGGAAGGCCGTCAACGGTCCTCTCTTTCTTATTTCTCTCCCGGGGAACTTGTGATCTTCTGTATAAAATTCGATATCTTTAGTAGAAATCTCGAGGTGTGGAAAAATGATAGACCGAAATCAACGATCCAGAGTCATGTGACTTGCGCCTGCCATCGAGCATTTGCTTCTAGTTATAGAAAAAAAAAACCATTGAGCCGAACACTCAGATATATTACTTGAAGAAAAATAAACCGTGGCTTTCTACAGAGCTTTATCTTGACTTTTACTTCACTTGCTTTGAGCCAAAATTGTACATACATCTCGGAGAATCGTCAACGACTATCAGCCTTATCTTATCAATCTGGAGTGTTCCGCTGTAATACGGCCATGTATTAATGTTACCGCATCTCCCTTGCCTTCGCTTGCCTGACCAGACCAAAAACCACCAAAACTTCCTCTTCACTCCCACAAGAAGGATGTTACAACAATGGGCAACACATCCAGCTCGCAGAAAATATCAGCTCAGGACAAGTATGGCTTTCCCCCCTTCCAACAGACCCCCGTAATCCCCTATCACCCACGGCCCCCCCAGCAGATTCCTAACATACTTCTCCGCCTCCCCTTACATGCCCAAATCCTATGATCTATTAAGCTTACCGCTCAACCGCTCAACCTACTCCACAGAGCAATCCTTGACCTAAAAAACCAACGCGACAAACTCCACCAATACCAAAAACGCATCACCGCTCTCACAGACCGCGAAACCCAAATCGCGCGAGAATGCCTTGCCCGCAACGACCGGTCACGCGCCCTGCTGGCTCTCCGCCGTAAGAAGTACCAGCAGTCCCTACTGGCGAAGACAGACGCGCAACTTGATCAACTAGAGCGGTTAACGGGCAGTGTCGAGTTTGCCCTGGTGCAGAAGGATGTGCTGTTTGGGCTGAGCCAGGGGACCAAGGTGCTGCAGACGATCCATAAGGAGATGGGGGGCCTCGAAGCGGTGGAGAAGTTGATGGGTGATACAGAAGAAGCCAGGGCGTATCAGGAGGTTCGTTTTATATCTTATGTCTCCGTTGTCTTGCCCTTAGTTATCCTGTATTGCTTTTTGAACGTTACTGTCCATTCTTGTGCTCATACGCCCTGGATTTCAACAGGAGGTCAGCCGCATGCTGGGTGGCCAAATGTCCAACCAAGACGAGGACGAGGTAGAAGATGAGCTCGAGGCAATGGAGTTGGAAATTTCCGGCCCGGTCAGTCTTCCGGATGCGCCTACATCGGCGCTGAACGAGGAGGCGGAGCTGGAGAAACAGGAGAAGGCCAAACAGCGTGCCAAAGCCAGGGCGAGGGCGAGGGAGAGGGCGGCCGTGCCGATGGAAGCTTAGTTGGTGTTGCCCGTTGGCTCCTCTTTTGATCCTTTCTTTTGTTTTTCGTCTTGCATAGCGATTTTATGTTGGCGTTAGATGGCATATATTACATACATAGTTCATCCTCTTTTTACTGTAGCTCCTGGCGTCCAGGTTCTCAAGAGCGGGATATCTTTGTGAAGTGCCTGGTTCCCTATATATTGCTGGTGGTTTGCATTTACGTTTACATCTACATCTATATTATCCTTGCCCGCGTGTGGCGTTTTGTTCCTCAACCCCTATCTAGAGACGAATTTGAGCGACACAGAAACAGTCATAACATAATCTCTATGGTGCTGCACTCATATGCTAAGGAACGAATATAATTGTATTACTAATAATTGCAAGAAGGGAATGGAATTTCAACAACATGAAAGGAGGGGGAGAAATAATTAATTAAGAGCGTTGCCAGACAAATAATCATACCACATTTCGTCGTCATCAACACATAAAAGCCCTCGCTTCAGGGGACCCCTCCCTGCCCGCACTGACATCAGGAAGAGTGAAGCCCCTTACCTGCCAGGCCCAATAGTCCTCCCCACCCCCTGCACCCCCTGGATAACGGCATGATCCCTCGGGTTCGCCGCAGCCTCGTACAAAAACGTCACGGGCTCCCTATTCAATGCCATATGCTGTCCCTTAAACCCCACATACGAAACCCGCGTCACTTCCTCCTCACCCTGGCTCCAATTCTCCTCGAAAAACAGCGTGATGGACGTTGTGGTGTTGAACTGCGCTCTGTTCAGGGGAATCTCGAGCACATCTGAGGTAGGGCCGGTGAGGGTTTGAGGCACGGAGAGGGTCTGGGTTGGGGCTAGATCTGCGGCCGTGGAAAAGTCGAGGTCTGGTCTGTTGCGGAAAAGTTTTACAGTTTTGGGTGCTGAGGCGGTTGGGGCGGAGAAGAGGAGGAGGGAGTGGAGTTTTGTTTGGCCCGTGAAGCTACGCGAAGTGGGGTCAGTTAAGGGAAGCCCGAATTATTGGTTAATGTTTGAGAGAGTGATTGTATTCCTCTTGTTGCTCATGCATGGATGGTTGTGGAAGGGAAAGGTATATAACAGTATTTGTTTGGTGGGATGGAGGGGTTGAGAAATTAAACTAACGGGATATACATGAGCAATTGCTCATCAACATCACTCTCCAACTCCGGTAGCTCGTCTAGCCGTTGCGCCCATGTTTTTTTCACGATGGCAGCGCCAGACTTGGACTCTGCTTCGTTCAGGGTGACGATGCCATCGAAGTCGATTTGCTGGTAGAGATTCGATTGGAGGGCGGGGGTAATGTCGGAGGAATGGTCGTGGTCGTGGTGGCCATCCTCCCCGTGCTCATGGCTATGGCTGTGATCGTGATCGTGGTGATGGGGCATTTTGATTGATTTCCATCCGAGGGATGTAGTATGGGAAAGGAATGCAATCCTTGTGTTGCTGTGATTTGTGGGAGTGGACGTGGTGTGGTCTGCCGGTGACGCTTGCTTATGATGTCAGAACTCGCGTCGAAGCAGGCAGAATGAGGCAATGCAGATAAATAACAACAGCACAGGGAATAATCAACTGGGAGGACGACTTCCAGGGTTTGCTTCGAGGGGATCATGTACGTAAATGTACTCTTCTATCCAATTGGCTAAGGGTGTCTTTAAATTCCAAATTCTTAAATTAATGTTATTTTGTTTGAAATAGACTAGTTATATGGTTTTTGTACTGTACAAGCTCAAAATCACGGTTCGTCCACCTTAACTCGCCCAAGCCCGGGCATCCTGCTTAGATTAGAGGATTAAAAAACTTAGGTGTATTTATTTATCACTGTTTAACTTGGTAGTAATCCGGTGCATACTCGAGTAGCCAAGACTTCTCGATTTTGGTAATATCTCGAATAAATGTCTTGTTCCCTGTCTGCAAGATTTCATGAAAGATTACCCAGTCTGCTTTGCGGTTCTACATTATGATGCATATCATCAGCCATCACGAAGTACGGAAATGACAATATTTATATATATGAACAAGAATAAGGGACCAAAAGCAAAGGACAAATTGCCACTTACAAACATCAACGAGCTGGGGTGGGCATGCAGTGTGATGTCACCACTGATGGGCTTAAAACTGCCATCTGGCTGCATCTTTGCCGCATGTGCAAAATATCCGGTTGTAAGACAGCGCTGGATTTGCTCTGATGGCGCGGGGCTAGATGAAGAGAGGCTTTCATCAACCTGAATGCCAAATCGTTCAAGGTACCGTTTGAGCTGTGCACGAATGCTAACAGCCTTTGACATAGATTTGTAGTTTAGACAATTATCCCGGCACCACTTGGAGTCCTTCTTTCCCTTGGTGACAAATGCTTGGTAAACATTTAAGTAGGTTAAGTGGTCTCCTTCATCCACAGCAAATTTTCTGCGGGTGCTCTCAAATACCTTCTTTTCGTCAGCCTTCTCGAACCAGACCGTCCCTTGCAGACTCGTCATCGCAGCAATTGACAGAATCTCACTCAGACACTTAAAGGACGGCGCACCAAGCAGAACCTTGGCCATCATAGGCTCCACTGCAAGTTCAGCCATTTGGATTCCGAGCGGGCGTGCAAGTTTCGCATAGTCGTCGACAGCTCCGAGGGAATACAGTAATTCAAAACCACGAACAACGAGCTCAGACGGAGGGGGAGTAAGAAAGTCAAAGCGAACGATGTTGTCAATGCCCAGCGCTTTGAGCTGCAGAATCATAGGTGCAATGTTGGAGCGTTGGATTTCCGGAACCGTGACTTCTGGAAGTGATTGGTAAGACGTCTCAGTGTAAAGACGGAAGCATTTTCCTGGTTTGGTCCGTCCTGCACGTCCAGCTCGTTGGGTTGCAGATGCCTTGGAGATAGGGGTTGGGGTCAATGTCTCTATTCCAGTATTTGGATCGTATGCGCGGAGTTTTGCAAATCCGCAATCGATGACATACACAACTCCATCAATGGTGACGGAAGCCTCGGCAATATTGGTGGATACAATGACTTTGCGAGTCTTCTCAGGGGCGGGCTCAAAGACGTAAAGTTGCTGTTCAGTAGTGAGTCCGGCATAAAGGGGCAATGGAAGCAGGTCTGGAGCATTGCCATGTAACGAGTCTGCACGCTCCGAGATTTGCTGGACTACAGTGTCGATTTCCTCCCTTCCCGTGAGGAACACCAATATGTCCCCGTCAGGTTCACTGGTATGGATATCAAATACAGTTTTGATCGTTCTTTCCATATAATCTTCGGCTGGTGTCTCAAGAAATAAGCAGTCCACAGGATACATCCTCCCTTCTAAGGTGATAATTCTGCCGATAGAGCCACCCAGCTTATCCTCGCTTTCAGGGTTGAATTCATCCCCAGCAAAAAAACGCAAAAATTCTTCTGCCTGTAACGTAGCACTGCTAATCACGATACGTAATTCAGGTCGCCGTTTCCTAATTTTCTTGAGCACACCGAGCAAGATATCGGTGCTTATGGAACGTTCATGGGCCTCGTCGACCATAATAACAGAATACCGGGAGAGCAAAGGGTCAACCAAAGCTTCTCGTAACAGCAAACCGTCGGTCAGGAACTTGATCCGTGTTAATGAGGAAGTCACATCCTCAAAACGTATCGAATAGCCTACATCTTCCCCCACTTTACATCGCATCTCCTCTGCTACCCTCGTTGCGACTGTGGTCGCAGCCACCCGCCGAGGCTGGAATGGCACACTTTAGCTAACCGAGCATCCAGCAAAAGGAAAGAGATTTATAGAAGAATAGAAGTAGACCAAAACAAAACCTACCTGAGTGACAGCAATGATCTTCCCCGCAGAACACCATCCTGCCTGGTCGAGAAATTGGGGCAACTGGGTAGTCTTGCCGCTACCTGTTTGACCCACAACAATAGTCACAGGATAGGTTTCTATCAGGTACAGAAGAGATTGCCGGTGGCGTGCAATTGGTAGCAGCGCTGCAGGCTTATACAGCGACGGGATGAACGCAGCTGAGAGATCCAAGTCTGATGCCATTGAGAAAGCAGTTGGATGTCCAACTGATCTCAACTCAAAAAGGCAGCCAGAATATATCCGTATGATCCATATTTCAGTGGCCAGACCGCGGTAGAGCCCTTCTATCCCACCAAGGCTGGAGATATTTACTCGGCCATTGCAGAGTTAGCCACTCTTCAATGTTCGTGTGTACATTTTACTAGATCAAGACCAAGGCAAAGATTCCACGCGGCGCTTACCTCAGCCATGGGTATTAATAGTTTCTCCGGACCGATGGCGTGGCTGAGGCTCGAGGCTTGGTGCGTGACGTATTAGGAATGGCGTCAGCTGTGGCCGTGATCATGACGCTATTCCGGATCAGACTAGCTTATCTCAGCTTCCAAGGTTGAGCCCGAAACGCAGATAGTTAGATAAACAGGAAGCGCAACCCGACTCAGCTGCCTTGTCTTGCGATTCATATATCCCTGAGAGTGACCAGTTGTCTTCGTCCCATATCCGCACTCCACTAGATATTTGATCGCAATATCTACAACCTTATCGTTAAACAAAATACCGTCGCCATGGCTGACGGAGAAAAAGTCGTAGGTGCTTGCCATGTCTAACCCCACACTCCCTCTATCCAACTGATTTTTGACCATAGAATACACCACTGAAGGCCTTAGCTTCCCAGAGCAATCCTCCGGAGTCTCCAACTACAGCTAGGCCTCTGGACTTTGACGATGAATCGCAGGAGTCCGGCGTGACCCCAATACAGCCAACTTCAGCGTCCAAAGCATCCTCACAATTGACACCAGGCGGCAACGATGGCCCCCCACCAAAACCACCCCGACCACTCAGCCCCATGCAGCAAGCAGAGAGCACTTTAAAAGAGGCGTTTCCCAGTATCGATGCCAGCGTTATAAAAGCTGTTTTGGTGGCTAGTGATGGGAATGTTGAGAGATCATTCCATGCGCTGCTCGGTATGGAAGCCTAGCCAGCACGGATAGGGGTTAAACAGTATCTCATGTTTCTCTTACTATAGGCATGTCGGACCCTGATGCGCAAGTGGATCTGCCGCCTACGATGCCCCCGCGGCCACCCCGGAAGGATTCCCCCACTCAACGACAACTCGAAGCCGATGAAATGTATGCGCGTCAGCTTGCGGAGCATTACAGCGGAGTGGGCCAACGTCATAGAGCCCCGGAATCTTCGTGGGACCATGAACCGCATTTGCCGAGGCAACGCAGGGAGACTGGATTAAAACCCAATGAACTCCATGATGACAGAGAGCATAACTTTTTTGATGGTACTGTTGTACTTTCTAAAGTTCTTCATTTATCTGGTCTAAGTCAGTCCATCATACTAACAAAGGCGCGTTGCCGCACCAGATGATCTACCGATAATTAAGGAGAACATTCGCAAGGGATTCCTAGAGACGCAGACAAAAGTTAACGCTTGGGTTCAAAATTTCAAGAAGAAGCTTGAGGGCGATGACGAGGAGGATGAATATGGAAATCCACCTCCCCATCCAGCACAGGGATATGCCCAAGGATACGGCGACACTCAGACCTATCGCACAAGGCGGAGCGGCGAGGCCAGGCGAAGTGGTGACCGCGAACGGTACGATGCCGACCCTCAGGTCTTAGGTGACGACTTCTCCGCATTAGAGCTGAGAGATGCTGAAGGTAAAGGCCTTTCCTTCCAAGATTCATCTGCAAACCAACATTCTACGCAAGTTATCCTCTAATCTGAAGACTATTTATACTTACATATCACAGCCCATCCACCACGCTCATCGCGACCCCTCGCAAACCCCGATCTCTTCAAGCCCAACTCACCATCACCTGACCGTCGAAAAGTCTCTTTCCAAGAGGGACCTCCTGAGGAAATACACGATGCTTATGGCCCCGGCTCTGCATCTGATAGAAGCAAGCAGCCGTCATCCACTGGTGGTAGCAATAAGTCCAGCAAATGGCAACCACTCTCTACAGTTGAACCTTCACCAGTTGCAGACAACGATCCATTCAGCCTTGGTGACAGCGACGACGAGAAGGAGGTTAGGAATAACAATAAAGATCTTAAGCCCGACGATGCTGAGAGGGTGAGGAAGGCTACTGCAGAAGCTATGGCGGGGGATATTGGGACTGATTCTCCAAAGGCTGGCAACAAGAATAAGCCCGCTGGGGGAACTTAGACAGGGCGGGGCTCCAAGTTACTTTGTTTTTATTTTTATAGTTTGTCATACTTCTTGACTTTTGCTGTATATTCCTCCATTTCGTTTCGCCCCATACTTTTACTGTATCCTGGGTAAACCAGAACCTACCTTTGATCTTCTTTCCCAAATTGCAGGCTCGCACAACATGTGCGCGGAGAGCGCTTATTTATGTCACCCGAGCATTTTAGAGCGGCTTTTTACCCATTTTATCTATTATGATTGTTCCCTTTCTTTTTGTGAATTTTGTCAATGCGAGACGGCGGGAGGGGCCCCCATTTTGATTTTGTAATTGATGTCTAATTATTCCTTTTCGATTGACTATATCGCCAAAGTATCCTTCCCCCCCCCCTCCCTGGGTTATCCCCTTCGGTTTCCACATTCTGACAACAAGTGCAAGCTCTGGCTACCCAGCCCTGGCGGCATGGTAATCCATTTTGTCACCGTTTCCCCCCTCTGCGATGTATAGTACCGTTATGTACATACCGAATATAATCAATCACATCCATCCAGATGGTCTTCGAAAGTTGCCCTGGCTACCCCCGGCTCTCTTTCTCTCATTTGTTAGCAGCCAGAAGAATCTCAGAATGGAATGAATACAAAGTAGATGGTGCTACTAACTCAAGCGGAGGGTTAAAGAAAGAAAGAAAAATCAAAAATCAAAAAAAAAAAATCAAAAAATCAAAAAGAAAACGAAAAAAGAAAATAGCTAGCTAGATATGGGAATGTGGGAACCCCCCGAGGGCCTATTCTATGCACGCAGCAGATGTAAAACTGATAGATATCAAATCAAACCGGGCAGCAGAACCACACACACACACACACACACAAAAAAAAAAAAAAAAAAAACCCCTGTTGAATATCCTAAATTAAGTATTATACATACAGATGAAAATAATGAGCCCATCCCGCGCACATTAAAGGAAATACATTGTTATCAAACTCCCCAAAACAGCACCTTGGGGAAGAAGAGGAGGGGGGGGTGGTTAGGAGGAGGAAAGGGCCTCATATAAACCGTCCTCCCACAACACCAATACATATGCATGCATACAACGCGCGGGATACCCACTTTGAATCCAGGGACGATTACCTTCGCAGGAACAAAACATCCCATACAGAACTAAGCCAAAATCAGAGGGGAGAAACGGAGAGAGGGAAAAAAAAAAAAAAAAAAAAAAAAAAAAAAAAAAAAAAAAACCTTCCTCCTTTCCGTCCTTCCACGAAAAGGTGGGGGGGTTATGGGAACGGGCAATATCGAATCACCAAGGAACACACACACACATACTCTCTCTCTCTCTCTCTCCATTCTTTGCCATCATTCGGAGCAACGATAAATTGCACACACGTCCATCCAGAGGAACCGGGGAGAATAGCGTAGTTCAGATAAAGGGGGGAAAAAAAAGGGTGTTAAACGCATGACAACATTGCTATTCATGCACTCCTCTTCCTTACTCCACCGCAGCGGAGGCGGCGTCTGCTGCAGCACTCGATGTCGTCGTTGCAATTGCAGTTGCGGCCTCTCTGCGCAATTCTTTAATGACGGCCTGCAGAGGTATCGGGTTATTATGCCATATTATGGGGTGAGGTTGGATAACTATGGGATTTTTCTTTTTTGCTTTTTTTTCACGCTAGCTATGGAGAGGAGCTGAAGCGCATGAGGGGTAGCTGAGGTGAAGGGAGGGGAGGGGGGGACAAAAATAGAATAGAACCACCAACACAGAGCAGGTGTGTATACGTACAGCCAAAGCTTCAGGATTCACGCCGTTCTCGATTAGGGAGACGCAGAGGGATAGCTCCGTTCGGTCGAGGTGGGTATTCTAGAGGGACACGGTGAGCGAGAGAAATAGAAAACACAAAGTCATATGGAAGGGGATTTTTTTGGTTTGATTATTTGGGACTTGATATATATATATTTCCTCATTTTACTTTCTAAAAACAGATCTATACATGTATGAGCGTTTTTTTGGGGGGGGAGGTAATGGAACATACCAGGATCGTGGATATTTCATGAAGGATATCAACAACTTCGCGCGCGGCTTGTCGTTTGTCGTCCTGTTGTTGCTGTTGCTGCTGCTGCTGGTGTGGAGGCGGGACGGGCATGGCTTCGTTGGCGTCTTTTCCAGTTTCTTTCTTTCTCTTCTCTTTGCTCTCAAATATAAACTATTCCCCTACGTACTAGTACCGGTGAAGGGTTTCGGCGACGATGTTTGGATCAATAAAGTTATCGGATGTTTTTTGGCCTAAGAATACTAGTATTTAGCGCGTTTTTTCTCCACATGGAAAAATAAAAAAAAAGCCCGAGATCTGGACCTTAGCTTCGACCCAACTTGGCTGCGGAAGCTTCCATCCTTCCCAACTCAGGGACGACCAGAGCTTCCAGATACTTATCCTGGCATGTCACCCGGGCCCGACCTTGCCCAGGTACAGGACCCGGTATATCCAAAAACCATGTCCCACGCCCTAACAATCCACGACCTCGACTCGATCTCCCACAAGCACCTCGCCCTCGAAACCCTCGCCCAAATCACGCGCATCGAACGCAAAACTTTCCCCGCCTCCGAGGCCTTCGATTTCTCCGACCCGTCGCTCTGGCGCCGCAGACCTAACACGTACGTTCTGTATGCGACGCTCGCAGGTGATGCAGATATAGCTGCGTCTGCGTCTACGTCTACGGCTACAGCTGTTTCCACCATCGCAAAGGGACCCAAGAGGATATCATCAACCGCCACAGCCCCATCCCCAGCCGCAGCCACGGTCATAGCCTACGCCCTCTACGTCCGCCAAAGGGGCACCGCGCTCCTGCACAAGCTGTGCGTCGCAGAGCCCTTCCGCGGTCAGGGCGTTGGCAGACAGTTGCTGACGCATGTGATTGGGCAGCAGCGGAGCCAGCGGAGCGGAAGGGGCTGTCTGGCTGTGCAACTGTGGGTGGATGAGAAGAGGGAGGCGGCGCGGCGGCTGTATGGGAGCTGCGGGTTTGTGGAGGTGGAGGTGGTGGAGGATTATTATGGGCCTGGGAGGAAGGGTTTGAGGATGGTGTTGGGGTTGGAGGGGGATGGTGGATGATGGGGGGGATGGTGTGTTGTTCTGCAGCAAGAGCTAAGTTCTCTAGGAATATTCTATATCCTATCTACTATCTATGAAGCCATTACTTCACATCATGTATGTACTCACTGTTCACAACCAGGGGGTCTTATAATATGGCGTGGATGCGCGACGGATGTCTAGCCCATAAACTCATGTCTATGGCCAAGAGACAGCAAGGCGTGGAAGAGTGGAGATTACTCCGAAGAGCTGACAAGAAAAGGGGATTGATTGTTTTGACTGGCAATCTCAACGCAAGGTGAGCTGAGGACAGATAGTAAGCAACTAAAGAAGAAAATAATGAAATAATGATCTTCTTGGGGGGGTGGGAATGTTCAATTTTTTTTGGCATACAATTATCCAGGCTGTTTGCATCAATGATTCGGATCGTTAGTCTTGATATGGCTTACACTGGGTTGGTTTCTGAGATATCACGACGGCCATCTGGAAGGGTTTTTGGGCATGGTATAAGTTGGGCTTTTACGCATTGATGCCTATGGAATTTTGTTGATCCTTTTTGATGAAAAGACGGCAAAGCTATCAAGGCTGCTGGTTAATCTCGAATACACACATATTGGGTAACTATTGAACTTCCCCGCATAAATTTCGTGCATGTTCAGGGACTTCTTGTCCCACGCCGCCATAGCTCTTGCCAGGGCCCGCCCATGTGAATAACTAACTTACCCTTGGACATACTGCCTTGTCTGTCATTGATTGCGAACACGATGGATATTTCACGCCCGGTGTATGTATGTATGTATGTACTATCATGGGATATTAATAGTAGCAGGTTTCATTTTGACTTTTCGCCGCAACCGGGTTTAAAGTCATTCTGCAGCGTCCGTTAGCGCCCACCGTGTGGGAGGCGAACTTGTTTGTTCCCCCTTGGTTCCCCCACACAAAAAACACAAGAGACAAAGACATACCCCACCGTCAATGAGAGGGTGGCAGTCTAGGTTCTGGGGGTAGATTATGCACCTCAATAGGGATACGCGGTAGATGGCATGGGATGGACGTGCGGCTGGCTGGCTGGCTGGAGGAGGGGTTTGACTGCCGAACGGGAGTCAATATACAAGTAGAGAGTATCCATACATATTTCATGAGAGAGAGAGAGAGAGAGAGTGTGTGTGTGTGTGTGTGTGTATACGTGTATTCCAGCCGTTAGTGATATGTTGAATCATAAGATCCATGCCGGGACCTCACCAGATGGCGGGAGTCCCTGGAACATCCACTGGCAGCAGCCGGAGAGGCGTGGAGAGAGAGGGGTGGAGAGGGGTGGAGAGGAGTGGAGATGGGCGAGATAAAGATCCATGATACATATGGCTGTCTCCATAGCTCCTGTGACTCACTCATCTTTAAATACTCCCCAGATCAGGAGAGCTTGAAGTACAGTACATACTTATTCGCCATATACATACCTGTCCTATCTCTGATGCCAGCCCAGCCCAGCCCAGCCCACACGCGACCAGGGACCACTCTCATTTGACTATCAGCATCAACAACATCAACCACAACCACACAACACCTCTACAGTAACAACAACGCCAACTAACTCCCTGCTGCTGCTGCTGCTGCTGCTGCTACTCCACCTCCACCTCCCCACAGATATCTCTCGTCTATTGCTGCTCTGCTCCCCCTGGCCCGGCTCCGCGTCCCCCGGTTTATTCCCCGAGCTGTCTGCTGCTTGCTAGTCTGCTCCGTGCAGGGCTGGCGCTGAAAAAACTCTTCACTGCGTCTAAAACTGCTTCCGCCTGTGTCTTCCCCTCCACGCCTCCATTCCCCCCCTCTGCGCTTTCTTCTCTGTCTGCTCTCTCCGCGCTCGCCGGCTCTCTGGATCTCTGTTCCCTGAAGCAATATCCTCCCCTCGTCAAGTTCCCGGTAAACTCTCCCACCTCCTCTACCCTCATCCCACCAGGTGTCCTGCCAAAACTTCCGCTCTCTCGTGCCTCCCACACCCCCCACCGAACAACCGAAAATTCTCCCTCTACGCTTCCATTCTCCTGCTCGACCGCATATACCCTCCTAGCGACTACTATTCTTCCCCCGTAATCCGACACACCTGTTTTTTTTTTTTCTGCAATCATGGGACAGACTTTATCACAGCCGGTGGTATCGAAAGTGAGTGTGCCCCGCTTTGCTGCTTTGCTTTTATTTTTGCTTTTCTTGCTTGTTGAAAACAGCATCCCCATCCCCCGCGCTTGAGGCCCTGGGAATGATTTTCCCCTTATCCATTGCCTTGCGATAAGCTGCATGGACCCACCGTGCTTGCTGGCTGATGGATGGTTTCGCGTGTCCTGGGAGAGTGGGCTGACCGCGGGGGAGAAGGGCTGGACTCTCTCACTCTTTCACTCACTCACTAACACACACACACACACACACACTTTCTCTCTCTCTTCCGTTTCTTTCCTGTTTCTTCTTCTTCTTCTTCCTTTTCTTCTTCTTTTTGTCTTTTTTTTTTATCTTTTCTCTTTTCTTTCCTCTTCCTTTATTTTTCCTCTATTTTATTTTTCTTTTTTGAGAATCCTGACTGGTATCAATAAAGACAATTATTTTCTTGTGTGATGTTGTGGTTCTTGCTAACGTGACGCGATATTTCTCCTCCGTGCTTGTCGGATACAGAAATCAGATGAAGGCCAGGATGAACGTGTACTCTACGGAGTGTCTGCGATGCAGGGATGGAGAGTAGGTATGGAGGATGCACACGCCGTCGTCCTCGACCTGCAAGCCCAACACCTAGACAAGGCTCACCACCCTACCGACCCTGATAAGCGTTTATCCTTTTTTGGCGTCTACGACGGCCACGGCGGTGATAGGGTCGCCCTGTTTGCGGGAGACAATGTCCACCGCATCATTACTCAACAAGCCGCTTTTGCAGAAGGGGATATTGAGCAGGCTATGAAGGATGGCTTTTTGGCGACTGATAGGGCCATTCTGGAAGGTTGGCCGCGCCCATCATCCATATACGTTCCTTCAATCAGCTTACTGTGTTTTCACTTTGTCCCGTCCTCCCTTCGTTCCTTCATTCCTTCATTCCTTCGTTCGACACTAATTGAACACCTTTTCCAGATCCAAAATACGAGGAAGAATTCTCAGGTTGCACAGCGTCTGTTGCGGTCATTTCAAAGGATAAAATCATAGTGGTATGTTCTCTGCACGGGGAGTGTGCATCAGAGATGCCACTTCGGTGGGTTTTCGCGTGTGCTAATTGCATCCGAACAGGCGAATGCTGGAGACTCAAGATCCGTACTGGGAGTCAAGGGAAGGGCGAAACCTCTATCTTTCGATCACAAGCCACAAAACGAGGGTTCGTGACTCAATCTTCCCTTCTTAACGCAGCAGCGCTTTATTATAAGTCCCCAATTGATCATTCCGGTTTTCTTACAATGAATGTGAACAGGTGAAAAAGCTCGAATAAGTGCTGCTGGCGGCTTCGTTGATTACGGCAGAGTCAATGGTAACCTCGCGCTCTCCCGTGCGCTGGGTGATTTTGAATTTAAGAAGAGCGCGGATCTCACGCCGGAACAGCAGATCGTCACTGCGTATCCTGATGTAACTACACATGAGATTGCAGAAGATGATGAGTTCCTTGTGATTGCTTGCGATGGTATGTTTCAATTTTCCGGGAGAAAGAAAGAAGAAGAAAAAAAAACCCTTTTTTATGTTTCCTAACGTGCTATTGACAGGCATCTGGGATTGCCAGACCTCACAGGAGGTTATTGAGTTTGTTAGACGGGGTATTGCTGCGAAGCAGGAGTTACATCGGATTTGTGAAAATATGATGGATAATTGCTTGGCTTCTACTACCGAAGGCGGGGGTGTGGGCTGCGATAATATGACGATGATCATCGTTGGGCTGCTCCAGGGTAAGACTAAGGAGGAGTGGTACAAGTGCATTGCAGACCGAGTTGCAAGTGGCGACGGCCCTTGCGCCCCACCTGAATATGGTATGTTTTACCTGGTATATCGGTTCCCACCCTCCCAGGAATATCGTCAAACTAACCAAGGAAAATTCCCAACCCTCCAGCTGAATTCCGAGGTCCTGGCACCCGCCGCCGTCAACTCGCCGAAGCCCGACGCGCCTTTGAATCCGACAACGACCCGCAATTCGGTAGTAGTTCAGGTAGAGTCATCCTGTTAGGTAATGGCCGCCAATTGCTAACCCACTTCAACAACGTTGATTATGATTCCTCCGATGAGGAGGATTGTTATAATATGTTCGATAATGACGAGGATGAGGAGGATGAGGATGAGGATGAGGATGAGGATGACGATCTTGAGAGCCAGGTGCGTAAAGGCGATGCGAAATCCGCTGCAGATGATACCGTCAAAGGGCCGGGAGGAAGCCCGGAATCCCAACGACAGCAACAACAGCAACAGCAACAATCGAATCGCCAAGGTACCCCTAACACGCAGTCGGAGTCACCTGCTGTAATCTCTGCATCCCCATCCTCGACGACCCCCAATGATGTTTTGCCTGGCAGAGAGAAACCGTCTACGTCATGATTTGGTTTTTTTTTCCCTTTCTCCTTCTAACCCATTTGTTCCTAAATTTAACTGGCTACTTGCTTCCATTATTTTGAACCCTTTTTTTCCCTTTCCAAATTTCTCAACAGCTTTGCCGTGTCTTCTTTTGTTTTCTATCTTTTTTTTTTTTTTTTTTTTTTTTGAAAAAATCCTGCTTTTCTCCGGGTACGGTATGGCTTTTTTTTTTTTTATCTCATTAACTTTTTTTTTATTCTTAAACCTGAGCCTCACAAACCTACTCAACCACTCAACCACGCATACAAACCCTGAGTTACTTGACGATATATATAAGTTTTTTTCTCCTTTTCTTCCCTTTTTCGTGAAAGTTCGTCCTCAACTCGATGTTTACCTTGATACTCCTCACCTACCATTATCCCTATTTTCCACTCCGCCATTTCCCCCTTTCCCCCACCCCCTGCCCACTCCCTTGCCCGCCGCGGCCCCCACACAACGTGAAGAAGTGGCCTATCAGAGAAACGGGTGAGGCTTTGAGCGAATTGAGTGAATTGCGTTGGGCTGTTTCTTGCAATTTATTTAATTTTGTTTTTTCCTTTGTTTTCATTGTATGCTTTGCGTTTATGTTTTTTCATTTCTCCTTTATATTTTTTTCATGGCAATTTTGTTTCTATGTGTCATTTTTTAGTTCTTGTCTTGTCCCTTTTCCCTGTCTCTACATTTTTTTTTACGTGATTTTCATTTTACTCTTGCTCTCTCTGTGTGATTAATTTTTGCTCTAGCTCCGGTTTATTCATCATTATTACCATCACTTCTTCTTTCATTATATCTATTATATATATATATATATGTTAAGTTCGCTTTCATATATATCTCACAGATGACACTCTCGCGGCGCAGGTCATACAAACCTCGGTTATTTATTAGGAATCATGGATTCGAATTAATGTTTGTCTCTGCCCTTCGTCAGTTCTCCATCTCGGAAAGGTATCAGCCATTACGATTACGGAGGGGAGAAAAAGATTTGATAGGTCGACTATTCTCCTGGCTGGCGTAGCATTTATGTAGCTGTAGTTAGAGGAGAAAGCGACGCAGCCACTCTCGGCCTCTTGCTGTCGCCTTGCACTTTACACGTTTTACGCGTGTGGGTAGCATTTTCCTTTCCTTTCCTTTTTTTTGGGCGCTTCTTGCTATTGATTTCCATCCTCAGTAACTTGAACAATTGAACAATTGAACTGAACTAAAGTATGTAAATAGAAGCTCTGCTGTGGCCACAGCTTAGTCATCGTCGCCGCGGGAGAAATCATAACCTCATCTTTTCCTGTTTGGGCTTTTTCCTCCTCGACCATGCAGCATTCCTCCGCCTACGCTTCCCGTTCGCATCTCCCTCCTATTCTTACACCCAGCATCCGTATCCTTACCAGCCCTCCTCCTCCCGCCGGTCTTTTCATCGCCATTGTTGCCGTCCTGGCTAGTGGATCGTCCTCCTCCCGGCCAACACCGAGCCCATCCTGCAGGCTGCTCCAACCAGTCACGCACGTCCGCAAGGAGCCCGCTGTTCCCTGCTGATTATATATATTTTTACGCCTTCTCCCGCGGGCTACGGGCCATGGAGTGTATTATGCGTCTCTTCTAGCTTCCTCGCTTGCACATCCTACCAAAAACAGATCTCACCGGCTCTTCCCTTTACACCCCCTATTTTTTTAGTTCGTCGATTTTTTTTTTTTTTTGACAAGGACAACCTTTTTATTCTCCTAGCTCCCTACGATCCGACCTTGTCTACGATAATCTGCCATTACCCCCTACCACATTTTTTTTTTTTAAAAAAAATAATAAATAATAAATAAAAGCAAAGAAGGGAAAAAAAGGCTACTGCTCACCGCATTTGATCGGGTACTTGAGGTTCCCGCCCGCTGCTTCCCATACGTCCCCTCCCAGACGGAGAGGATAAATATATCAATTTCTAACTAAAAAAATCAAGAATAAGATTAAAAAAAAGCCAACTTCTTTCTCTTCTCCTCCTTTGGCGATTAGATCATCGCCCCATATCCGCTACCAGGCAAGACAATCCACACCGTCAAATTTACTATGTCATCTTCCACCAGC